ATGCATTCATAAACTTACGGTTACATAAGAGAATGCCAGCCCTGGTTAGCTTTTGATTGAAGTGGTCTTAAAAGGAAGTTGGTGGTTAAATGGATCGAGCGAATTGCGCAATGGATTTAATCCGACTAATCGAAGAGGATCGCGAATCTTAAGATGGTGCTCCCTACAAGCGTGAGGTCAAGATAAGCAAATCGCGCTAAGATAAGCTTTATCTGAGTGATGCACGTGCGATAAGATACGAAGACATCTTAAGATATCAGATGAGATCTGAGCCTGGGCGCACAACGATGGTCAACAGGGCTTGTGGCCTGTGCTCAAATTAAAGTCAGCCAAATTCGTGTTTTGACGCACTTAATTGCATGATTGCATGACTGCATGATTGCTTTTGCTGATGTACCAGGCAATCCGATTCAAAAGACCTTATTCACAACTTATCTTCTAAGAAAGTTGTTGCGGATATCACGATGCCCCTGTCCCAATGCTTGGTGTGCAACATGGCATTGATATGTAAGCCACATTTGTAAGATCGCGGGTAAGGGGTTTTGGGATATCCTATGGGAGGTTCTGCCTGGCCTTATTCCTTAAAAAAAGCACTTACCAGTTATGCCTCGGCCATGCAACTCTTAACTTCAACTCGACCTTAACGACTATACATATATCTGTTTCGATCCGGGCTCAGTGTATACGCATTTATGGCCTCGAAGTATACTTCGAGATCATTCAATCAATATAATAGTCAAGTATTGATATATCTTTCGCTCAACCTTTTCAATAGTCACTGCTCCATGCATCGATTATGCCTGTTGAAGAGATGGTTAAATGCTAGGTGGGTTGAGATGTCGGCCCCATGTATCAGCTTAATTTAAAGAGCCTACCGTGTATCATGCCAAAGATCACGACAGCACATCAGTTAGAACTTCGGTTTCCTTGAGATGAACTCGAAGCCATGGGACCAGGCTTCCATGATACGGACTCGAGGAACTCAGATTTTGGTGGCAAGGACGCTAGGGACACGAATTTCACAGACATGGACTTCAAAGACCAGGCTACAGTTATCAGATACATTATTCTGACTTGAGAGGATGGGACGGCCTGTATCGCATAATTGGCGGGCTATGAGTGTCAGGTGCAGTCCGCCGTGCTATCTTGAAATGCGCTTCCGAGGTTCACGAAGAGATTCATGCAAGAATGGACCATGATCGTGGTGGTATTACCAAATCTCACATGTGGTTGCAATTACAAGTTGAGCTCAGCAAAGCGGTATTGTGAATCCGGAAGAGAGAGAAGCTGCATCGGAGGCAACATCGAATCATTAGAGATTACAATAGAAAAGTCCTGAATGGCCACTCTGGAGGTGAGCATTGAAAGGATATATATATTCGGTGACCATGTTACTGGTGCCCAGTGTGATGAAGCCGTTATCTAGACTGTAGTAGGCCTGTTGAACGTTAAGAAAGTGACCTATAGGTGTGATTCAGCGCAGCTCATAGGCTCGAAGTTCCGAGTTTCGCATTCCAGATCACGCAGCAGATAAACAACAGGAGGCACAAAGAGCGGGCCTTTCTACACTACATGACAATGGAAATTGCAGGCGAACCACTAAATATTACCCTCGAAGGAAGCGTCCGGCCGTGACAATCTGTTGACCCTGGCGAGTAAGAAGACTATTTCTGGGGTGGTATTTCAGTCGGTGATGTTGCACTTCAAATCTGCCCATTGAATTCCGTGATTCTGATCTCATGACAATTGGCTCACGATCTGGATCTCCTGTAAGTCTTTGCGTCGCCTCAATGAGTCAGCACCGACATTTCGCCGTTGCTCAAGAAGAACCTTAAAAGGGACACTAAACACTTTCGCCGCGGTTCAGCATTGGTACGATGGACAAATTGACATAATCATTCGTATAGCGCTGCTTCAAGACTGACTATACATAGTGCGGCGGCTGCAAGGTGAGCTTGAGTGTCTAGATTGTGTTCAAGGATATCTTTACACCTGCGGGAGAAGATCTAGAGTCGCTGCTGTTCAAAATTCCTTTATGCAAATGTGGCTCTGCTTGTCTGAATTCAGTCCCCTGGTGACTCAAAGTATGACACTCTGATAACTTGCTCGAAGGTTCGGGACTAGATGGAACTCAGATACATGAGTCACGGTACGTGGATTTCAAGTCTCGGGGGTCCGTACAGGTTGTATAGATTCCCGAAAAGCATAAGTCAACAATACAGATCTGCAGGTTCTAAGTCTTTCGGAGGTTTATTAACCTCATGAACTTACTTATCAAGGCCACCTCGTATAGTAACTTGCGAATTCGTCGACAACTACAAAGAAATGGTTTAGGGGGCTACGCAAGACCTGGAGCACCATCTCAAGAGATCACATCAAAGCCACAAGCCATTTACTCTTCCAGTCTCAGATCTACGTAGCAAAAACAGAACTACAGCCCCTAGGTGTTTCCAAAGCAGCGGAATACAGAATAATTGTATCCTGGACCAATGCCTTGAGGCCTAACCCACCCGGGATGGATTGGGTAAAACCTTTGATTTCATCATCATGAAGGGGAATAATCTTTGCTGAGTTGATCAATATTATTGCACTAAAAAAGTGTAGTGACGGCTAGACGATCCGGTTGCATAGACTCTAAACCATCGTCCCGATGATGCAGGCGCCTCAGTGCCACTTCGCTTTATGTACACGTAGGAGTATTATAATAAAATAACGAGGTTAATCCCAAACAGTATATTAGTATTGTAGATTGTTATTTCCTTTTGTATAATTTCGGCAGCTTCTGATATGGAGCGGCAGATAGTAACAAGACAAAAACAACTAAAGGAAGGCTTATACAAAAATATATCCAAAAGAATTCCTGCCCCGGTAAGAATCCTTCGCCCATACTAAAGAGGCTTGCCACCCATGAAAGTGGTATAAAAACCAAGGCGACATACGTTAGACGTTTAATATGCAGAGCCTCTACAATCGATCTCCTTGAATCAAGAATTTGAACCATTGAAGTTGCTACTGCAAGCATCTGTTCTAGAGACATGCTGTAGATTTCTATTTGTCGCTGCAAATAGCGGATATCTTGGAGAACCAGAGTCCAACGCTTCTGCTTGGGTTCTTCCTCAAGGTGGAAGTTGATGAAGTCTACAAGTGCTGTTAACTTGTGTTGACTTTGCTGGCTTCGTCGACGCCACCTCTGGAGGTCGATGATATCATCATTATGAAGCCTATAAGCGATGTCACTTATAGAATATTCATAATACTTAGAATACCGGCTGACTAAACTGGTATATACATTCCATTCATTAAGAATGATGCGGACGGGGTAGTATGCTAGGCCCAAGATTGTTACTGGCACATCGCGAAACATTGAATGGTTGCTTCCAAAATAATGGAATAAACAACTAAGCATTGAAGTGTTATTCCAATATTTATCAGCTGATTGATAGGAGAGAGCGCTGGAGGAGGCTGACTGTTCGAAGTCCTCGATTCCCCCATGAAGGCGCGTTGCTGGAAAGGTTTTCTGATATTCAGCTTGGACACGAGTGATCGGAATGTCAACCAAGAGCAGGCCTTCAGAAAAGTGTCAGAACCAAGAAAAATTAAAAAAGAAAATGAAAGGGAATAGCTCGGAATTGACTTACAGATTGACGTGCTCTTTAGCCGCTGGACGAGCATGGAGCAACAGACTCTACCAAGACCAAGCTGTCTTCCAAAAAGTGAAGGTAGACGCCTGACATTTCGAGGAGTATTAGAATCACTTTTTAAAGAATAAGCCACGTTTCCGAAGGTAGCTGAACTTCCCAGATCTAGCACCTGTTGGAAGTGGATGTTTAAATATCCTTTCTTAGCAGCAATAGATGGTAGAGTTGTTAGAGATGGCGGCAGGGGTGCTTTTTCGATGTCTTTAAAATCTGTAATGACATGACAAGCAAAAAATAACGGGTCGATATCAAGTGCCTCGCCGATTCGACTCATAAGACGAGAGTTGATATTCTCGACCAAGACTATTCGAGTGCAGACAAGGGGACTATGCTGACAGATACGAGAGATCTCTTCCTCTGGGATTTCAACTGCTTGGAACACCGAGGATGGGGAGGTGTGGATGTCGAGTATGTGCACCCTACTCCTAAAACGAGGCTCTTTGACAAGGTAGTCGACTAAAGGTTTCAGGCAAGGGTTTGTTTGTGTTCGTTTACGAACATGATCTATATAAGAGAGTTTTGTCGTCATCGGGATGGTATCTGTTGACGAAGGTGAGACTAAGTGCATTGTTGCTTCGACCATGCCATGGATATGATTGTAATTTAAGCGCAGAGCCTGTTTTGTGGCTTGCATTTCTGCCTGGAATATGCACGAGTGGTGGGGTAAGCTTGCAGCAGACCAGGCTGTGAGCCAACAAAGTTGACCGGCAACTGCATGCCAACACCAATAAAGATCTCTGCATGTGCCGTCTATGCTTGAAACCCAATGATAAGCCGACAAGTGTAAAAATGAATGCAGGCCAGATTCGTGCAGTGACCGACCCGATACATCGAGCTCGTATACTTTATTATACTGTATACTCTCTTAGCAGGCGAAATACTGGAGTATCACCATGTATTTCAGAGTAATAGTACTTTATTCTCGCCCGGCTGATCTGTCTCTGCTGCCACTCACGACTACAGGCAGCAGCGGTACTTTTGAGTACCCGGCCAATTGCTTATGCACATACCATAAAGCCTAATTCTCAGAAAATGTCGGCCTACGAAGTAGAGCTATGTATCCGAACATCCCCACTCTAGACTCCAGAAAGAGTGGTCATTACTGCAGCTAAAAAAATTGAACCGAGCCTTTGTCCAACTTTCCCAAATACATGCCCAGTCTCTTCATCGCCTCAAGTTCTTTCTCAGTCCTTTCTTTCTCAGTCCTGACCTTGTTTACGTATAGTCATTAGCTTTTGAAGCCTAGGCTTCGTTACGATTGCTACGGACACTCTCTGGTCTCTTACAGCCTATATGCCAAGAATGGACGGCCGAGTCGTGACCGATTCATCAAGCGGGCGGGACCCCTCAACGACGGGAGATCCAAACCAGTCCATGCCCTTGCGAGCACGAATTCTTCATCTTGTCGAAGAGAGCAGTAGTAGGAATGGATATACAGGTCAAAACGTCAAAGAAATCTTTCTGGAACAGATTTGGCCCAAACTGGAGAGTGATTACCAGAGGATGTCCGACAAGCTGGCAAAAGCCTGCAAAGTTGAGCTGAGCAATCGCCGCGTCCCAATCCCAGTTACAGTCGAACATCGAGTCAAATCGCGGACATCCATCTCAAAGTCATTGCAGCGACGCGAGATACACAGAGCCAAGGAGAACCTAGGGATGTACAAAAGTCTCCACGACATCCTTGGAGATCTGCACGATCTCGTTGGTATTCGTATCATTGTTGAATACCTTGATCATCTCAAGGATGTGTCTCAATTTGTCGCTGGCAGCTTTAACCAAGAGAAGGAACCAAACCGATTCGATGCAAACCGCAAAGTCGGTCACCTTTGGCAGCCGTGGTTTGGAGCCTATGAGTGCATGAACTATCATATCTCATCCAAATATGCAGCTGGTAACAGGCTTAGCCCATACAACGGTGTTATGTTCGAGATCCAAGTCACAAGCCTTCCTGCGCATATGTACAATAAGATCGCCCATCCGCTACTATACAAGGAAGAGGCTGGGACGTTGTCGCAGGGAGACGAAATGGTGATCGACATCACCAAGGGGCTTGCTTATTGCTACTCGCTTTGTTTGCACTTCAAGAGGTCGAAATTGAAGAAGCCAAAATTCGAGAGGTCGAAGTTCAAGAGGTCGAAGCTAAGTGGGGATGTAGAAGAGCAGGAGGACATGGAACTTTTGAGGAACATACCCTCAGCTTTCGAGGAATTGGACGAGTCCAGCCTCAATCGTCTAGCTGAGAGAATTCCCAAGCTGGACGTTGCAGCTAGTAAGACCATGGACATCCCGCGAGAGTCATTGAGGTTGGCCCTTGACAGTCTGCTCAATGATCAGATGCCGGACGACATAGGGCAAGCTCTTGCCGACAGATTCAGGTACCATTCTACCTTGCCATGTTTTTAACGCAGATAATTGACCATGATTGCAGTCGGGAAATTGAAAACATTGCTCAGCCTCCAATCAATTTGGTCACTTCGGGAAACGCACGTTTCGATAGCCAGGATGTTCATTCAAGTCCTGTGTGTCAAGCAGGGACCCAAACCCGCGCATTACAATACATACACGATTGGATCAATGACAGCGAGAAAGCGTTGCTATGGATCTATAGTCACGCTGGGACCGGGAAATCGACTTTGGCGCGAACAATTGCCAGGAAATTGACAGAAACTAGTCAAATCGCCGCTGGATACTTCTTCAAGCGTGGAGATTCCAACAGGAACGATGTGTCTCGTGTGTTTCCGACTATCGCGAGCCAGCTCATGTCCACCATTCCCCGTTATGAACCATTTTTGAGAAAGTCCGTTACAGCGTCCAAGAATCCAGATATAAAGACGATGCGTCTGGATGAGCAGTTCAAGGTGCTTATTAAAGTTCCACTGTCGGCAATAGGCATCATCCCCTCCACCAAAGTCATCATCGTCGATGCACTCGATGAATGCACCAATCTGATTGAGGCCAGTAAGATTATCAAACTACTCTGCAGTCTGAGGGACTCGAAAAACTTGCGATTTCGCCTTGTGGTTACTAGTCGTGACGAAAGTTTGGTTCGAAAAGCAATCGAAAATCAATTACATGAATCACTGCAACTGGCCACCACATTTCGCAATGACAATATCTCAGATATCAGGTCGATTCTGAGACTTGGCTTCGAAGAGATCAGAAAGGAGACAGAAATCAAGCATGCTTGGCCAACGGATGAACAATTCGAGGTGATATTGCAACGCTCAATCAACCCTTCTCCTCTTTTCATCTATGCTGCAACTTTCCTAAGGTTTCTCGACGAAGGAAAGGATATGTGTACTTCAGAGAAACGTCTGCAATGGTGGATCGACCAGAGCCCCAGTACAGCTGGTATGTCACAACTTGAAGGCCTGTACACAACGGTTTTTGAAAACTTAGACCGCAACAAGAAAGATGGAACCTCCGGGTTGCTTACCGATGAAGAAAAGAGCGATCTACGAACTGTTCTGGGCACAGTTGTTCTTGCTGTTGAACCACTGTCAATAGAGGCCATTGCTTCTATTTCAAGGGTTGATTTGGGTACAACTCGAGGCCTGCTCAAGTGCTGTCGTGCGGTGCTGGAGATCTCAGACGACAACCAAAAGCCTGTCAAGGCAGTGCATAAATCATTCGGCGATTTTCTACTGAGGAAACACCCACTGAAAAGATCATGGTTCCATGCCGATGAGATGGAATCACATGACCATGTAGCTGAGGGATGTATGTCACTCTTACAAACTCTGAGGAAGGATATTTGCGACTTCAATGATCCTGGAATATCAAGGGAGAGCATCGATGCTCATACAATTGATAGCCACATTCCCAAAAGCCTCCAGTATGCATCTTCGTATTGGTGGCATCACCTGCAAAGAGGAAACAAGCGAGACCACTCATATGAATGTCTGATACAGATCCTGAAAAGTCATTTTCTCCATTGGATCGAATGTCTGTCAATTCTCAATCGGCTCCCATTTGCATCTAGGGCTGTTGGAGAGCTTTGTGCCTCTCTAATAATGGTAATTATCAACTTATCAGCTATTATACCAGGACAAGTTACTGACAGATGTGCAGCGGGATCCATGCGAGTCCATGGGTTTCCTTATTCCATTCTTGAAAGATGCCAGTCGATTTATCCTCCGACATGGTAATACCATCCAAGAGAACCCACTGCAGACCTATGGCGCAGCCCTTCTATTCAGTCCTGCGGAAAGCCTTATTCGGCGGAGCTTCTGGGAGACCCGCCATCCTGGATTTAAAGTTATTCGCAACCTGGAACACCATTGGGGTGCTTGTTTAAAAGAAGTCGAAGACTTGTCACGCATTTCTTCTATTTCCTTATCACATGATGGGCAGGAACTAGCTATGGCTGGCGCCACTTGGGACACGGAGGTGCCTTCAATATGGATTCGCGATACAGGAGCCGGGACTCTTCTTGCACAATTCAACACACATACCCAGTTGCTAGCTCTGACATGGTCCAGTGATGGGAATTCTCTTCTCGCTGTCACAAGATTCGGTCAGGTCGTACGCATCGACCGAGCAATTGAGACAGAAAGTCCGTTTGGATTTTCACCATTCGCGACAACTGAAAGGTATGACTATGCTGCGATCTGTTCTTCTGGAATAGCCTCTGTGGTACGCGTGTCACACGATGATTTCAATCACGATTTTATCAAGTCCGAGGTCTTTACATGGGGATTCACTCAAAGAGATCAGACATTTCGAACTTGGGAATTTCCAGACTCAACAGTCCCTAGCATGGCCTTGTCGCCTGATGGTTCTCTTCTCGCCCTGTCTGTTGTAGCGTGGTTTCCAGGACACCATCAATACAGGGTTCGAGTCATCGAGGTAAACACTGGTACTTGCATCCAGGACTTGGCGGTCTATGCGAGAAGCCTTGCCTTCTCGTTAGATGGATGTCGACTTTTTATTTCAGACAGCAACCTTTCAACTTTGACTGTTCTCAAATTTCCATCTGGGACCTGCGAGCATCTCCGGCTTCCTAAGGCCTTCGTGGCTAACGCCATGGCAATCTTACCGGATTACACGACTATTTTGACGAAGACCGACTACAAACTCAGGTACTTGGACCTTGAAGCTCTGAATTATGTTATTCGAGTTCCGAAGCAACCAGATCCCCGACGTTTAGATGATGGTTACCCCATAAAGAGGGTTGCCATATCTCCTAGTGGTCGGTTCATGATAACGTCAAGTGTAGGCGAGCGAAGTCTAAAGGTTTGGCGTCTCCCGGATGCCATACTTGAGAGATGCTTGACAGTGGACAGCTTATGGGAAGATAACAGGTGGTCATTCACTCAACTACGTGATGCTTCCAATGACAAGGAAGCTTTTATCCTCCACCAGGATGAGGTTGCATATATTTGGTTCTTGGAAGGAATAGAGAACACACAAATCAAACATTCACGCGTCGTCAAGCTACCAATGGGAGACCTCTACTTCAGTTCCATAAGGGCGCATAGAACAGCAGTATTGAAATTTGGCCTTTGGAATCTATCTCACCGTCCACAGGGTGTTAATGTATCGATGACCGATGGAAGAATGGCTGCTGTTAGCTTCAAGGATACAGTTAAGGTCGTCGAGTTGGGTTCGACAGCCAGCTTATGCTTTGACTTCAAGGAGCCCGGAAACCACACAATCAGTGCAATTGCTCTCTCGCCAAGCTCGACGTATTTTGCTATATCCTATGGTACTACCATAAGTATCTGGACACTGGCAGACCCCTCTACAACGCGCGAGGTCCGAACTAATGACGAGGTCAAATCGCTAGTGTTTTCACCAGACGAATCTTTGTTGGTATACAATACTGGAAACAGCATTTGGAGCTGTACAATGAGCGACCAACCCAGATGTCTTCTTCAAAATAGTGGCATCGTGTTTCCCTCGGAACCTTGCTTTTCTTCAAGTGGGCAGATTCTTGCTTGGTTGGTAGATCAATTATATGGGTATAAAAAACAGGTTTATGTGTGGAATACATCGAGCGACCTTCAGCTTCCAACCTTCGAGGTATCCTACGAGGCTAATGCCATTTCATTCTCAAAAGATGACCAAATTCTCTATGTACTGGGGCGTATTGACACTTTAGAGACCTACCAATTCGAACAGCAGACTTCCCAACTAGGATCGATAGGCGGGTTAGGTTTGACCTGTGATAAGAGGATTGAGCTTACTTCTAGGTGGATCTCATGCAATGGACAAAAGCTACTAGTAATTCCTGAGGAGTATTATATTTATAGGATAGAGTATAGTAGTAATTTTCTTGCAATAAAAATTCATCACCAGGGAATTATTATATTAGACTTTAATTAATAAAAGTAAACTTCTTTTATTTTATTTATTTATTTCTTAAATATTATATATAAGTCTTTAAGTTTAATATATTTTATAATTATTAAAACTTTATAATTAAGAAAAATAACTACTTTATATTAATAAAATTACTGTATATAGCTATTTTCTTATAGCTCTTAAAGTAGCACTTTTTACTATTATAACTATATATAAATAAATTCTATTTATAGCACTAAAACTAATAATATTATAAGATATTAATATAAAACTATATATATAAACTAACTTAATAAAATAAGTATTTTAGTGCTTATTAAGATAGCTTGTTTAAAGGCTTTTAAGCAGTGTTTGCTAGGTGCCTACTAAGAAACCAATATCTAAAATTGGCCTCAGGGAGTCAATAGGTAGCTTTTCTATAATATCATTCCAGGTCGTATGCATACTGACATCCAGCTCTATTTATAGACCTGGTGGAATTATCATTTTACTTTATCTTTTACTTACCCTTATCTTACTATAAGATTTGAAATTCGAGAGAATATAAGGAGGATCTTCAGCGATCTGAAACCGTTTCGATCCCACCTCAACCTTCCCTTTCTAGGTATAAATCATCCAAAATCCAAGGAATTCTCAGAAGACAGCCCGGTGGTATTCCTGCACCAACCGGCATGCGTCTTCATGATTACTGGCAAAACGCGCGCTACTGGACTGCTGTAGTTCTGGAAGAAAATTTCGCCGATGATGCACTAAAGCTATCCATGAAAGAAGAGGAAAATGTTACGGCTGGTAGTATAGACCCCATCATGGTTGATGCGGAGTACAAATCCTCTAATAAAATTGTTTCTCCAAGGGTGTATGCTATCCCAGCCTTAGCAGCTACCCGCGAAGGGATCCCTGAGCATCATACGTACACCTAAGAAACAATTTGCAGCCAGTCTCTCTCGACATGTAAGCACGTGGCTTTCCGCTATTAATAGTCCCCAGAGACGTAGAAGTGCGTCGCAAACCTGACCAAGCCGGAACTGTAGAGCTTGGATGTCCGCCGAGAGGCACCTGAAAACCTCGCTTGCCAAGAAATTCAGGAATGGAGGAGTAAATTCCAAGATTATATCGGGCAAGTCAGATAAAATACCCTCCAACTACCCCGAAAGGTCAACTAGTTTCTTGATCAAGATGTTTGCATCAGACCTGAGGGACTGCCTTGTAGCTCAGCGTGGCTAAGTGTGGCGAACGAGCCTGATGCTAAGAAGTCTTTGTGGACGGTCATTGCGCCTCGTAATAAATTGTGCTAGATTAGTCACGAACTTGACTATCTGGTCGAAGAGGCCAAGCGTGAGGTATGCAATAATTCGTAGTTTTGCTTACGGCACTATAATACAGTTGTAGCTAATTTGGCGCTGCAGAGCAAGAACTCTAATGTAGACGAACAGCAAATACTTTCCCGCCAGCTACCGCAGTTTAAGCCAAAGTGGGTGTTTTGCAGCGTGCGAGTGAGAGTATCAGCCCCAGATGTGTTGGTAGGAGGTGCCACCCCAGCGCCGATGGTGGCCCAGCAGGTGTTTCTTTTGCTTTGACGTTGGTATCGATATTCCCACCTCGAGACTTTAATCTATATCTTAATTCATTGTTTCAGCATTACTATTCGTAAGCGAGGATGACCTATATAAGGAGAAGACGCGAAACCGGCTTATATTATCCCAAAATCTCTTACAGATGGTCCGAAACCATCGTTTAGTGTCCAACCAGCTCAACAGGCTCTCTACAGGGCACTGTGATAAGTTTGATGGTTCAAAAGAGGCTTCAGCCCCCAGGGCAAACAAGTAAGTATCTCCTATGCTCAGGCCCTCGGCAGTTCTGGCCAACCTTTCTCCCGGTGAATACCCTCGTCTTCCGGTTTATCCAACTCGCGGGAGCAAGATCGCGCTTTATTCTCGACATAAGTCTTGGCATCCTCCGCCATACGCGCTTGCATCATTCAAACGCTCCGCTTACCAGTAGCCAGCGATCACACATGCTTAGATTACCGGCCAGAAGCATGGTTACTCCATTAATCGCCTACGCTCGGCTGGCACTTAGCAACTCTGACTAGGAAACGAGTGAATAGTAGTAACGACACTATTTGTCTCGTAGTCCGGCCGGCGAAATGGCTATCATTCATGTTCGTGATGGCTCTTAAATGTCGCATAGTTTCTATTTCGACTTTGATCTCTCAGGCAGAGAGTTTGAGCTTTACTGTACTTTGAGAGGGATGCAAGTTGTTCTTCGCGAAGTTGATGAAGCCTACTGTAGGGGCAGAGAAGTCGCTATGCTTCATTCTGTATCAATGAGCTTGTTGGCTGGAAGTCTTGTATATACCTGTTCCCTCGCGGGCTTTGATGCAGGGAACAGCTGCTCGTCGCCTTAATGCTGGTCTCGACTACTAAATCACATGACAGGTGGACTAAATAATTGTCGTGAGATGCGCGACCGTTGTATTTGGCACTTGGCGCTGCGAAAGACCGACAGCCGTGGAGCTGGTCTGAGTAGTCGCTGATCTTATCGATGCTGATATAGCTGGAGTTGATGAAAGCGGCCTCGAGATATCCTCATATTATGTGTGAAGAGAATCGATCACGAAGTTGAACAGTTTCTGAACGCTATTGGAGTGAATTCCTTTGTGACTGGCACAAAGCCGTGGTGTCTAAATAATGGCTCCCGGAAATGGTTTCCCAACATGTCAAGTCTACCATCATCTGATGGGGTTTGAAAGCTTCATGAGCGAAGGTGGAGCTGGTACGTGACAGCCTTGAAACAATTGGACGACTGAACTCTATGATATAAGCCTCGGCATGTCTTTGGAGGGAATACACAGTACATCTGCTGCACTCACAAGAGGTTTGCGTGATGAAACAACATGGTTTCAGCCGCCCGGTTGCCAGTCCTATTGTTGGCGTCAACGGCGGTAAATAATAATTGTGTAAATTATAGATCACTTTAAGAAAGGAATGCATACAAGTTAAACTGAGTTCTATGATCAAGCCACTTCCCTTTTTGAGACAACCCCCCCCGCCGAAAGCAGAGGCTGGGTTCTTCAACGTCGAAGCAATCTCGGAATCCTTAGCCTCTGGTGGTCAGTTTACATCGTCTACGCAGTTACTGACTACCCGAAGAAACGATCGGGACAAGGTCATCCGCACTAAAGGTTACTCTGGTGTCTCTAGTAATACTACTGCTGAGAAAGATCGGAAGCTGGTGATTTGCTCAACAATTGCCTTGAAATCAATAATTCACACAGCCTTCTTGGCACTGACCTCACAGCTTCAGGTCACGCGGAGTCAGGGGTCTGAAGGACGAATGAGACTCCGAACAGAAACATGGGATGCTTTTCTACGTGGTGACGAAGGCTGACCCTGCAGCTGGGCTCTTCACAGGCAAACATTCTTTGCGTAACCCACATGTCACATATCATAAATCGACCCAACTCTCAACTTCACCGCCCTGGTCAGTGGGGTTACAGACAAAGAGCTGTTTAGTCACGATACTCTTCAATTTCAGAATAAGATGAGCTTGCTTCCCACCGGACTTTGTTCAGCTTTACGTCTGTCTTTCAACTCAACTCAGCTCACCACCCGTCGGAGTTGACTCAGAGAACTCACAGACAGACTCCACCAATGGATAACCTCGACAAAACACCCGAAGTTCGCCTTTCTGCATCCTTTGAAACCTTCTCCGTCATGGACAAGAAAGACCGGATCCGCCATCAGCTCAACTCGTGCGCAGAACAAATGCAAGAGCTTCTTGATCAACTGAACCCCGTCCAAAAGATCTCCCAATCCTTCCAGAACAGCATCACCCAAATCCAGCACTTGAACAAGTTCGACCAGCCTAACGTGGTCTCGCTATGGCAGGATCTTCTCCACGAGCTTCGCGCCTTTCCTTTCCGCTCTGAGGAATTTAGCCCTCGAGGAGAGTCGCAAAGCCTTCTTGACAGACGGGCTGAGCGCAACCTGAATATTCCGATACTTGTCGTTGATACCAACAATCATCGTGAACGAGGTCTGCACTCCAGAAAACGCAGGAATGACGACGAGGACGAGCTGATTCGACCTGACCACGGACATGAAGAAGGTTCGATTGGAGTAGAGAAGAAGTTTAACGCTCACGGCATCATCGACAAAATGAATGATCCAGCAACAAAGTGGAAGGTCTTAGGAAAGCGAAGGAATGGCGACTATGACGGCGATGATGAGCTGAATCAACCCCAGACAAAGCGCACTAAGTTTTCCAAGAAGCAGGGATGATTTCCTTTTCAGCAGCTCAGCAACCCGACATATCCAATGGCAAAATAACCAGGGCGGGTAGGATCTAAGCCGTAGGAGACTCAAGATTGCATGAACATGGGAGAGGAGGGTCGGGAGGGTCGGGAGGGTCATAGAAAAGCATATCGTCAGCGAAGCATTTTTAGATTTCGGAGCTCAGAATGTGGGAAATAGAAGGTTTATTTTCTGTTTAATGGATTATTTTACTTCAACCTGTTGAGGGGCCCAGAGTGTCGCAGTCGGTCATAGACCGTGAAAGGCTATTGGGTCTGAGCGAGACTCAGCCGCAAGAGGAAAGCGGAGAATACGAATTGCAGTCAAAAATATCGGCTACAGCGCCGCGATAGCTGCTGGATTAGGATAAAGTTTCGAGACCTCGTGCGCGGTAGTAGTAAGCGATAACCCAAAGGAATGCATAACAAGGTCGCTGTTCTTCTCCCAGATACTGGAGTCTTTCAACCTCAAGAGTAATACTCCCCACCTTGCCTCATAGTATCTGTTTTTCTTGGAGCTCAGCGCCTAGCATCTCCCTGTTCGGAATTCAGCTCAGTATGATTTCGATAACACTAGAGGATGGTGATTCCCGGAGATGGTTGCGTGGCTGATTGGGTATGCGTCCCTGCCGGCGCAAAAAAGCACGGCGTCAGTCATTGTAAGGGAAGCGGAGTGCGAGATATTCATTTTGCTGTACGACTTTATAGAAAATGGCAAGGGAAGAGGCGCTTGACTCTATCTTGTGGCTGCTTGACTGTCGTTAACTGTTTCAAGTCCCGGACTCCTTGCGGGCTAGGTATGTGAGTTCTGTCATCTCCAGAGCAACATACTTTATTATTTCAGGTATTAGGGCTGCTTTGTGACTTTAGCTTGTATTCTGTGAGCTTAACATAGTTAAACTGTCATGCTTTCATGCCGGTATGGGAGGTGAGCACCCAAAGTTAAGGCCTCGTGACTGCCAGTCTTTCTTGCTCTGTCTCCTTCTCTTCTTCCATTTCTTCTTTTGGTTTCCTTTCCTCTTTACCTTCTGCTTCTCCTTACAAATATCGAATCTTCTTGCCATATCGTTCTGCGTCATCTTGATCGCCGACAGGCTTGACTTCAAACATCCTATCATTCACTCTCACATCTCCAGTTCCGTTCACAAAGATCCCTCAAGACTTTGCACCAAAGGACATCGGCGGTGGTATTGGTAGTTTGTTTATTCCTTCTCTTGAGTGTTTTTCTGCGTATCCATATAATGAAGTCTGGACTAGGGCGCTTCGGATGCTTAGCTGTTGGATTCGAAATCCAGTGATAATGAGCTGCGGTCTCATGGGCCTCCGTAAGCAGGAGCTCCGATCGACAAAGGTGTTGGCGGGGGTCTTCAGGTTCCGCAGATTCACAAAGGTGATCCCGGGCTAGGGTTTCCGGGTCACGGTGCTCCTGATAGGAAGGTCGAAAAGCTGGGCATTCTTGAACGCGACCAAGAAGCTCAGTGGCCTGGATGTTATCAAGAAGAGACTAGATCCACGGAACGCCTTTCACGGAGTTACACAAATCGAGATTTCTCTGAAGTGAGCTCCGGATCAAGGAGCTCACTTCTCGAGGCTCAGTGGTCTGGGGGTCCTTGGAGTTGAACCCCGATCGTTGTGCTCAGTATTTGGAGGTCAGAAGTCTGGGAATGAGCTCCAAGAGCTATGAGACAGGGTGTTCCATGCTTGGAGCCCCTCGGTCTTGGCTTTTAAGCCCTTTTAACTGAGTATGAAAAGTGGCAGTAACGTCTCTATTATTCTCAAAGTTTGGCCTCTCTGCCTACCGCTAACCGTCCGTGGGATAAAAGAACATGAAACGTTTTCCGAGAGAACCTCACAAGTCGAACTATTGCGATATTGGAGCTTAATGCCTCTAAAATCCCTACATTCAAGTCCAGTACTATCGAGATCCCGATATGGAGCTACGAGGTCTGGTATTCTCAGAAACGTACTCCGAGCAACGAAACCCACATTTTGGAACTCAAGATATGGAACTGCTTTAAGCTCAAGTCCACGTATCAGAGCTCATTAATGTGGACTGTGTAGAATGTTTGCTCTCGGCCATGGATGCAGCACCAGCTTCTTTACTATCCTAAATATTTAGGATCGCTGCTTTCCATCTTTTTTCTAGGATGACTCGATCATATGTTGTAGGCTTACAATGGTGGGCGGAACTTCTATATATAGGCTTTAAAGAAAGTGCCAATTATCGGCTGATAATTCTGTAACTTTGTATAATTTTGATTCAGGCGCAGCCACGTATTTCCAATACGATTAGAAAATAAGTAAGTACACAGTCTCCCAGACCAAAGGCTAGTGTAATACAGTACCATATATGCTGCCCCAGTACGAACAGGAATATCTTACGAGCCCTGCACACGAGATGAGTAGATTGCGTGCTCGTCAAGTCTGGTAAAGGTTGCCAACGCGTCGTCTGGAAACTTGTTAATCTGATCTGTCCGAACCCTCTCCGAGTTCTGAGTTCAACAGCCGCTCTTTTCCAGGCTCTGTGAGCTCTGGAAAGCGACAGTCGCATCCAAGTCCGACTCTGGAGGGTCTAGTCTCTACAAGTCAGTTAGAGCAAATTTTCTTCACACGACTGAGGTAAAACCTCCTTCTCGGGAGCCCTACCGCTTGCATCGGATCGGAGGCCGGCCACGTCGGGCCGGTTTGATCCGTTGAAAAGCCAACATTTTTCTTATTCTGCTCATTTCCTCGTGGTCCAGGCTGGACCAACGAATGATTGACCCAAGACACGATAGACCCCCAGCACAGAAATAGTACGTATACGGCGGCAAAACACGCTTTTGGTTCCCTCGAGTTCCAGTCCGACGCCCCTGTTCCGCCCATCGGCCATAGGGGACTTGAAGTTCCGCTAGTTCGAGCCCTAATCTTATTTATAATCTAGCCTAGACCCGCAATTTGTCTTCTCAGTCCCATGCTGAACGGCCTGCAATTTGTCTACAGGCGTCTTGTAACTAGCCCAAGATGGTTGCATGATATATGATGTACCTGTTGATTACCTGAGGCGAGCCATATTAGTGTCTCCGCAATTTGTCGCATCACTTTATCATCCCTCCCCTCCCCTTTGACCCTGACCACTCGCGTTACCTAGCCAGTGCATCTTTATCGACAACACCTCAATCCTACCTAACTTATTGACAAAAATGGAGAACTCGCAACCGGCTCGCCGTGGCCGTCCTCCAATCCAAGACGGGCAAGATGTGGTGGACAGTCAGCAGGCCAGTGTCCGAGTAACAAGAAGACCTGAACCGCCTACTTTGCAAGCATCATGAAGCTAACGAGGGCCCTCTCGTTCCAGAAGAAGAGGCTCGGGATGCGTTTTGCACCGAGATCATACCGCGCCCGGAAACAAGAAGCTCAAGATCTCTAAAGGATCCGGGCTGAAGAGCTTCACCGCGCTCTGGACAACGCATTATCAACCTTTTCCACGCTCCAACAGCGACTTCTTGATACCTCGCAGGTTCAAAACTCGCCAGACGTTCTTTTCCACCTGGAAGATGCCGTGGGACAAATGGCTGCCATTGCATCTAGCACGAACAAGAAGTTACCCTTGACGCATGCTCCGGATGATTTAGGCACTACCTTTTGTCAACATGCTCCTGGAGTGCTGGCTCCACATAAGTCAGCCTCTGCAGCTTCCAGAGCTATGACTATGTCTCTACGTACCAGCACTTCCAAACAGATTCCAGTGCCAGCAAGGCTCGCAAGAGCCTGCTTCGAGCGCGTGGTGTCCGTCTTATCTAACAGTACGGTAGATGGAAGCCAATTCCCAGCCTTGGCTCTTCCTCTTCAGCTGCTAGGCATAGAGCTCCTAAGGTTTAATTCTCTGCGAGGCCTGTCGCTAGTTAATGTTTTTGTGGGTGATTTTAAGTATCCGATACACTCTACTTCCCGGCTCCCAAACATATACCGCATTGTTGAAGGCGAGCACAAAACCGTATTGAGGATGCCAGCTCCGTTCTTGCAGCAGATCGTGAGAGGCAAGACAAGGACAATACAAGACACAAACTCTCCGCACCTCCAGGGAGAATGGCTTGAGGCTATGGATGTAGAAGAGTACCTGGAGAGCGGGGGATCTGCATGTGCAATGCTGTTACGAGCGGCACAGAAACTACAGGCAACACCATGTATCAATCCTCTGTCCCAGGTGGCGCGCAGAGTATACCTATGGAGAAACGCGCCTCTGTATCTTCATCGGCTGGTTTTCCCGGCCATGAGCCAGCAGACTATTTAGCTTTCGGGCTTTCGAGTCCGAGACAATGGTTGCGTTCTGCCAACCGTCAAATCCATTCAAGCGCTATAGCCGGCGACCTACAGTCAGACTTCAATCAAAAGACTACTCAACGTATCGAAACAGCCTCCCGGGTCACTGTCGACCTCGACAAGCTCGTGTATCTACTCGCAGATAAAGCCATGTGCCTTGGTCCTGTGCCCGGAATCCGGAATGCTGACGCGGATGCCTCGATTCGGGGATCTTTCACTCTATGTTAGAATCTGTAGAAACCCATCACAATCTATTATTCATTCCCAAACGTAGTGCAAGTCTCCGGGCACATCAACACGATGTATTAGCCTTTCTAGTCTTTCCTTCGACACATCCTCTTATAAGCCACCACTTGGAAAGTAAGGATAAATCTCCCATAAGAAGCGCTGCCAGGTTCGCGATACGCTCAGCGATTTTCCAATCGTCTCGCCCGTCGGAATTTCCCTTGATAAGCCTATCTTGATACAATCTCCAACTAGTACACGTTTGCCTTCATCCTCGCCCATGCCGAATACCTCTAGGTTCTTTCGGCTGGATTAAGCTCTCAGCCATAAGTTTCAGCAGCAAATAACACTACCTCAGACGTACAATACGTAGTAGCACTCACAGTCTTTTTACCTATGGCTTCGATGAGCTGTGTGGTTAGAGCATAATGTATCTGGAAATTCTGGACCATGCCCTATACTGTCACCGTAATTGCTGTGACTCCTTTGATAACGCCGCCAGGTCTAGGGAAGTCGACCTTGCTATAGTCAGGGAAGGCGTTTGAAATGTGTTCCAGTCTTTGAGATCAACATCGATGGAGTATTTCTGGATGGTGGGTCTCCCTGCACCCTATTGCTCCCTTGAGTTTTCTCCACTCCGATATAGTAAGCAACCCTATAGACAAATTGCGGCACCCCCTCGCTAAGGTTATTTACAGTATGTATTCACATAATTAGTAATAGATACTTTAGGTTCCCGAACTCTTTCTCTTTGCCGGATCGAGCTCCGAAGATCTATAATTGGTTGGATTAGACCTACAGTTAAGGGAAGCTTCTAACCCTTACACAAGTGGTTGTTGTAACAGACGGCTGTATGCAAACTACGAATTACCGGGGTGGGTAACATGGAGTCACCGAGTTCGCCGTGATCACTTGGATTTGTCTGGCACGAGCGGAGATATACGCGTGATTTGTAAGTGCGCTTGAGCCCAAACCCGATTATCTAGGATGTTGCGATAGATTCAATCGTGACCGACAGACAGTTCTAGCTATATAAAGCGTATCTGTCGCCATACTAAACCTTTGCTCTCAAATGATCATAGCAGAATAAACAGCATAACCATCAACAATCATGAAGGAAGCATACATCAATAAAGACCTCAACGTCGAGATCCGCGACGTTCCTGTGCCTACAGCCGGGGCGAGCTCCTCATTCGCACAGTCGTGTCAGGCACAAACCCCAAAGACTGGAAAATGCCCAAGTTGATGGGTGGAGACCCAGCGAATCATGGTGACGATATCGCCGGCTACGTCGAGGCGGTCGGCGAAGGAGTCACGGGATTCCGTCCCGGTGACCGAGTCGCTGCTTTCCACCAGATGTTTACTCCTCATGGTAGCTACGCGGAGTACTCGGTGGCGGCCGCTAAGTCTGCATTCCATCTCCCCAATGCCACCACCTTTGAAGGTATGAGTTTCCTCTTGCATATATAATTCATGCCTCTTTTCTGACACATACACAGAGGGCGCCACGATCCCGCTTGCCAGCATGACCGCTGCTCTTGGGGTTTATCAGAGACTCCAACTGCCTCTACCATGGACGCCTGTCACTGTGCCAACGCCCCTGGTGGTTAATGGAGCCGCAACAGCGGTGGGGGCCTTCGCCATCAAGTTTGCAGCCCTTTCGAATGTCCATCCCATTATCGCCATCGCAGGCAATGGTATTCCATTCGTGGACACATTGCTTGATAAGAGCAAGGGCGACATCATCATCGACTACCGACAAGGAGCCGAGCATATGAATGAAGAGCTTCGTAAGGTCGCAGAAAAGCATGTTATCTCTTATGCCTATGATACTGTGTCTGATGAGGCAAGCCTGGAGATGCTTTCCAAAGTCGTTTATGCAGAGAACGGAAAGATCATGAGTGTTGTTCCTAGAGAGGACGAGGTAATTGGGGGAATCACGGTGCTGGGATCTAATGTTGGCCACATCCACGAGCCCGCCAAAGAGGGATTCAAGGTTGGAAATGCAGAATTTGGTGCTGCCATTTACAATCTGGTTAGTCTTGGCCTGGCCGACGGCTGGTTTTCGGGGCATCCTTACGAGGTTGCTCAGGGAGGTTTGGCTGGACTTGAAGGTGCTTTAAAGTCTCTGGAAGCAGGTAAGGTTTCTGCAAAGAAGTATGTATTGCGCTTGGCAGAAACACCTACAGTACTTAAGGAGTAGGGGAAGGTGTACTAGCTACGGTATAAATAACATTTTATTCATTTTCTCTGGGTGATATTGATTTACCAAGGTCGTACAACACTTCCAAGTCTATAGTGCGTGCTCTACTAGCCGCGGCCGCAGGGGATAGGAACCCTTGTTCAACAACTGGCGGTCGACTCTGCTACGTTCTACTTTACCGAAGTTCCCGACCAAAGCCACGTCGCCGCGGCAAAATATGGCATACATGCGCTCTCTGCATGTGCCTCGGAGAATGGCCCAAGAGGTCTGACGTCCAATATCATAGCCCTGGAGCCATGGAAGGAAATGAATGGAGTCCAAGACTTCCGAGCGAAGCTTCGCAACAGTCAGGACAAGCAGCCCGCAATATCCCGATGGGAAGACCCGGCCTTCTCTATGAGGTTTCCGATCTCACAGTGTTACTTTTCAGTGAAGCGGAAAATGACATCAATGGCCCTGTTTTGGCAGTAGATAGTGGCGCTTGGGAATTGCCAGGCCTAGCGGGCATGTCAGCAGGGCTGTCAGACCCCTATATTGTCCTTGGGCGATCAATCATTGCCGACCGACATAAATATCGGGTGCAGAGATGAATGGAAATAGTAATAAACTTTATTTTCGTATTTATTTGCGCTATCCTCTGCTCCTCGGGATCACTTGGACTGATATCGTAATATCATCGCTAACTCCATGGTTGTGTAATATCTGTTAGACCCATCGTCTGAAACGTCCCGAAATCCGGAAATATGCACTGGCTTAGGATAGCGTTTACATCTGAATCTTCATATTCGTCACTGATCACTGATTAGTTGGTGCCGTCTATCGAACACCCACGATATCGCTCTCGTATGGAGGAAACACGTACCTTGTCCCTGTCCCATGCCCATAGTTACCGGCAGCATTGAAGGCCCAGATCATCGGCGATGCTGCCTGGTTAGTTTCCCTCTCATGAATCCCTTGGACTTCTGGCATAATCACGCCACTTTCATCTGTACCGGTAGGCGGGGGAATTTCCTGAACACGACGCCTAACACTTATGACCTCTCGAGCTCTTGTAAATAACCGATCCAAGATCTCAGCGCCAAAGTATGTGGCCTTTATTTCCTGTACTACCATCATACACATATCCAGCTGATGGCAGCCTAAGCGATGGACCAACTTCCGCGGTGACACAGAATGCAGGAGATGCATTTGCAGCGTTGGTACGAGAGCGATGCAGCTATGTAACATGAGTAAAGGATGCGAAATAAACAGGTGTCAATGCTTGTCGAGATATTCTTACATCAATGATTGAGAGAGACAGACCATATCTGCCATTATCATGTCGCCGAGCGTGTTGGTAGAATTCAAGGCAGCGGCGGTTGCTTTCCTCTCTACACTTGACAACCAATCTTGTGATTCTTTGTTATGGGCGACGGCGCGCTGATTTCCAAGGCTCTGTAACACAAATGGGCGGAATAGAGTTAAAAGTGTAGACCTAGTTGCATTTGTTATCATGACGCTTTGATGATATGGCCAGCGTTCGTACTCAAAGAATAGTTCGAAATGATACATGTGAAGAGTGAGAACTGGATCGGTGGCTCCAGCTCTGAGGTAATCCAGGTGTTTGTGATGACCTCTTAGCTCGCGCTCCAGGTCATTCACCTCCGAGTGGGTCGAAAGCGTCCGCTTCGCAAGGTGTTGGACAGAAAGAATCCTTGACAAAATGCTGGTGACGGAGAGTAAGTCATCCCACAACAGAAACAAATTCTCAGGATCCTGTGGGATGTACCGCCGACGCTGAGAATCTGTCAGCTCAGAATACATGCTCTCGGAGGCCTTTGCATCTGGTTTGGGTGTATCGGCGTGGACTGAGTTAATACGCATGGGCCGTCCCATGCCAACAGACAACCACGTTTCTCGGAAGAAGCACCACCACCACAGATGTTTCCACAGATGCCGATCGATAGATGAACGATACTGAGAGTGGTCGAGACTTGCATCAGGTTCACGATGCAACCCTACAGTCTGGCAGAGGCTGATGGCAATGCCATTCCAGTGCCATGGCCCAAGCCTGTCTTCTGTATCTGAATACCAGAAGCCCATTAGTAGCACCGCTTGGATCAGGACAATCTTCGACCGTTCATAATTCGCGTCGTATAATGCCTTGAATGAGGAGGATGAGATATCATCTTGGATTGGACAAACCGAGGGCATACCTTTGCACGTAAGAACATTGCCCGTTTCATATCCTTTCGTGATTCATAACCAGATGATTGCACGGTCGTCACGTCGGCAAACTGAACGATCGATGATTAGTAAAACATGTCTGGGATGTGATGTACAGCATCGGACCCTTTCCTACATTTGCAGCTGCCAGAAACACGCTCCAGAGAAGATGGAGCGACACCCCATCCTGCCCTGGGCTTTCGAAGGTCTTGAGGAATGAAGAAACATGTATGACAGGCAAGAAGGGGTGGACGTAATGGAAGTACGCCTGCACGAGCGATTGTTGGATATCGGAAGCTGGCAAATCAAAGCACCTTCTTTTTTCCAAGTACTCGTGCGTATCGGAATCGATATTCGTTGAGCTTAGGGCTGCAGCGACGAAATGACCACTTTTATCAGGACGCTCGGGCTCGCAGAGATCGGCAACAAGCCCAACGCCTTGAGTGTCACCTTGTGTGAGTGTTAGCCTTTTACGGAAAATTACCGTCACGTTTAACGGCACTGACCATACACTGGTGACAGACCTGCTTGGGCTTGTGGGGTTGCCGTGTCAGGTTCTTGGGGTTGTGAGTGGTGACCAAAGTGATCAGTGAATGGACGGTAGACTGGCTCATTGTGGCTTGCCTGGTCCTGGGTAATGGACTCGGCATCACTCGGCGCGCTCGGCAAATTCTGACCTCTCCGTGTTCGCGCACCGTTCCGAGGTCGGTAAACAACGTCAGTCAGCGACCTTCAATTGTTAATCGAACGAGCCCGGGACTCACCTTTGAGGCTGCCTAGCACGTGCTTGGCAGCTGAGGTTGTCTAAGGAACAGTTCGTACAGGGGCTTCCAGTTTGTGAGATGCTGCAGCGAACTTTGCGTGCGTGACAAGCATGGCAAGCCGCGGCTGCCCTTTTCCTTGATCCAGAGATGGCATCAGCGGATCCCGATGAGGGCGGCATTTTGACTACAGATATCAATGAAAGCAGATCAGGATGGGTACCACGGAGGAAGGACTAGTTAGATAAAGTAATGTTTGCCTCGGCAAACTTGAAGATGCTTTGCGCCGAGGTAGCACACCTAGCCTAGATACATGTGATTGGATGGTGTTTGGGTACAGTGGAGCATCGAACAGGAACATGCTTGTTCAAAGTCGGTGTTTCTTAGTTCCCGACATAACTTTGCCCATTTCCTCCAGTGGAATGCCTGCGCAGAAACGCTCAAGGCCCTGGAACGTCTCCAAGGGAGCCATCTCGTACTGCTCACGCACAACCCGGCGACGCATCAGTGCCTTTGTTCCCAGCAAACTCGAGCCGACAAGGTGTGAACTAAAGATTTGGCGCATGTACTCCAACACCTGTATCCGGAAGTTGTTCTTGTCCTCGAAGACGTGGTTAACAAAACCAACCTGGACAAGCTCGCTGACCGGGATCTTTCGGCCCAAGATCAATGCTTCATTGGCCTTGCCGGGTCCCATCCTGTGGACGAATGCAACACTGGCACCGCCTTCAGCGACTAGACCTAGTGAAGAAAAGGGCGTCAAAAGGTAAGCATCAGGTACCGCGTAGATAAAGTCTGAATGGGAGATGAGCGCGGCTGAAAGTCCGATCACAGGTCCGTTCAGAGCAGTCACCAGGATTTTAGAGTGACTGTAGAATGCTCTCGCAACATCCAAGTTATTATTGACTAGCTTAGGAAGCCAATAAGGACGGGACACAATCTCTTCAATGGACGGAGGGCTGTCTTTGAGATCGGCACCACTGGCAGCGGGGTCAGGAGCCTGGTCTTTACTCGACGAGTTGAAGCCAGACTTACGCGGAAAAAAAGGGTCCCTCTCCAATCAGAAGAGTGACGTAGACATCATTGTTTGCATATATCTCCCTGAGTAGACTCGCTAGGCGAGAGAACAAGCTCTGTGTCAGGGAGTTGAACTTGTTCGGATTGTTCAGCGTAATGATAGCAAAGTTGCCTTCGTAGTCGATGCGGATGTGATTCTGGTCGGACATCGTGTGGGCTGTAAGAGGTTTGAGAACAGCTAAGAACAATGGCCTGTCTTGGGTGATAAATCAGATAGTCCCTGTGATGGCCCAGCGAGGGCGAGTTTAAGTAGTGCACCGCCGCTCACAATCGCCTCGGCATGATCAACATTCCGCGGCAATCTTGGACGATCTGTCAGTACCAAATAAACTGCCTCGTAATTTATTCAACGACCGTTCTTGAACCTTTTGATTGATCTTTACCGGGTTCTCATGCACTGGAACCAGAAATCAGGGTGTAGTCTTGAACCTTCCATGTCCCATTGTAGTAGAAGAGCTTCTCACATGAAGATGAGACATAACAACCTGGTCATTCCCGCACTTGGCATCTTTGCGAAGTCACTGCCCTTCGTATCGTATGTGAGTGTTACCGACAAGCTTAGTTTCAGAACGTTCACTCGATAATCCAAAGTAGTTCAGGTTCTTCTAAGCTTTGCTCAGATGGAAGTTATCCTGCTGCTTGGAAGCTCTATCAAGGTTCACTGGTTGACACTTGTTTTTATCATTCGTTTTCGATACTGGGCCAACTATATCTGAATGTGACTTTAGTCTTTAAGTATTAAACATGGTATATTTCGCCGACTTAGATGTTGCTAGATCGCACTTGAGTGACATTTTGTCCCGCTGGGGACCGCTTGACCCCAAGGTTTCATATCAGAGGCCTTTTAACGGGTAGATTATTCGCCGTGTCCTTCTCTAAAGGCAAAAGAAGAATCGAGAAATGAGGTGCTCGTGTGTGCCATTACTCGGATGGTGTTCAAAGCAGGTCAAACCATTCCACCAGCGGATGTACTCAAAGTATGTGGGTTCTGTCTAAGTTATGATTTTGGCCTTCAATCTCATTCGCTTGCTATGAGATAGGCAACGTAGCTGGATGAATCGATTCGCGTTAAATCACCTGGCCCTGTCCTCTGGCGCCGCTCTGTCAATCGATGGTGAATACATAAATGAATCATCTGTATCCTGTTGGTTCTCAACACAGGCTCGGGTAACTCAATTTTCTTATACAGCACTCACAACACCGAGGAGCAGATGAAAGTTGCAAGTTTGGTTGGCTGTCAACGTTCTTGCTATCATCAAAGTCCCCTAACTCTCCGATGGCACCAAAGCCTCTCATAAACGCTTGCTATTCATCCCGCACGATAAAGACCCTAAACGATGCAAAAAGTGCCAAAGAAATATACGGAAATTTTCTCGCCGTAGCGGTCAAGAAGCTACCAGGTGGCACAAAGCTCGGAAGCCGAGAACCGGAAATCCTCTGCTTGAAGACTTGAATCGCATCTTTAGTTTCCTGGCAATTGTTTAGGCTCTCCCAAACCTTTTGTCCTTCATTAGCTATGTTGTCATGTCGTTTGGTTCGCAAAGTGGTACCGGGGGTATCATGTCACAGGCCAGCTAGCGAGGGGCGATGAAAGCAAGAGCTTCGCGGAGCCTTTATAATTAAAGAACAGGCAGCAGTTCTCAAATTCGTCTATTTTAGCTAGTTTGACCATCTTTCTGATAGCAATCAATACCAACCAAAAGGTGACTATTACCAAACCGTCGCTTATTCTCTTCAATTTGAGGTGGCCGTCGGTTTGATCTTAACAAACAAGTTACAAGCAGGCGTGCAGCGAAACGCACTGTCAAACAGCTTCACCCTTCGGCCATGGGTCACATGTGAGTCATTATATCAGCCCCTACCTCCCTCAACGAAAAAACCTTTCCTCATTCCATGTGTTCATTTCTCCCTTCCTCCTCTATCTTCAATCACGCCCTTACCCGTCTCGAATTGGTCGCCTTTTGCCGCTGGTAGCTTCGCGCAGCAACACGATGGCCTCCGCTGCTGTATGTCGAGCCAGTCAGCTGTTGATCCAACCTCTACTGACTTTAGATAGCTGCAGGAAACTTGGTCGCGGAGGAACATACCATGCCTCGAGTGCATGCTATTCCTTGCGAGACTTGAACCTGATAGAATCCGACGGCACAGTCTCTGCTTAGAGAGCCGTAAGTGACCCAGAAGGAGAGAAGAGTAGATTTCAGACTAACTGACGCACATGACAGCCCCAGGTGCTGCGCGCTGCCGTCGATGCCAACATCCCGAAACCTACAGCCGTTGCATTGAGGTAAGTTCTGGAGCCCTGGCAATACCAACCTTGCAAACCACTGACCAGCCGGACCAGATCCTTCGCGGATCCGAGCTAGCCTGTATAGCTGTGAACCTGATCCATGCCGTCAAAGCGTTCCAAGCCTCTAAGGATGAGGACAAGAACGCACCTCAACTGGTAAGTCTGCCTATCCAGAAACCCACGACAGCTTCATGACTGATACTATACAGATCGCCAATATGCAAGCTCAGCAGACCCGTGCCCGTAAGGCCTGGGAGTCCATATGGGAGGTCAGAAAGCTCGAGGAGAATCTGGATGAGAAAGCACGAGAGGTTAGGCGGCTAGGGGAGAAGCTTGCTCAGAAGACAGGCGAGGTCAAACGCTTTGAGAAGAAGCTCAATGAAAAGAAGTTGGCAGTAGAGAAGCTTAAGAACGAGATCGGGCAGAGGAAGAACGAGTTGAGGGGACTCTTGAACAGTGTAGCAATGTAGCTCCTTCTCCTGTCTACAGTGAGGGGTGTGCTGAATCCGGCGACTGACTCCTGTTGGAGAATAGAAAAGATGACGGTTATAGAGTGTTAGTTTATCTATGCAAGAGCTGCCGTGCTATGTTAGGGAACAGTCTCAGTGTGCAGCTAGCCGAACGAGGTACTCTAATTGCAAGGAAACATATACTTGGTCAGACGTCTACTTATCGCCCTCCCATTTCTTACCACCAATCTCGACCGCCTTCCGAGAAAGTCTGGTTGCTTGTTTCGGGCACTCATGCACGCTCAAACTCGGTCTTACTGTCCTAAAATCGAAACTGCGTACTACTGCAGCGCGACCTGAGTCGTATCGTATGAATCCTGTAGAGGCCATGGAGAACATGGGTAACCCCATGCATGTAGATCCGGTAGTTTCCAGTATTGAGGTTTCCTGCCCCAAAATTAAAGTTTAGGTCCGGCAGCGCCGAATACTCCTTTTTGAAGCGATAAATCGCGTCTCGAATCTCATCGAGCGACTTGCAGTCTTCCAGGTCCAATTTGAGCTGTGGGAGGTCGAAGAAGAGAATGTTGACTTATGCGTCGATGAAGCTGGACACCACCATGCGCTTTTCGAGGTCAAGCACGTCGGTCACGGCGGCGTCTCGTTTAGCTAGTTGGACTGCATCGTCAGTCTGGGTGCCTACATGGACAATTTGGCTGCCTTTCACAACCATAGAGCCATGATGCTTGCTGGGATCACCAAGAGCCCCGCCAGTCAAGGAAACGCCATTCGCAAGACGTTGGTTTCCATTATCACGTGTGCGTCTTGTCTATCTAAGTAGGGAACATCAGATTTGCTGGATCTAGTGGTAAGCATGACGCACGGCGCCTTCATGCTTATCAAATGAAGCGGATGTTGCCCTCCATATTTACCTTGGTAACTACCATCCACACTTAGTTCCTTGGCGAAAGTAGGCAGTACATGATAAAAGGTCCTTGGTTGGGTCAACCTTGAGTCAACTCGTCTCATACAAAGGGCTATAGGTAGCTTCCTTACTTCTGTATCGAATTCATACCGTACATCAATATGGCCCTCTAACTGACTCATATCTCCCAACACATGGTTATAATTGCTGTTTTCGTTCATTTAACCAATATCCCCCTCGGGCCGTCGAAGCTGTGAGTAACACACCTTTCTTTTAAGTCATAATTCTAACAATATGCCACAATAACTGGCTTTCGCAAATCCATCCTTCAAGCCATCACGGACTTGATGGCATCATCTCTTCTCAGATGTGCTGCTCCAACAACCGCCCCATCATCATCTACAAACGCTTTATCACCAAATGCCAATGCAATCTCTTCAAGCGTATGGCCAGCTGTCTCAACATAATAAAAGTATGCAATTCCAACAGAGATCAGACAGAATCCCGCAATGATCACATAGTAGTATCCTCCAATGCCGTCGAATGCGTCCGGGGCCGACATACCAATGGCAAAGTTGAAGAGCCAGTTGGAGCATGTAGCAAGGGCCATGCCTTTGCTTCGAGCACGCAGGGGGAATACCTCGGCAGGTAGCAACCAAGGAATTGGGCCCCAGGTGAAGCCGTAGATAGCGTTGTAAATGACGACGAAAGCGTAGATGCCGTGCGCTCGTGTACTGGCGTTATGGATATGGGCTTCGGTAAAGGCACAAACGATGCAGAGGGCTATCGCCATAAGAATACCTATATCCGTATACCGTTAGCTTTGTTCTGGATATGTCAAGGATATGTACTGACCACAGAATCAAGAGCGGGCGTCGCCCCCATCTATCAGCCAACCACCAAGTGAGGATAGTAGCAGAAACATACGGGATGGAGTTGGCAGCTGTGTAGAGCAAAGACTTTTCCTGGCTCATACCAGCCTTAGCAAGGGTTGTCGGTAGATAGAACGAGATGACGTTGATGCCGTTGAGCTGAGCAAACATCTGTGCCGTGATGCCAACAATAGTACGTTTCCGGTAACGAGTAAACATCTCCCGCCAAGTTGACTGCTTCAAGCTCGCTTCGTAGCACACAGCATCTCTGATCTCCAACATAACCTGTTGAACATGCTCGGCCTGCGTATTCCCATCTGGAGTATGCAGATCCGCGACGGTTTGAAGACACTCTTTCGCAAAACCATTGCGTGCCAGCCAGCGGGGAGTTTCGGGAAGAATAAAGGATATGGAGAAGAGAATGAATGCAAGACCCATCTGTATAAATTAGGGCCCCTGCCACGACTCGCTTTTGGGAATGAGATAGTAGAAGCCGAAGTCGACCCAGGTCGAAAGTGCGTAGCCACCAATAAGGAATGTGTATTCAACACCAACCATGAGACCACGACGATGCGGCGCGGCGATCTCAGTCTGGATGACAGGAACAGCCATGGAAAGGAAGCCAACGCCCAAGCCCTGCAGAGTCCGACCGGCAACAAATGTGTTGAAACCAGGGGCAAAAGCTTGAATGAAGGCGGCAGCAAAGTAGATGAAACCGCCCAATCTCACACATCTCTTTCTTCCTATCATGTCGCCGAGGCTGCCAGCAATTAGGGAGCCGAGAACCGCCGAGACTTGAAGACATGCAACGAGGATGCCTGTGATTGAAGGATCGTCGATATTCTCGCTCGTTCCGTCCGCGCCGCCGTATTCGGAGAAGAATCTCGAGAGGAACACTGGGTTGACCAGAAGACCGGCCACGATACCTATTTGTCTTGTCAAGATACAGTAGATGCCGCGGTAAAAGGTTCAAGCTCACCCTGATCATAGCCAAACAAGGCATCTCCAAGACTTCAAAATGCGCAATCCAGAGAAGAGGCTTTCCTTTGAAAGGATAGGGAGCATGAGCGCTCTTTGGCTTCAGCTTGGACTCAAGCCACAAGATCTCGGCGATGGGAAGTTCCTCAAGGTTGGCGCGAATTGAGGCATTCTCCATCAGAGTCGGGGACAGTGGCTTCTCCATGATGCTTAGTTCAAAGGACAGAATTTTATCGTAATAAAGGACAAGAGTGAGATGTGTACTCCAGATTTCTTCTGCGTAAAATGGAAAGTCTAGGGCCCCGGGTTATATACTCAAGCGTGGTCTTCTCCCGCATCATAATTCCATGACTCTAGATCAAACAAAGTTTGCTAGGAACTTGAACCACGGGTTTAGTTGGCGCGTCGCAGGGAAACTACAGCAAGACTCGCCGTGATTCTTATTCAGACCCTGGTCTACCGCTAGATAATTGGACAGAGCCGTCGGAGAATGGACCCGGCCCGGTACACGAGCCAGTCAGTGGGCCCGTCCAAAGGAGATGACATATGCCGGAACCGTAAACGTAGGTAATGGCAAATCACTCTGCGGTCAACGTCGGAACCCTCAAGTTTTGGCTTTTGCAGGCACTAGACTAGTTATAGGATATGCATATGTTTTTCAGGTTATTTATTCATCATGTACGGAGTAGTGTTTCCCTCTCATATTCAACCAGTTCATGTAGATTCCCAAAGCCAGAACAGCCGGTTCACTCCACAGTCTACCCCATTTCCATGATGTTCCAGTGACTCGGTAGGTTCTTGCAAGCCACCAGGCGGAAGCAATATCTCCTGCTGTTAACGGCAGGCAGGTAGCTCTTGCCCAAAGACGGCAATAGTCTCCTTTCTCGGTATTGATCAGTGTTCCTCATCACCTGGAGACGGAAGGAGGCTATCTAGCATGGATTGGAGATATCCACGCAAGATGTACCTCTCCTCCCGACGTTGCTTTCTAAACTCCCTTGTCCTAGCTGTGCTAACAGCCCTTGGAAGCTTTGTAATCTGTGACTGCAAGGTTGGTAGTTTCCTTCGGATGTGGTTCATACGGACTTTCTCTATATGAAAATCCTCCAGGCTTCCTCTACCTTTGAGCAGTGAGAGACGATCTTTTGAGAACCTGGAAGCCCAGACAACGCATCCAGGACCACCTTTCTGTAATAGCTCTATGGCTTCATCGAGAATCTCCAGGCTGAATTGAGGACAAAGTCTGACAAATAGCCTTAAAGCCAGCAGCTCGGTTACGAAAACAAAAGCGTCCAGTATCAAGGCATTGGAGCGATCGTCACCGGTCTGGAGAATCCGCATTGCCCTCTTCCTCAGTTCCAGAGCGAAATCTTCCAAGCGAGTGGGATGCGATGGATATGGTAGCATAGCACAATATTGACTGAGGTTTCCTAACTCAAAGCTCTCTTTAGCTACCTGCATCTCTGTGAGGTTGAGGAAGCTAAGTATCGACTGTGGCCCAGTCTCGACATCAGAGTAATCAACGTAGGAGTTGATATGTTGGAGCACCTCGCCTATTCGATCAATGTCGAAGAATGCGTTTGGTCCCCAGGCTCTGCCATAGTTGGACCACATTCTCAAAACCATAGGATGGCCGCTTCCAGCGATGGCTTCGAATCTCTTGATAGTCATAAAATATCCACACTCTAATGCTAACTTGAACTTTTGGGGTGTATGTCTGAAGATTGTGAGGAGTGCGGCCATGATTTCGCAGGCAGGATCCTTTCTACCAAATTTGGCAGTTAGATGCACTTCCAACCGTTGTATAAGTGCTGGGACAAGGGGATTGATAGAAAGGATTGAATGACTTTCGCCTGTTTTGGGCTGAGGCAGAGGCAAGCGAGCTTTGAAGAGATTCAGACATACTCTCCATATGTAGATAAGCTGTGGTATGATCGCCTTGCGATTCTGAAAGCTTTGGAGCCTTTCAAGATTTTGGAATAGCTCTTCAATAGAGCCTCTAACTTCAGCATCAATGCCCATTCCTGTAAGGGCAACTATAGCTGAAGACTGGGAGTTGAGGTGCTCCCATTGTTGGAAACTATCCATGCCAATTGATGGAGCAATGAACGAGACATGGTTTGCTATCCATCCATCCTTCCCAGACGCAAATGAGCCGTTGATAATAGTATCAGTAGCATTCTTGAACCTCCAGAGTTCTCTCTCAATGTTATCGTGCCAGCGAAACTCGGGACACAGGTTATGAATATAGAATTTTAGGATGAAACTTTTTTGCATCAGCCTCGATGGCGGGGCTTTTGCTATCCGTTTGCGATCTTGGTGAGAAACATGGTCAACGGCTTGTTCAGTGCCATTCTTTTTGAATTCCCATTTTTCAAAATTACGCCGATACTCGCGCTCTCTACCAGATTTCAGTTAGGGGTCTTGGATTAATCATGATTCAGGTAAGACGTACGATGCAATGAAGCCATGTATAGCAGTCATTCCCTCCCCTAGGTGTTTGAGGCTTCGCTGCTCTGTCATGTAGATTCTCTCGATCGTTTGTTTCTGCCTCTCCCATTGGGCATCTGGAATCCTCGGGGTTCGTCCCATAGTGCTACGCATATAGTAAGAATTTCTCTAGGTGAATATGCGTTTTTGTGGTTGAATGATGTCTTGGATAAGATGACGGTGGCAACGAAAGCGGGCACGAGAACAGCCCCAGAACTTTTCAAAGCCTCTGAATTGTGATTGAGCAGGAGCAAGCCTCATAAAGCGCAACCAATAGAGACTGCGGCTTAGGATGGTGTGACTCCATTGTGATGCAGGCCTCAGGCTGTCCGACGATGATTGGATCGATGCTAAATGCCCTTTTCACCTCAACGAATAATATCGCAAGAAAAAACAACGTAATCAGGTTGATGCATCTGAGCAACCTAGTAGGTAATAGGGTTATTTATTATATTAACATAGAATTCTTCTAAGTTCACAGAATTTATTTCTATATTTTAAATCTTAAAAGACTATTAATAAACTTACTCTAGTTCTTATCTTACTTCAAACACAGTTCAGTCATGTCTAACAGTCTTGGTGTAAGTCCTTTATAGGTTCTGATAGATGTGTACACTAACATAAGAAGAAGGTAAAGATCCATACAGCTTTTGGGTCCCTTATCTTTTTGGTCGCCATCATGGCCTTCTTGCTGATTGACATTTACCACCGAGCGCGCCGCACTTACAGAGAGGTCGCTTACCAAAGAAACCTTCAAAGCTTTCGTTACTGTATTACCTCTGTGCTCCAGCCGTACAATCGGTTTGCCGATAGGGACGAAAGTGATCGGGGCTACTACTACCACTGGCGCGTTGGAACGATGTTGCGTATTCATTTAGAGGGCGCAGTAACGATTGGCTTGTATATTTTTCTCCTCCTCGGTTTCTTTCTGCTGTTTGGTATCTGGATAGTACAGTACTGGTTAGCAAGGTGGATTTTTGGATGAAATCTTTGACCTGCTACTCTAAATTGTCAAGGACAGCCCGTCCGCTTACGTAGTGGACTTAAGGGAGGGCATGATTCTATTCACTACAGAATCCCAATAGAGGTGGTGGTAAAGAGCACTTCTACAAGGACAGATTGAAATAAAAATATGATTGGAACTATGCAATAGCCTAACAGGCCAGGTGTTAAGACTTGTGGCTAAGAGCTTAAATTATCAGAGAACTCAGTTAGGTATCCGACATTTTGGCAGAAACTCTGGCATGGCTGCGAAAGCTTTGTCTTGTTAAAGGATCTGTGACACCGAGAAGCATTTGTTCATCGTTCTTAAAGAATGGACTGTTAGACTCACCCCACCCGGTTGAGTCAGAATTCTTTATGTATCCATACGGCTCCGAATATAGTGGATGGAGTCTTCCCTGTATGCTCTGCAATGTGCTCCAATTATGGCTCAATCGAGTGCGGTATTTTCCAGATGATCTTCAATATCCATACCTATAACAAGAGCAAGTGCCGTATTCCCCAGGTTTTCGACAACACGCCCCAATCAGCTGAGTTGCGCTAAGAACTAAATTTCCCGCCGGCTCAATACCAAGTGGCAAGCTGCCAAGTATTAATAAGATACGTTCGGTCATGCCCTCTGCAAGTTCTCATGACTGAATACACAGCTCATCTCACATCAGCTGCTAGATACAAACCTCACTTTATGACTGTTGACAAATATGACTTTCTGCAAAACTTCTTGTCTTCTTTCTAGCCTCGCGGCAGCTGGTACACTTGCCCTTTCTGGGCCGTGTGATATCTATGCTGACGGGGGAACTCCTTGTGTTGCGGCCTTCGGAACCACGAGGGCATTATACGGGTCGTACAGTGGCCCGCTCTATCAACTCAAGCGTGGTTCTGATGGCCATACCACCAATATTGTCCCAACAAGTCCTGGTGGCGTGTCAGACGTATCGGTGCAGGATACGTTCTGTGCCAACACCACCTGCGCCATTCCCATCATTTATGATCAGTCTGGCAAGGGGAACCATCTCACCAGGGCACCCCCTGGCGGCGGTTCCAAGGGCCCTGCGCCCGGACAGTATGATGATCTCGCGGCGGCTTACAGCGCTCCGGTGCTGGTAAACGGGAAAAAAGCACATGGTATCTTTGTGCATTCTACAGTTGGTTACAGAAATGATAAAACCACTGGTGTTGCTGTTAAGAACGAGGCTGAGGGCTTGTATGCCATCTTTGATGGAACTCATTACAATGATAAGTGCTGCTTCGATTTTGGCAACGCCGAAACTACAAATCGGGCTGATGACAATGGATCCATGGAGGCCATCTATTTCGGTGATGACACCGGATGGGGTTCTGGTGCTGGCTCTGGGCCATGGGTTATGGCCGATATGGAAAATGGCCTGTTCTCAGGCCAAGGTGCTGGCTACAACCCAGGAGACCCGACGATCGAGTCGCAATTTGTGGCTGCGTTTCTCAAAGGTAACTCGACAAACTTGTGGGCTCTTCGCGGCGGCAATGAAAAGGCAAAATCTCTATCTACCTACTATAGCGGACCTCGCCCCAATGGTTACTATCCCATGGACAAACAGGGCGCGATCGTTCTTGGTATTGGCGGAGATAACGGTAACCTGGACCAGGGAACTTGGTACGAAGGGGTTCTTACTTCAGGCTATCCATCTGATAAGACCGAGGATGCAGTTCAGGCCAATATTGAGCAAGCTGGATTCACTGCAACGTCTCTGGCAAATGGCCCACCACTCAAAGTTGGGTCAACTATCACGATCAAGGCCACGACTCCTGGTTTCACAAGCCGATACCTGGCCCATGATGGTTCCAATGTCGATACGCAAGTTATTACCTCCTCTAGTGATGGATCCAAGAAGCAAAAGGGTAGCTGGATTGTTCGACAAGGTCTTGTCACCTCCGCCCTGGGCTGTGTATCTCTCGAGTCCGTCGACACTCCAGGTTCTTTCATTCGCCATAGTGGTTTCAAACTCTACATCAATGTGAACGATGGAAGTAAGCAATCTTCGGAGGATGCCACTTGGTGCCCGCAGCAGAGTTTTGATAGCACAGGTTCCAACGCCTTGCGCTCATGGAGCTACCCTACTCGGTACTTCCGACACTATGATAACACTGGCTATGCAGCGATGGATGGTGGATGGAAGGTTTTTGATGCCAGTACCCACTTTAATAACGATGCTAGCTGGGTTATTAGTAGCTCATTCCAGAATTGATCACAGTGTCTTGAGTCGAAAGAGGATGCGATATTGATAGAAATCCAGGAGCCAGCTGCTGCTTTAAATGGAATGGTGCATTTACATACTATTTCTTATTGCAACATTTAGCTTTTTATTTTCTGTAGTTGCAAAACTACCAGTAGATCAATCAATCATTTCGCCCCTTATAGTTGTAGGCCATGCTCTTCTAAGACTCCGATCTCGGTACCTTTGGCAGCCAGGGTAAAGAGCTCTTTGATCACGTCCCATGGAGGAGTCTTCCGTGGAGAATCAGGTAACTCAAAAGCCGAAGTAACTGCGTAGCCGCCTCAACTAGAATCTCCAAAACGTGGACGTTCTACCTGCAAAGTTCGGATCAAAGTCTTCCATGTGTAGTGGCCAGATGCCTGAACTGTTGTTAAGTGCATCAACGAAGTTTATAACCTCGTGCCAGGCCTCCTGGTCACAACATACCTTGAGGACCTCGGCCCAGGACCACATCTGACCGTAGCCATGCCCCAAGCTCTTGCGGTGGAACGACGCTCCCTCGCTACTGTCTCCAGCATTCCACTTGATATCTCCCAGTTCATGAATGATACGACCAAGGAAGACCTTTCTAGACCAGCTGTCACCTAGAAAAGATTTGTCGGTGTCTGTGTCACCTTCACGCTTGGGCATTCCATCCACGACTTGCTCTAGCTTAGCAATCACCTCCAGGACGAATTCGTCGGCTTTTTGGACGAGAATCAGGCATGCGTGTAGGTTTTCAGGATCAAGTTACCAGGCAGTGAGGGCCCTAGTCGGGGTGCTTTCCATGCCGTTATCGTTCTCGGTTCATGTGTAAAAGTCTTCACATACCTCACTGGCATTATCAACGAGCCGATTTTATTATTGCCTTTCGTCAATTCCTTGGCCTCAACTGGTATCTTTTCTCTCCATTCCTTCCGCTTTATCTTCCTCTTGGCCTTCTCTATCTCTTTGTCCCCGCCCCCCTTCGCCATCTACCTCACCCACTTGCTTTTGTGCGTCAGGCTCCTGGTTATTTTCCTCTTTCGCAATGGACCTTTTGACTGTTTCTATCAACTGGGCGATGGTTTCACCCTCGTCCATCCTATTATCTTCACTCTTAGGATCCCCCTCGTCTTCCAGTTTGGCCACAGATGTATACGTTTTATTGAGCTCTTCACTCTTTTATACAGGTTTTCCCCACAACTGGCTCATCTCCTTTTCGGTTGCACGTTTCGCACTCGTCCCAGTTTCCCGGTAGCCTCCAAGCCAGGATTTACGGGCTCGGTTTGGGATTCCATTTGATCTGCCCAGGATATTGTCATAGCTACTTATGCGCTAGAGTCTAAATAGTTGTAGCACATAATTGTTGGCTTATTTTTGATGAATTTCCGGTGTTGTGATGACGAGAAGTTTGTTTTCGACATTTTTTTTATGGTTGTCGCTGATTTTAAGACATATTCGGAACCCCTCAGTCAGTCCACCTCACAAATAGCAAACCGAGCAGCTGACTGTTCAGCTCTTCAACATGGACAGGTATCATTGGGCAACTTTATTGCATCCGATTGTGGCAGGCAGTACTACCATAGAAACTCATGAGGTTCTGATCGCCCTGTGAATACTTGTTTCTCAATCTGGAGCCCTAATTGGTCTAGCAGAAAATAGAGATCTGATATTTTGCCGACTTACGATGATCTACGCCTCTGATCAATAGGATAGCGCCTGTTGAAAATAGTCGTTTATTAATGGCGGGCCGTTCCGTCCGAACGGTTGCTGGTTATTGATGACAAGCAAGGCAGTAGGGTCAATTAAGTTAGCGGCCCGTCAAGATAAGCTACAGTAATAGACTTTAACAGCGCCGTCTTTATTCGGTAGAGACCTAAACCCTAAGGAGGCCTGAACCCCTGTCTGATTTTCAGTTGAAGCTTTCCGACACGGTGAACAATAGCGCAAACTTTCGATCCGAAAATGACCTAAACAACTCCTATCAGTACGATACAGTTATCAAGCAACGAGGTCTTAAAACTGTCTGCTACACTGTTCGTGGTATTATCCACAGACAATACAGTAATAAGGAAGCTGAGACTACCTTGCTGGTTCTGATCTTTCGTTTCCACTCCGACGGCCGCGACCAGCGTATCAAACGGGCTAAGATTGACATCACTTTCGTTAGGTCTGACCAAAGTGGAAATGACCCCGAGGTGGCGCTGGTCTACCCCGACGGCAGTCTCGCTCTTTATCCAACCAAGCGAACCGAAACAGCCTGCAACAGGGATGCGCTAACAGCCACAACTGGTTTGGTGGCTGCATCTGAGGTCGGAGCTGAGCAGCCACGAGAAAAGACAAGTTGAAAGCATGGAATATGTGTTTGATGACGTGTATACGAACGCGGAACGCAATGTCTGGCATAAAGCAGTGAAGCATTCATGAGACTGATTGGCTGTTGAGATTTGGAGCACCATGCAAGATGAAGGTTTAAGAAATGACAAGAGATATGGTTATCTAGATTTATGCACATCTGACTTGTATTCTTGCCGTGCCAAGGCTTTCATGCTTGTGTATTCAATGTGCAATCCCTGTAATGGGCCTCAAAATGTGCGCCAATATTGGGAGGCCTCAATATTTAAGACATAATCTGACTAGAGCATGTACGCTAGAGCTCAGGTGAGCAAAACATGCATTCTACAGCCAGAACGCCTGAGCACGCATACCAAGTCTGGACAGCCTCGACAGCCTCAATATTGGTCCTACAGATAATTAAATATAAAGATATTTATAATAGGAAGAGGCATATTAAGAGCGTAATAATTGCTATATATATAAGAATATTAAATTAATAAACTAAGTTAAGTAATTAACAGTAGGTATGTCTTAATATATTTAATAAGGCTGTTGGCTAAAACGCTCTCTTATTAGATTATTTTATTTAATTATACCCTCCTTAACCACTAAGTATATAGCTATGTGAAAAATCGAGAATTTTTGCTCTTATCACTTTATAATAACAGAGAATGAAGCATCTAATAATCTATAAAGATGTATAAACAGCTCTCTAATTAGACGACTGATTGAACGCCCTTTAAGCTAAAGCAGGCACCGGCTTTTTAAATAGCGCAATCGGGCTACATTCCATTAGTGTTTTGTGATCGCTGCCGCTCGGACCCTTGCGGAACGAGCCGGGCCCCGCTCTCTCCTTCTCGCTTACGACTAAAAATTCCACCAAGCAAGACCTTTATAAGCTCCAGGGCGATATCGGGCACCCGGGAGGCAGTGAACTTGGCCTTCAGCTGATTACCATCTCATATTGTTATGAAACTCATTACTACCCTATTTATGCCTGTCAACTTCACATTTGCCTTCTCTCTGATGAATTCTTTTCTGTTCCTCGTATTACCAGCGTTTGTTCCTTGAGGAAACAACCTCCATATAATTGTTCACAATGGTGACAGTAAGACTCTCTTGACCACGCGGATAGATAAGCAACTGCTAACGGTGCAACCCAAGTGGAATCCTCCCTTCAATGAGACGGTATTCCGTGAGCTCAGTGACAGCAGCTGTTTCTCCTCAGATCGAGTAGAACAGGCGGCAGTAGCAGACACCACGCCAGCCATGCATAACGGAGCACTACCTCTGGCCCAGATTCCTTTGTCATTCGAACCACTCTTTCCAGCATCATATCGCAAGAAGAATGCCACAAGGAAACCTTTTATTGTCTCAGCCAGCTGTGCAAGTGCCAAGACCGACTTGAGCGTTGAAAAGCTGAATGAAATTTATGGCTGGCTCTGGCTTGCTGGACGGCCGATGCCTCCTCGGCCTCTAAACTACCAGCAAGCTTCATCCCGCGAGATTATTCTCAACGAGAATGTGGACATGCACCTTGTCTGGGACGTCTCTCGGCGAATATTCCTAAAACCATTGCCACGTTATCTTTTAAGTCACAAATTTTGGCAAAACAACCTTGCGACCGACCATGAGTTCTATAAGAGCGCGTTCGGCTTTATGCTGTCCTATGCTGCCTTGATTCAGTACGAAAGCGACTTCTTTATTGCTAAGGAAAAGCATTTAATACCAGAGAACCTGACATGGGAATCATGGATTAACTTGGTGGATCAATTACTCAACAGTGAAGTTGACAACAGAGTCAACAGTCGCTATAGATATGGAGAGCTTAGGCTGTCTCGCCTGAACAAAATACTTTGGATGCACGGTTACTTCAGAGGATATAGTTTCCGTTACCAAACATATGGGGAATTGCTCACCGCGAATCTAGCACCAATTGCAGCGGCGACTGTGTATATTGCCTTGGTGTTGACGGCCATGCAGGTTGGGTTGGCCACTCCTCAACTGGCGGACAACGACACATTTCAAAGAGTGTCCTATGGATTTGCGGTATTTTCAATTCTTGCTCCAGCAGGAGTTACCTTATTTATTGTGCTGATACTTATACTCTTCTTTTTTTATAATTCGGCAGCTACAATAATTTTTAGGCGAAAGGCTAGGGGGTAGTAAAATAGGTTATATATACTTCTAGTATGAAGTACTTCAGGAATCTGGAGAGAGACATTCATGGAGATGTGACCAAGTCCATAACCAAGGCAGAGGTGCAGCCCCCGCTGTCGACCTTTTCACTGCTGGTTCAGCGCTCGATTCTCTTTGCCCTAAGACCTGGGCTACTTATGCCCGATTAGATTAAAAATGATCTATCTTTAAATGCGTGCTGGCCCGTTCTTTCACATCACGACCTCAAGCTTAAAATGCTCGCTAGCACTATGCCCCTCTCCCCTTTCCCCGTTTCTCACGCATACACTGGCACTGCACTTTTGGCCCCCAACACACCACATAGCGACACCCTGTTATCGGGCAGTTATCCTAGAAAGTCATGCTAACCGCCATGGATTGTTCAGCAGCCAAGACCCCACACCGCCTGGTCTTTTCTACCCAGTGACTCGCCTCCTGCTTTGCATCAAGGCGCTTACACTCTAGCCCCTGTATTTTTGCTAGCAGGGTACTTTATTCTAGAGGCTCTAGATATATATATTAAGAAGGAACATTTAGAATACTTTATATATATATTTACAAAAATATATAGTACTATCTAGTATATTATCTATTTATTTATATATTTAAAAGTATATTAATAGCTATTTCTTAGAACTATATAGATACCCTATCTGCTTAAGTTAGGCTTGTATGTGCTAACAAAAATACAGGGGCTGTACCGTATGAGATTTGCACCCCCGCTCTTCCCTCCGCACCCATCACATGCGTGGTAATGTGGCTTTGCATAGCTGCCCATTTCAACACATGTCGCTGGCAAGGCAGCAATCTTTCAACACAAAATATCTCCGCCATTTCCGAATGGTAGTAGTGACTGAGTTGCTACCAATTCAATATCTTACTATTCGCCATTTCTGAATAGAATCTCTCACTCTTTTCTGCCCATCCTATAAAAACGCTCTTCAATTCTGTGTGTGTAGGCCTGTCCCTATCACTGAGATGCCTGTGACTACGACATTTCGAACGCAAGCCGTCAACCGACCGCGCGCCGTTGAATTCAACCTCGTTGACCCGCCTGATAAGATCACACCTGAAACAGACACGGGTATCGACATCATTGCCATTCATGGTCTTGATACAAAGTCGCCTGATACCTGGGCATACAAGACGCCAAATGGGCAACAGGTCAACTGGCTGGTCGATCGAAATATGCTTTCCAGAGAGGTTCCAGGTACTCGCATCTATACATGCAACTGGCCCGCTGCCATGTTTGAAGCGAACGACTCGGTTCCTTTTGGAATCGAAGAGCTTGCAACGTCCCTCCTTCATGGCCTTCTTGGTTTGATCTCAAATAGAGATCGAAAACTTTTCTTCGTCGCCTCATGTCTCGGAGGAGTCATCCTAATGCAGACTCTTGTTATGGCAAAGGACAATTACATGGCTATTCAAGAAGCCACACGTGGAATCATCTTCCTCGCAACGCCATTCCGAGGCACTTCATTTGAAGACATAGCAGTTTGGGCACAGCCAGGTCTAAGCGCTTTGGCATCCATCCGAAACCAACGATTAAGTGGGCTGCTTGATTGGGTCAAGGCACCGGAGTCTAAACTTGTGCATCTTGTATGCGAGTTCTCACGACTTTGCGTAAAGTACCGTGATGAGGACTTTAAAGTGGCTACTTTCTATGAAAAACGGTACACACTCCTCATTGCTAAGATTCCATTCCTTTCGTGGTTGTTGCCTTCTTGGTTGTTGCCTTGTGAAAAGAAACTGGTGAGAGAACACAAATAGCTGCCAACTATCCGTTGTATTAACCTATACGCTAGCTCGTCAACATGGATTCTGCAACACTGGACTGCGTACCAATCCGACTTCCTCTCGACCGGCCCCATGTACTGATGAATAAGTTTTGTGCTGAGGAGGCAGACTACCGACAGGTTCTAGAGACTATACGAGGATTTCTCCATGTGATACGGACTGGGACACTTCTTGAACAAGCCGACGCCTGGATACGTGAAAGATGCTACACCGAAGACAGGCTCAAAGTTGAGCGGCTATCGGGAGACCCTGTCGACAAGCATCAATCCTACATCAACCTCGCCATCGTGAAGCAGGCTGAGAGGGGTATTTCTGGTCGAGGCCGTTTCGATGACCAAGGCTCGTTGTCGCCCTTCACGCTTCTCGCGCGTCAAAAGCTCGAGGTGGCAACAAGCGATGACGATATCAGCTTGACAAAGATTTTCGACCAGCGTGAGAACTCTGACGGTACCCACGTCTTGCCTCGAAGGATTCTGATCCGTGGACGTGCAGGCATCGGTAAGACCACTTTGTGCAAGAAGATGATCCATGAATTCATAAGAAATGGTATGTGGAAAAGCTTGTTCGACCGTGCGCTCTGGATTCCTCTACGAAATTTGAAACAGCGGCCAAGTGCGGGATATAATCTTAGTAAGCTCTTTGACCATGAGTTTTTCCATTCTTCGAACGAGTATGGGATTGGTGGTATCAAGCTCTTCTCCCGAGAATTACACAAGGCACTGAAGCACAATCGAACACTTTTCATCCTCGACGGTTGGGATGAAGTCGTTAATCTGAGTGGGTCTGGTGATATGTCCGTTTTTCTCTTAGACCTACTCAAGCAGCCCAACGTTATTGTCATGTCGCGGCCATCTGCGAGTCTTCCGCCTGACGTCAAAGTCGACCTTGAGCTAGAGACTATCGGCTTCAAACCGGAGCAGATAGATGACTACATAGAGAAAGTTCATATGAAGAACGTGCATGAGCTCAAAGGATTTCTCCAGAGCCATAAGCTAGTTCAAGGCCTTGTTCGGATACCGATACAGCTGGATGCTTTCTGCTACTGCTGGAACGACATCAAGTTTGACAGAACAGAGAAACCAGACACAATGACGACACTCTACCAAGCTATCCAGACGAGCTTGTGGAAGAAGGATGCTGAGAGACTTGCAAAAGTCGAGACCCAATCTTTACGTACCGCTGGCCAAAGACAGATCGAAAAGGAGGTTAAAGAACAGTTGCAGTTCTTGGAGTACCTAGGCTTTTCTGGCCTGGCAACCGATCGGATAGAGTTCAGCCAAAGTGACAGAAACATCGCTAACGAGCATTCCGACCTCCTTCTGAACCTAGACGACATCCTGCCCTGCCTCTCGTTTCTGCGGACCTCGGACCCGCTAGCCCGGCCAAACTATCAACTCTACTACTTCATACACTTGACCTTTCAGGAGTACTTTGCAGCACGATATTTCATGAGACATTGGAAAGAGCAAATTGTTATGAAGTATACAGTGTTTGGTGAGAAGAAAATCAACACGATTCGCCCTCTTGATTTTCTGCAATCTCACAAGTACGATGGACGATACAACATTATGTGGCGCTTCGTGGCTGGCCTATTGCATGAACAAGGTCAGGGGTTTGAACTACTCGAGGAGATTGAAAAAAAGCCGTTGGATCTTTTGGGACCCTCTCATCAACGATTGATTATGCATTGCTTAAGCGAAATCCCACGTTCTGAAACCGAACCCCCGTCCTACCGAGCCCGTCTCGAGAAAACCTTATCGGATTGGCTTCTGTTCGAATGTGATCTCAGAAAACGTGCGAGCCTGGCCATTGAAGTGGAGTTTCCTGATAGTTCACTGCAAATTGCACTTCAACAAGGACAAACAAGAGCCAAATGCATTATCCTCCGATCGATCAGGAAACGGGCCTTGTCCCAGGAACTGTTGGAAATTATAATGTCGTTCATTGCACAAGACGATTCGGTATTGACTTTTAGCGTCATAGTAGCCTTGGAACAAGTCTCTACATTACGAGAAACAGATGTTCATATCCTTCTTGGACTTCTGCGCGACAAGGAAGACTACCATGACCAGATCATGAGGATATTGATGAATCAGTTCGTTTTGTCTGACAAGCATAACGATACTCTTTTTGAAAGCTTCGTGAAACGCATGATTTCAGTCCAGCGTGCACACTGGGACGGGCGAAACGAGAGTAGCTTCGATCGTCCGTCAGCAGTGCGCAGACCGTTTGCCAAGGCTTTCGTCAAGTGGCTGATGAGCACTAGGAAACATGGTCACTGGCTCTTATATTATTACTTCAGCGGAGTCGTACCTGAAGTTGTCGTCGAAGTTATTACTGAGCAGCTTCACAATCAAGATCCCAACACACAAATAGCTGCGCTAAAAGCTTTCCGATATTCTCATGATCAAATACCCGCAGCCACTATTGAGGCCATCACTAAGCTGATAGAAGAAGATCGAGAGTCTGGCATACAAGTGGCCGCGCTAGAAACCCTCAAGCGTCATTGGCGCGAATTGCCCGCAGCCACTATCGAGGCCATCACCAAGATGCTCGAAAAAGAGACAGATCCTGATGTACGAAAGGCTGCGCTGGAATCACTCATGGATCAGTCATCGTTACCTCCAACAAGCCTAAGGGTTATTTCGAAGCAGCTTCAAGATCCAAACTATGATATACAAGAAGTTACATTGCAGCTCTTGGTAAGGCAGTCATCATTATGTGAATCGGCCATTGATGCTATTATCAAGCACCTCAAGAGACCAGAGCCTGATGCTCAAGAGGCTATATTGGAATCGTTAAGATATCAATTAATACCTTGCACTGAGCTTATAAGGGCTATCACAGAATATCTTGGCTGTTCGGAGCCCAACATACAAGCTGCGGCACTGAACGTCCTTATGCTTCTATCAAACTTGCCTCAAGCCACGATGGAGGCTATAACAGTACGACTTGAGATCGCAGAACCTGAAGTTCAAAAGGCCGCGCTGGAGGCCCTGAAGTTTGAATCAAATTTGCCTCAAGTAACGATTGACGTTATAGCAGCGCGACTTGAGATCCCAGAACCTGAAGTGCAAAAGGCTGCGCTACAAGTCCTCGGATGGCAACGGGATTTACCTGAATCAACTACTGAGGTTATAAAAGCGCGACTCAAGGACCCCGATCGTGAGGTAAAAAAGGCTGCACTGCAAGCCCTGCCAGAACAATCAGAGTTGCCTCAGTCAACAGTTGATGTCGTTGTTGAGCTGCTATCTGAGAACGACTGGCAAGTGCAGACGGCCGCTCTAGAAGTCTTGCAGAATCATAAAGCGCTACCAAAAGCAACAGTTGATGAGATCACCAGGTATCTTCATGACCCAAATGGCAGTGTACGGGAAGAGGCCGTGAAGGCTTTGGGCGCTCACTCACCACTCCCTAAGTCAGTTCTTGATACAATTTCCGACCTACTCAAGGATGAAGAACCTTTTGTCAAAAATGCGGCTGGAGATGTCTTAGAGCAGCCAGTCTTGCCTAAGGTCCTCATTGATGCTATTATACGACGGATTGAAGATACAGCGGAGAGCAGCCATCAGGCTATCACGAGCGTTTTAGAGGGTAAAACAGATCTACCTCAAATGACAGTTCAGATTCTTAACCAACGGCTTAAAGACGCATCAACAGACTTCTCAGAGGCTTCTCTCATCACCCTCATGAGTCAGACGACATTACCTGAATCTGTAATCAACTCCATCGCTAGAGAGGTTAACAATCCAGATCCACGCATACGAAGGGGAATATTAAAGGCCATGAAAATCCAGCGACACCTATCCCAAGGCATTATTGAGGCTGTTATGATGCAGCTTAGAGCTACAGAATCTGATGTACGAAATGCCGCGCTAGACGTGCTGAAAGTGCAGTCTGAATTACTTCCCGCAGCTGTGGAGGCCATTAGTGAGCTGCTCAAGAACCCTGACACTGAGATGCAAAAGGCAGCGTTAGAGGTCTTCGATTATCGGCGGCCGTCAGCGCTGTCACCAGAAATGATCGAGACTCTTACTGAGCTGCTGGAGAATCCCGATGAGGGTATATGTGACTGTGCACTTGAGGTCTTGGCAGGTCAGTCAGTGTTGTCTCAAGAAGCCGTTGCTGCCATTATCAATCAGCTTGAGAAAACTGAAGGCGGTGATCAAGAGAAGCTATATAGGGTTTTGAAGCAACAGCCAGCGTTTGTGAAAGTAGCTACAGGCATGTTTGCTGACCTCACGTATACTGATGAGGGTACTACTACTGGTTTTGAGGCTACCGTGCATCCGACAGGTCGAACTCTGGAATGCATGTACGAGATCATGCTTCACCAAGGCTTTGAAGAATCACTGAGTCTTCATATTCGCGACAATACGGTCTGGGCCGATGACAGAAGCGGTCAGAAGAGTTTTAATCTCGGTGCGAATGTTGATCATTTCAGAAGCTCTATTGCAACCTCTCGGCCAGATAGTTATCCCTCATAGAGCTATTCAGTATCTACGATAGATTGCAATAGAATTAATGCTTAGTCTGTGATGTTGACCCTTTTCTGCGCTCTTAGAAGCCAGGAAAAGGTATCTGCGCGCCAACTCTCGCCTGGTACGAGAATTTATATTGCTCCAAAGCCAAGGACCAATTAGTCAAAGGAGCGATGCCAATCCTCGGTTGTACGGAGTACATATCATCCGACACGTAGTCAAAAACTGCCAAAACGTTACGGAGAAAGGGAACGCCCAATATTGAGTCAGCCAATGAAAGGCTCTGCGCATTGATAGAAGCTCGACACCTGAAGCAATGTTAGGCCTGGTCAGTCGTTATTATGTAGTGCATGCTCATATTTGTGTTCCATTTTGGATAAACCAGTCTCCTGGGGTGATCAAGTCGAGAGGATTGATATCAATCCATTGGCCATTTATCTTGATCTCCAAATGCTGTGGTGTTGAGCAATCGAATGAGGCAACCACCCCTGATGATTGCGATGGGCCAATGATATTGTCTGCGATCTGGTCGAACACTATGCCACCAACAGCCATAAATGACGTCCCACTGTCTAAAGCTGCAATATACGGCGATCCTGAAACAATACCTACTTGACATCAATTCTGGCTCTCAACAACTGGGAGATTGTAGGGGACGTACCACTTGCCGGTAGGGAAATGTTTTTGCCGTTAAACCTCATCCCATCAACGATAATAGACCAGAGCTGCGGTGCTGGAGGGGCCCCTGGGTAATTATAACTAATAATATTTAGCAAGTCATTTTCTTCAAGACATACAGAGAATACTTACTTGGGGCTGTCTACTATGTCGCTGTATGTTATCTTCCGTCCATTCGAGGCTTCCTTGTCGATGCCACCTATAGTCAAACGACCTTCTTTAGGACTGTTCGGATCCGCGTATCGCGGGAATACTGTTGAGAACTTGGGTGCAAGTACCCTTTCTTGTGCTACCAAGGTATCGAATGGTGGTAAGTTCTGATACTGGTAGAACTGTCGGGAAACATTTCGGAGACCCATGCCTAGTATTCCAGAAAAGCTTCCATTCTGAAACTCCATCTGCACAGCGTTGTAAGCAAGACCTATTTCATTACATATCAGATTTTGTCATTTTATCCTTTTTCTCAGTATAAAGAACAGGAAAATAGCTTACCGACACTCAAGTCTCTCGCAATAATGTCCTTTGTGCCAAATTGGACATTCAAGATAGACTGGTTGCCAAGTACTGGCCCAGCCCCAACAATTGTAAAGAAACTTTGATTCACTGGCATATTTGTCGTTGGCTATATATGCGTAAGCTTATTGATTACCAGCCACACAAACATCATTCCTTGTTCTCAGAGAGGAACCTTTACCTGGATATCGAAAGGCGTGCTGTTGTAACACCCACTAGTGGGAGTGTTTGGGCACTCGTTGGATACAAGAAACAGATCAGCGGAGCCAGTATCAAGCATAACAGGCATTCGTTGGCCATCGCACGTCAGCTCCACGGAATAATAAGTATCTCCAAGCTGCGTCACGCTGGGAAACTTGATTGGCAGTGTCTGTACCGATCCAGGCCCTGGACCAGCCAGAGCCTTTTCTTGATTGTAAGCATTGCTTCCGGCAACAACATCGCTGCCAATCTCTGTATCCGGGAGACTTAGTGGGTTGGACCATAGGGCACACTTGATGACCGCTGTCTTATCGTTTGACGAAGTTTTGGGGTGATCGGGCTTGAAGTAGATATTGAAAGCAACACATTCTTTGTTGTCGTCACACCGTTCCGCACACGCGTCAACGTCGTAGTCGACCAATGTGAAATCTTCTAGATAACCGTCTCCACTAGCCAATACATCAGTGTTAACAAAGGCTGCAGCATACCCGAGTGGTGTAAGAGCAGAACTGGCCGACTCAGAATAGGCAGAGTCATTGTCGGATGCACTCGCTCTCGATGCTAATTCAATTGTACCGGCTATTACTCGAGTCGTCAGAAAGAATAGGAGAAGTGTATGCATATTGAAACTCTGCTTTCAGAGACCTTGGCAGCGGTCACCTAGAACTTGTATGTCGAAGATACTGGATTGTATCATTCTCTGTTTATAGATTTGTTATATCTGTGTACAAACTGAGTCTACTCCGCATCATCCGTATCCCTTGCATATTTTGTTTCTCGTATTACAAGAAGTATCCGCAATCATTACAACGCTGCTGTGAGGAAGCGGGGTTCCGGATAATCGGATACATATTTAACGTGATTGAAGAGCAGTAGTTGGTAGGCTAACCAAAGGTTGATAGCCATTAATGCCGATCACAAGGGTCGCAATACGAACTTCGGGAACGGCATTCTATTTATAATTCTGAAGCGGGTATACGGCAATATCGTTCTCCTGGTGTGTGCTAGAGATGCTGCCATCGGGCCCCAGCGTCTCAACGACTCGCTCAAATCGAAGTGTTATTTGCCGCTGAGACCTGTGGCTGAGAGCCTAATCCGGCCGAGACATGTTAGACTCGACCAAACCCGTCGTAGGTGTAATTCGCGCTGCGGTCTAAGTAATCCTTTTGCTCGGGAATGCGATCCTAGCTATCATATTTGTAGTTGGTCGTTCCATGGGTTGCTACATCTGATCTGCGCACCAGGGTTTCAATGGGCACTTGGTCTCCACGATCCCCTTGCCCGGAATGCCGGTCTTCTGCGTCATGGATCTCAGATCTTTTACAGTGATATTTACAACGCCCGTAGTGTCAACACAACAACAAATTGTCCCCCAGTCTCGGGGTCTCTTGGTCGAGCTCTGATGACTCTAGCTAGATGTGCCAGCCCATCTCCTCAACTTGAACGGATTATCCGACTGCATTGTAGAAAATCTTTTGCATGACCCGGAGCATACTTACCGTAGTTCTGTTGGCATGTTGAGGAACATCTTGCTTCTCAATCCACACGACTCTTTCCAAAACCGTTGGTAATGAACTGATATGTGTGCCTTTTGTATCCGTCTTGGTAACTTCACATATGGTACTCTCTTTGTCTACAAGATACTTACTCTTCCGGCCTGCTTCCCATGCCGTAGAAAGCTCGGCTATCTCTTCAACGAGGTTGCCCAAGCTATCATACCGAAACAGTGTTTCGGTCTCGTACTGATCTTTGTTGTGAAGAACCCTACGAGTGTAAAGGTAGATAGACGTCTCAATATTAACAACGTGACCGTTAAATCTGGTACTTGTAGCAGTCTCCTTGCACCATCCAGATATTTACATATCTTGTCCTTTGTCGTTTCGTGCTGCCTATTGATTTAAGACACTTGCACCTGAATAGAATCATGAGCTCTAAACCCAGTAATCTTGACATATCTATATTCTATACGCGAAAGCAGGGATGCCTCCTGACAGACAATAATGAAGTAATTGTCTCCTCTTCTATCTTGTGGCGTATTCAAATGTGGGTAGCGAAATCGCTTGCTTTTTTTCAAAGCATCTACTACTGGCTTGCTTGGAACCGTTTCAGATAGAGCCTGGATCCGCTATCATCAGCTGGGCATAACTCGACCTCGCCGTCCTTAGGGTAGTACTCTCGAATCGTCTTAGCCCCATCTTTCTCCATGATCTCGGTCGGTTTACCCATACGTCAAACGAGTAGAGAGTCTGCTCTGTCCATCAAATGACTCCTCCTCTAGTGCGTGACGATCTGTTGTCTCCGCAACAGATTTTGTGCCTTGCTGTCGGGGTGAAGAACCCAAATGGAATTTGTTACATATGTGGTTAAGGTCTGCGCCGTCTTCAACCTCGAGCGTGGAGTTGTAATGATGTCCTGCGCGAGCGTCAAAGAGATTATCCCCATCAGGATCCTGATTGTTCACGCCGCCGTAGCCGAGCAAATTGAATTCAGAATATCTGTATACCGTAGTAATCTTGGGTTGTTGTTCTCCAGGATACCCAGTTCGGATTATCACGTATGGTATCCAGGTCCTGGGAGCTCCCTTGGGCAGTCGATGGCCATCATGCAGATGAAATAGCTCCTCCACAAGACGGGCTGGTTAGTTGCCGGATCGAAAGGACAGCACCAGTGTGCGTTTACTCAAACTTCCACGGTGAGATGCAGCAGAACCGCTGTCCAATGGTGATTTCAGCTCCTTCAATACATCTTCACCCTCTCTAAATAGTCTGGGGATGGCTTTTACTGAGGAATCGAGGGACGTAATTGCGTCAAGCTCAACATCCGAACAATCAAACTTGAGCAAACTCTCTGCACCATCTTTGACTTGAGACAATCGAGGTGATTTGCCTAGGCTGGTCCTTCAAGATCCAAGCACTGACCGTTGATTGCTGACTTTACAGGCGCTGTGGTGGTGTCGCTTTCGTTGCACAGAATCTGTATGTCTCCAGATACGTGCATAACTTGGTAGTCCCCGCTGCTCTTTTGGAACGGGAAGCTTTCCAATTTCTGATCTTTCACCGCCAGCCTCGACGTTGTCTTGATGATCTGCTGATGCTCACCTATGACCAGAGAGTGTGCCCTTGACTGACGGTGTCTATACTTTGGTAGATTCAGAGGCCAACCTCCTCCAAAGTCACTGTCCTCAAGGCTCATGGAGTCAAAAAATAAAAAGAGGTCGAACTCGCCAGTTCCGAATCTCCGCCGGGGTCTGGTTCAGGTAGATAGCACAATGATTTTGAACTGTAAGGGGATCGACGTTGTGCCGGCTGGGCTGACGAAATTGAAATTCTGAAAATATAGGTTTGACAGTTATATAGACATAATCCAAGTAAAAGGGATACTGCAATAGACGCTGGCCAAGCTTGTTATTCGTTTTTTCTTGCTTGTAAGGTAAGCTAATCATTGGCCTGTAAATTAGAAGCCTGCCATCACTTCTGGTGCGCAATTCAGCTCCGCGTTTGAATCGACAACACCACAGCGATAGCAATCATTGTCTTTCGATCAGGAGACCAATTTGTGTTCAAGAGCTCGTGCAACTCAGCCCGCTTGACCAGTCACTCTTCCAACTGGCAGTGGCTGACTGACATTCCTCTTCTTGGTACACTCTCTGACATCAGACTTGACGGATATCGGCGCAGCACAAGTTGAGGAAGAACGTAAAATCCCATAAAGTCATCTGTTCCAAACTGACGGTTGGCTTTGTAGATATCAGACCTGCAATAGGCGATTAGTGCAATACTTTCCAGGTGCAGCAGGGTATTTAGGGCTAAGCTTGAGAGCTACAAGTCAAGCTCAAGGAGTCTTCCACCCCTTTGCTATTACGCTGTATTGACGGTATCTTTTGGACCTGTCGGGATGCTGACCCAATAAGGGTCTCTCATTGTCTCTTTGAGAGAACGCGTTTTGATTGGCCCATTGCGAGTGAGATTGGGAGGTTAGAGGCGTCGGAGACACTCTGGATCTGATAGACGTTGGAAACAGTCGTTTAGGGGCGGGCCGTTCTATGGGAACGGTTGCTGTTGATCGATGACGAGCGAGGCCCCAGAGTCGATCGAGTTAGCGTCCTTTTGGGAGGAGCCACAGTAGTAAACTCCAACGGCGTCGTGTTTATTCGGTGGAGACCTGAACCCTAAGAAAGCCGCAATCTGTTCAGCGTGGTACTGTCGCCATGTACGTAAGACTCCAGATGCATGTGGTCTTTGGCTATTAAGCCACGTTCTGGTCTCATCCAAGAGGTGTTGCACCCATTCCTGGGCGCGGTCCGCTAGCAGTGGCTTACGGGGGCTATCACACCCAGTTACCTTTGCGTTCCAGTCACACCAAGCCTGACACTCGTACTGGTCGTCATTGTCGTTGCACGCTCGACCGGAGGTTACATGCTACATCAAGTCACGGACTTGATGATCTCCTGCTCCATGAGTTTGTGCCATGCTTTGAAACCTCGTGCTTGGGTTGTCGTATTACGTAAGGCTTATCTCGTGATGCAAGACAGAGTGTGTACCGACCCTTGGCGTCATCCTCAGCCTTGTTCGGAAAGATTTTACGCACTAGATCGAGCTGACGATTTGTGGTTGACGCCATTCCAAGCAAAGTTACAACGTCTCTGAAGGCTGCTACGTAATGACGTAATGGGTCTAAATTAATCGATACACATGGTGGGGGCATTTGAGGCTGCGACCTAACGCAGGTACCGGACTAATGCCGACGCGACATGGCCAATCGGAAGAGGTGGCAGCATTACGTAATCTCATCCACGTCGCGTCACCCCTGTAACGCGATCTGAGTCGCGTACGCGCTAAAGATGAGATGAATATCTCGACGATAGTATAAGGATACCTTGCCAACCATGGCCGACACAATCAACGCCGTACCAACTCCCCCGCAGTCAACAAAAAACAAAAACAAGACTCATACAGAACGAGTCCAACGGGCAAAGAACCGAATTCATCTAGCAGCCGGTGTTGACCCCTCGTCGCTCTTGGGCCAGCATTCTCCCGCAAGCTGGGCACAGAGCCTGATTGAGCAGCTCGCCACCATCATCGAGCTGGCCAGGAGTGGGAAAGCCGGTATTACAGTGGAACAGTTGGTAGCTCGTCTTAAGGATGAGGCGAGCCGGGACCAGACTGCCAAGGGTGTAGTCACCAACAGTATTGTCACCAGGATCAGATTGGAGATCACCGGCAAGTCGCAGGGATGTACACCGCCAAACGGAGAGGATGAAGTCGCAGACCCTGACGCCGATGCGCACATGACCTCATCGCCATCTAAGGGCCGACCTTGTAAAAGACGTCGCAAGAACTCTGAGACCGAACATGAGCCCCAGGCTGTACGCACAGAGGATGCAGAGGACGAAGAAGACGCAGAAGATTCCCGAGGCATCGTCTCTCCCAGCGCTGAAGCCCAAGGTCCCGTAAGTACTTCTACGACTAGCCCGCTCTGAGCAGCTCAATCTAACCCTCAATAGCTACCGATCGACGAGTACCACAAGCGAATCGCTGCACACCAAGAGCGCCTCCAACTCTTCGAAAACAAACGCGACGCGGCACAGGCCGTCATCAATCAAGCGGATACTCTGAATGAGGCTCTCCAAAAAGCTATCTCGACCCGCGATATCGCCAGTGCAAAATCCCAACAGTCCGCGAACGCACTTACCGAGCTCGAGACGCTGGTTGCCCAGCACGGACACATTCTCCCATCCTCAGTTCGAGACAGCATCCCCCAAGCCAAGCAGACATCAGACGAGGCGAACCGCGAAACCGAACAAGCAGAGATTGACTTGGCAGCGGCTCAAAAGAGTGTAGATGACCACGCGGAAAGGGAACCAGCTCTCCAGCATGAGGTTGGGCTGATGAACGATGCCATTGCGGGTTGCGTGGACGATATCGGTAATGTGGAGAAGGACTTGGGCGCAGCGATATGCTTGCAGCGTCTGCAGCGCGTGGACTGGGAGATGTTGCGGGCTAGGTCGGTTGAGCAGGTGAATGACTTACTGCGGGCAATTAATGACTTTCTGGAACCTGGTGAGGGAGCTGAATAGGTTATGGGGACTTTTTTACGATATGATGGCGTTGGCAGGGACTTGGGTTGTATGATCATGATACCCAGCATTTACTGAGACTTGGTTGAGTCTTGCGGAGTTCTAGGGGTTATTCAGCAGCAGTTGTTTCGAGACAATGAGATGGTGAGGAGCATAATGTTACAGAGAGCATATGGGTCTCTTTGAGCAGGCATTCATTTATCTCTTGATTGAACGCAACTGGACATGCAATGCGATGTTTTGCACTCGATTGAAGATGATATCCTGTGATCCATCAAGGACAGCGATTCTGGAGGATTCCTACGAAATGCAGCGGGGCCTTTTTTGAGGGCGGGCGGTGTGCTGATAATTGCCTAACTTGGAACTGGCCTCTCCTCTTGGCAGGAAAACATTACCCCGCGTTCTTAGGGTGGCTAACGTCAGGTGGTGCTGGCATCTTAAGATCCGCGCTCCATTTGAGGAGCTACCCTGAACCCACAGAGCGACAGCCAAACTTATCTTAGGATACCGCTTGTTAAAATGCATTGCTGCCAGTTTCTATCCCAACCAAGTGTTGAGATTGGCTCCCGCCTCAATCCCTGTTTCCTAAGTACGCAGCATTACATATTGCGTGCAATCGCTGCGCGTCATCATTGAACGGCTCATGAGCACCCAAATGTTAATCACACGATTCCGACGTTTTGTTCGTCATCGATCACATTTATCTAAGTATAGAGGGCAATATGCATCGGAAGAAGCTTACATAACTTGGATCATTATCTATTCGCCCCCAACGCAGTAAACGGAACAATAATTATGCTGACAGCTTATTACCCCGCCATTGCAAACACTCTGAATCCTCCAACATTAAAATACAAACCCACGCATAACCCAATATCATCATGGCCTCCTTGGCAAGATCTGCCCCAAAGCTTATCGACTTACTCAGTGATTCACAGAGCCCAAACTTGACCATAGTAGACACAATTCTTTTTCATCTAGGCATCGCAGATGTATACGCATTACACGCATCGAGCCGATCTCTGCGCTGGTTAGTGGATTACATGACGGAGTCGCCATGCTTGCTCAATATCACGAGGCAATTGCAACCTTTTGTCAACGACCCGATGCGCTTCCGAAAGGAGCTTGGGAAGCACGATGGGCTCATGGCAGGAGAATTTGTCCGCAACTTCTTCGAATTTAACCGTTGGGGAGTTAGCTCGCTGCTTCTATATATTGAACGTGGGCCTAAACGTCAGGGGTTTATCAAGTATCTACTTGACCATGAAGGATACAGAGCCTATTTGGAACAAACAATATTCCGTCGTGACAGTACCCCAGATATATCTATTGCCGTCATGGCTACGCCCGATTCTCCCATCGTCGAAATCATCAACAAGGCTCTTACGACAGCTGGTTTGAATGTTATATCCTGGAACAAAGCCTACTGCCTACTTCCGGTTCCCACCGTGGTATCCCACAAGTTCTACCCTATCAAGCCATTCGACAATGTCCTTGGCAAATCACTCCGCGAACGGGCCAAACGGGGTTGGACGACAAGGGACATGCTTTGGCCTGATTTGACAACTCAACTCATTCCTCGCAAGGAATGTCACCAAATTGGCGGACCAAGATCTCTAATTATTAAACTTGGCAATGAACCACTAGGGGACTACACTCCTGACTATGTCCTCGAGGGGAGCGTCTATTCTGTGCTATGGAAGTTTATGAATAGTGTTCGGTGCTTATCTGTTACTATGAAGCCCGCGCCGGTTTCCTATGCACTTCGTTATCCACACGCAAATGGCGAAGTCGGTCATGGCTGCAAAGAATGGGAAAGATTCTTGTGCGACCGATTAGACCGTTGGGTATATGTCGAGATAGCCAAGATGGATCGTGAAGAGCAGCCACAAGGGTTCTACCATATGGCACCAGGGAACTATCGCGTACATATTCCCGCCGGGTACCAACTGCCAGAAACGTGGGACTATGCAGACGACCAGATCATTCCGTGGTTTCAAGAATGGGAGGAAACTCACTCAACGAGTAACGAGTACTACGGAGGATAATTAATAACCTCTTGTTTTAATCTAACGGTATATTTTTATAAATTAAAGTATTATATAATCTTGACCTTTTAATCTAGAAGACCCCTTTTCAACAGGATATAAGCAGAAATATCTTTTATAATATTAATTCAGATAGTACAAAGTCCCTATAATTTCTTGAAGGCACTACAATCTATCGATACTTCCATCGAGCTGTGTGAATAGCGCATGCTCCTTAAGACTTCTAGACGCTGGTGTTGGACAAGACTTGATGGGCCGGCTTAGTAACGCTACTTCCAACTTTGGGCTCCGATGTACTTCAGCCACTGCATCCCATAGCTGGCTTTCAGTTCACCCAGCTTGCTTCGGCATGTGAGTGGAGGCCCAAATGCCATGCAGGTGAAGCTCGGCAAATGCGACTGACAGCAGATAAGCAGAATGAAAATAGGTCTCATGGTGGCGGCATTTTCCATCGTGCTTGCGGTTAGTCGTTATCAACTACTCGCTGCAGCCTGTCGATGCCTGGCCTCGAACATTTATTGCAGATCTAAGAGGTGGGTCGCTTCTAGAGCTTGAACGGAATTCCGGTGAGAAGTAGGTGATGCTGAACTCTTTCGCCTGTATCTGTTCAAGGTGAGAGAGGCTTCGGTCTTCTTCCCGCCGTGGAATGCAGTGGGAAGCAGCGGCTTCACATAGTCCGCATTCAACCGCTGCCTCTTATAAACTTAGTCCAGGCTGCTCAAGATGCTGTTAGCAAAAGGGGCCTTACCTCTTGGTCGTACATAGCTCAAAGCGGTGGAATATTTGGGCATGGCGGTTTAAATCAGTCATAGTCGAAGATGGATAGAAAACATGGATGGAGGTGAAAACAGTATGGGCTGGGAACAGGGCTTGTCTCAGGTCATGAGGGAATGGCCATACTGGGCTTAGAGATCAATGAATACAGAAATTAGTACAATGTCCTTTGCCAGCATGACCTTTGGGAGATTCAGATGGTGTGAAAGAATAGTGACAGCAACATTGCGGCAACATGCCAAATATTTCTGGTAGGCTGGTAAGCTGCGGGACGCAGCAAGCCGATCTACTAGGGGCCCAGTTCCAGCGGATAACCTCTCCAGCCCGATTTGCGATGATGAGAAACTCGGTTTGCACCTGAATCAATCCCTCCCACACACGGCAGAGCCATGTCAGGCAACTTTCAATTATCTGCCCAAGTCAGCTCAGCTTTGAGGACTCCGCAACGGCTGAAGAATCATATACCTTGGCAGACAGGGGCTGTGCCCAGTAGAAGGAACCCATTTCCGCCAAGGCATGCACCCCTCTCTGCCTAGAACTGCAGGCAGTGAGTGGTAGGCGCTAACCCGCTGGTCTCACAGTGTAAGGCCGCTACCAATTACAGAACTGGCTCGTCCCTGGACCACTTAAGTAGTGATCGCCAGCTGAAAAGAGATATTCTTAGGCTGGCGCTTATCAGAGGCATACAGAAATCGCCAGAATGTATCAGAAGTGAAGAATGTCGCACGGCATACGCGAATGGGTAGGTTGAGCGAAGTACGTTACCATGTGTCAGACGATGATGTGACCATGTTTTTCAGCTGCGAATTGTCCTCGGCCAAGAAGGCATATCAAACGCCACAGAGGCAATCTTTCAAGACTGGTTGGTCTGTCTTGCAATTCCGCGTCTCAGCCGCCTTGTCCTGGATATAGGTTAATTAAGGGGACATGCCCACTAGCCGCCTCCACGTCTCTTCGAATGTCTGCCTTATTTTACATATCTGAGTATATAAAACATAAATACCGCCGCTTCTGAAGTCTACAGAGGCTCAAATCAGACAAGTCTCAACACAGTCCCAATTCAATCTAATATCCACCATGGAAGCACCCTACCGATTTCGCGTCATCGACGCATACAACTACACTTACGACACCCCAGAACCGTGGCAGGCGTGGCATGAGGCATATTTTCGTCGGATTTCTAGCGTGCTTGGGGCCAATGGTGAGCCGGTCAGGCTTAAAGACGATGGTTGCACCATGCCCGAGTACACGACACCAAATTGTACCCGCACTTGCAGCAACGCCACTAGCATGTTCTACTCGGAGTCAAACGTTTGGAACTGCATAGCCCTGGCGACTGTATCCATACAAGTCCTCCAAGGCAACAAATCGTTTGATGAAGAAAATGTTGCTTTGATGGACCAGAGATTCAATCTAGGGGGCTCTGATCTACGAGCCATTGACCAGCTCGGTATCTTCGCACAGGTAAGAGGGTGCTTCTCGCAATCTTGTGAGGATTCAAAGTTCGGGAGCTGTACGCCAAAGTTTAAGCCATACCGGAGCCGCCCAATCAATGCTAGCAACATCCACGAGTTTGCCAATATTACCAACGGACCATACTGTCAGAGTACATCACTGGGCATCGATTCAGATATTGCAGGGCCGGGCATTCTTGTTTCGTACATGATGCTCTTATCCCTGGTTTTACTCTTATCTGTGCTCTTTTGCCTCTTCGGCCTGTACGGGATCAAAGCTAGGGAGGAGACAACAGAGCCTTCAGATTCGTCGCAAAAACCGCGAAAAAAAGTTCAATCTCTCATCATCAACCTCCAGGAGGCCCAGGGATCATTTGTGTTCACGGTCAGTCTCGTGTACCTGATCGCTTTCGATGGGAACACGGTCGGCTTATCTAACATTGGAACACTTCTCTCCTATGTTATTAACCGGAACATTGGCTATGGCTTGATGATCATTGGCACTTTCTCGGTGGCCTTTCTCCACTATTTCGCATGCAAGTCCGGTATGCACCAGGCTGAATCTCTTTTCTTAGTCCTAAGCAATATGACAATGCTCGCTCGTGCCCACTACACTTATACCAAAGGTTCATGGGCGAAGCCGGAAAGATTTTTGGGCAGCCTTAGGAAAAACGCTAAACTGGAGAAATGCGGAAACAATCCAGGTCCCATGTCTTTTTGCTTGGGGGCCCAGCTTCGAGGATTGACCAAGACCCAGCAGACCTTTGCTCTGACTAAGAAGATGGTTTATGCTGTCTATGTCCTTTGCACCTTGCTGCTGATAGACGACACTGTGCGCTTTCTCAGGAAAAGGCGGCCAGACTCTCAGATATACCGTTGGGTTTCATTCGCCTTTTATCCATTGCTATTTGCTGGATTGACTTCATTGATCATTGGGCTGATTGATTTGGTGGCTGCATTTCACCGGATCAAGGAGCTCAATGGTGGAGAGCACTCATGGAGTTTTGGCCAATTCGTTGCGGTGTCTGTCTGGGGTCCGATGGCCTTGAAGTTGATTGGGGCCCTCCTTTCCATGATCGGAGCCTGGGGGCCCTTTCAAAAAGCCAGCATAGGCGCCAATTCCCATACGCTCCAACGAGCCAAAGACTTTCTTAGCAACCATTCATCACAGGAAAGCATAAGTGATGGGATTAATGGACGCCGTTTTTCGCTTCTACATTCGCCAGGAATTTCTATGGCTGATTTGGGTGTAGGAAATGGCTCAAATAATAGCAATGAGGCATTGCAAGGATCTGGCTTACGCCCGACACAGCCATCTAGGAACATTTGAGAAAGGATATATTAGTGCATTGTGTACATAAATATGTTATGTATGGCTCTTATCCGTTGGAGCGGTATGGCAGTCTGAACATATTAAAGATGAGACTGATCTCTATAGCTTTATATACTGTATTCTTTGTTGTATTGTCTAGCCTGCAGCTATCTCACTTACAAAATAGAATAATTATAATACAAAGGGAAAAGGCATCTAGTACCCCTTGCGGCAGACTTGTAGTTCGTTGGAGCTACCGCATATAAGATTGACGAGTTGTGCACAGATAACCTTGAGTATGCGGAGTCTTTCCTTATGAGTATGTGCGAAATACTTCTCTGTGTCGTCCGCATTATACCATACGACGATCTCGGCCGGACCGGATCGTCTCCATCCTCGGGATTCTACGATTGAGAGCCAAGACTACAGTTGATCTATGGGGAGTACGTGACATTGAAGTTTGCAGAGGATGCCGAGTGGAACGATAGGTTCTGACGAATGTGACAGAAGGAAAGACGACTCTGGAGGGAGACTTCCCGTTGCTTTCTTCTTCCATACGTGAAGCCTGGTCTGGCTCGTTACTCTGAGTTTTCCAACCTTTTTTATTACGCTGCTCATATTTCCAAGCTAACCAACGGTTTGACAGACCCAATGCAAGGTTCCAGAAAGGACGCAGCCAATATAGAGGATGCGTCTGCCTGGGTCAGTCTGAATGCTTTTGCGGGTCGAATCACGAGAAAGGCCTCGTGGAATGCTCTCTTTATGCCATTATCGAGATTCCAAAAGCTCTAGAGAAAGAGATCCCCCCATCCGTGCCAACGCGAGACTTCAAGCTTAGGACTGCTAACAACTGGACCCTCACAGGCGGTGTCAAGCTCTTCAAGGACGCTCGCAAGGGCGATAACCTCGATGAGGGGGGGGGGGGGGGCTGGCAGCGACGGCACTGGGTCCACTGTACATTGGAACCGGAGGACAACCTGGACTTTGCATGGACAGATGGCGGTTTTGGCTGAGGCGGTTTCAAGAGCTTGGGTCTGATGATAGTAACGACAGCGTTCTTTACGAGGCCACACAGGTAGCTCGTCGCATGGAGAAGATTATGGAGGACAATGGCCAGCCAGAGGCTCGGCGGCTTTGGTACGACTGAGGAAGATGGTCGGACTGAGTAAAAGATGATCCTAGATGTAGGTATTAATTATGAAGAATACCATAGATCTTAACAGCCAATCAATTAAGCATTTAAATCCATTACGAAGAACTCGAAAACACCTCGGGCCAGGTTTCCTTTTCGCCAACGAGTATGGTATAAGACACTTCAGCGTAATGCTCTGCTGCCGAGCATAGTCCAGGAGCAAGTTGGTCATACAAATTCGCCAAGTTGTTGAATGCCCATGGCAAAGCGTCATTCGCCACCCCCCATCGTTCAACTTGGAGTCGCGGCCGATCCGCAATGTCATTGGGTGGACATGCAATGATGCTGTGTCCCAGAGCCTCGAGGCCCTTGAGGATCATCTTGGCGGCCATATTCAGCTGATTATTCTTTAGCAGGTGGGCGCCGAAGGCGAAGTAAGGTCCCCAGAGCTCTAGCCGAATGGCGCAGTCGTTGTTTGTTGGGTAGGTTTTCTCGAGAGCCTTCAAGAGCCGACTTGCTTTGGCTTCGTAACCGGAGCCAGGATGATCAAGAAGCCTCTGGAGGTCGTCGGCAAGCACCTTGCGTCTCTGGAGGATGGAAACAGATGTGGCTTTCTTATGCAAACACAGCCCGCAGTCGCACGTGAACCCCCAGTGATTCAAGCCCTTTTGGGTCTCTTGGTAAGATTCGAAGGGCACAGGAAGACGATAGCAGAAACAGAGCTCAGTGCCAGCAGGGAGGTCCCTCGTCGCGCGTACGATTTGCATGTCTCCGATGAAGGAGCGTCGACAGTTGCCCACACAGGAATGGTTAATACGGGAAGCGAGGAGCCAAATGCCCGAGGTTGTGTACTTGAAGTCTTCGCCACCCGTCATATCTCTGCTGCTGGATGTTGCCTTGAGGAATGACTCGCGGCTCGTCCTCGGAGCACCAAAACAGTTCAGGGAGTTAATCTTTTCGACCAGGAAACTGAGTCTCGATTAGCTGCCTGGCTCAACTGGTTAACCAGTAAAAGTGGCAGAGGACAACTCACGAATCGACAACTGGGGTTCCGTCAGTCTCCAAGACCGTAGCCTTTTGGTAATCGGCGTGGTGGAGGTCTCCAAACTCGGCGGATAACGACGAGTTATGGTACAGTTTCTGCACAATCAGGCTCAAGAGACGTGCTTGGCCACCCACTACTATCCTCTTGGTAGCAAGATTCATCAGCATTTTGGTCTGCTTTGTGGATTGCTCATCCCCGGCAAAGCTGTAGGAGAATGCCTTTTCGCAAAGCAGAAGCTGCCCCGCCGAGACTGCCTTGGTGGTGAAGAGCCCTTTGCCTCTGCCAGGCGACTCACGAATCTCTACTGGAGCTGAGAAAGTGGCGCAGTCGATGAAGGGAGGTGTTTTTTCTGCCTGCTTGTACATTTGCTTGAATTTGTACTCGCCTGTTCGCTGTTCGTTGAGCCGCTCGTGGAGCCGATCTTTTTCGGAGCTGGCTGCCTTGTTTTCAGGGAACGACTGTGTGAGCTTTTCCAACATTTCGAGACTCTGCTGATAGTTACCGAGCTCATACAATGCTCGAGCCTTGCGCAAGAGAGACTTTTCGGATGGCATCGCAGGATTGGTGGCTTTCTCAGCATCCAACAAGGCCTGCTTCGGTCGGTCCATGTTCAGGTTTACAAGTGAGCGGTTGAGGAAAGCGAGCTGTCTATCCTCAAGATTTTGACCCGCTCGAATAGCTGAAGAGTACCTAGATGGCTGTCAGTTACGTGCTCTCGGCTGCCCAACTGCTTGGCCTGATCTTAAGAGTCAGACAAGCCGGAATGAGAAACATACAGTCGCAGTGCTTCAGCCCATTTCTTGGCCTGTACAGCGTCGTTCCCTTGCTTTCGAAGGTCTGTACTGTTCTCGCCTGAGATGACCGTCGATGGCCTCCAGTGCGAGGGAATGCGGTCGTCAGCTCCGTCCAGCCGGATCATATCGCTAGGGTGATCGACTCTGAGCGAGTATGTACCGTCCGTGGCACATTTGAAGAAGGGCTCTTTGAGGATGCAGACCATGTTTGGGTTGAGGATCTCAGTGGTAGGGACGATGGTCTCTTCAGGTTGGTGATAGAGCTGGAGCAACACAGCGATTCCCTTCTCATCCTCCACAATGGCCATCACAGCCGTCATGCGGTCCGGGGGCGTGAGGACGCGCAGCATGACCTTCCTCCCTCGATGATGGGTTTCGAGTCTCATGTCGGAGATCATGATGGGTTCCAGGTCGTTGATGGAATCAATGCAAGGTGGGTAAGGCGCTGGGACCTGCGTGGTAGCGATTGTGTTTTCGTCCGACCGAGGGCCATATGAGGCGGCCATGAGCTTCATGAGGAAGGACGAGACGAGTTGTTGAGAAGGAGGGTGATCTCGTACAGCTTGGCCCTTTCTTCGGCCTGCTCGCTCTGCAGCGCTCTGAAGCTGCTTCAGATAGCCAATATATTTGCTCTCGTTTGAGACGTCTTTGATATCCATCTTGGGATTGGGAGTTGAATAGTTGAGGGTGGGTTAGTGAAATGGCGACTCAGAGTACAGCTCAAGGGTTAGGTCGTGAGCTACGTCTTTAAATGATGATTTGGCGGGCCGCAGGTGAAAACAACAGCCACCCAAAATGCCTCGTCAGGCCATCGCAATGGTTGGCCTCCCACAGGTGACTGCATATTTGTGACCAATCTTGTGTGACCAATGCTGTCCATGTATTGGTCAACAGAGATTACCCCTCTCGCTGTTTACCCAATTGAAAGCTCAGCAACCAGAGGCAAATAACCGAATCAATGATCTTTGTAGAAGGAGGGATTCTTTGGCCCTCTTGCCTTTCATTTTTCCCGTATCTCCCCGTGTACAAAAAACATACCAGAAAAAAAGGGATTCTTGAAGAACCATTCAAACCGCATACAGCATGGTCCCAATGTTGCGCCCGAATACTGCAAACTAATTACTCTCTGAAGCCGACCTACGGGCGAAGAGTACGCCCTGCCGAGTCCGGCAAGATCTTCCGTCTCATAATCTTATCCAGGCTATTCCAATCTATCCTAATTACCTGGCCACAAAACCAGGCTTTCTGCAAACGTTCTCGCTATTATCTGAACATGTCGCCAAGCAGGGTAGAAATTAACTCAACGCCAATCAAGGAAGGCATTATAGCTAATTATTAAAATTAATAATAAATATATATAATAGGCAAGTCACCAGATAAGTAACTGCAACACTCTAATTTTTATCTTAAATTATAATATAATTCTAAATAGCTTCTAGAAATCGAAACTTAGCCAAAATGACTATAGCTTTGAATAGAGCTTAATTAGTATAAGGTATAGATAGGAAAGAATTTCTAAAATGGAAGATAATTGCGAGATGATGGCTTGTTTTGGAAGTCATTGCCCTCACAATTGTACCGTCGCTTCGGTGCCCTTAGCCAGCTTCCGAAGCTCAGGGACCATGGACCTTGAAATATTTTCTTTTCTGGGGAAAGAGAAAACTGCGTCAATTCACTGCCGCTTTTGGTTCCGATTGAAAACCCTTGTTGAAGCCCCATTGGCGGCTTGTCAAGAATACTGTGCGAAATTAGCGCTATTGTCATCTCGTCCTCATGATTGTCCATCTCCTGAGGTTATGTGCACTACCAGCCCAGCAGCTTCTGATGAGCCCGCCTTTTGCAATGATTGACTTGCCAGCTGTAAGGAGACAAAGCCTGATCTCCAGGGTTTTAAGAACAGACTCGGATGTTTGGACTCCAATTTCCGCGCCGATGCCACCAGGGAAGAGGAGGAGCTCACCAAGTATGTGGGGCCTGTTCACTTTCCTTCAGCTCTTCCTTTATGTACATGAACCGGAAAGTCAGCCTGGTGGATATATGTGAAGCATTTTGATTGCTTTGGCTACTTTCGATCACAGAGGAAGATATAAAGCTCGCCTACCTCTGAGCTCTGGATATCAGCGTGAATGACTGGGGGGGAGCCTTTTGAATGAATGGGAGTACTCGAGGGATCATCTAAGCTACCAAGGCGCGATCCTGGACGTGATAGTGACGGCCACAGTCTTATGCGTTGCAGTAATCAGGTGTGTTCTCCCTCGTCTACTGGCAGCCAAACCTTTCGCCTGTATCTCGGTCCTCCACGGAGCCGTGATGATACCTATTAACCAGATGTTATGCGATAGGTTCAAAAAGGTTGTACTTCAAATTAACCATTAAATGCTTAAATATTAGAGGTATAGATGGAGCGGTCAAAAGATTTTACGCAGAATTCGCCTTACATATATTCGATACATCATTCTCTCGCCCATTCTGTCCTGCGTGTTGTACCCCATCAAACATATCGGGAAGCCCGAGTATGCCCACAAATTGGCTTTGCCGATGGAGAAAGGTTCAATATCTGTGTACACTTTTTAGATATAGCCTCCTTCCATTAAAGACTGAAGTTGCACCCTAGTGAGGTCTTGGCTAATAGTCTCTCCTCCTGACTGTAGTGCTTCTTCCATCCAATCTAGACACAGTCGATCCATTAGTATGAGCCGTTCGTGCTCACTTCGGTAGATTGGAGTATAGTTGGATAGCTCGCCGTGGAGGTAATATTGGAGCGATATGGTTCCGGATCTCATGATCAATTGTTGAATGGCGGCAGGGAGGTATAGTGGTCGTCTTTCACCAAGCCACTCCACGATGTCGTCAACCAGATCAAATGTAAGTCTCCAAGGGACCAGAAGAGCTATATGCGGGAAACTGAAGATCTTGTCAGCCAGAGGTGTTTTCTGCCTTGTAAAGTTGTCTGGGCAAGTCCAGGTATCTAGCAGCTTTGCGCAGGAGGAAAGAACTTTCGCTTCGAGCTGCAACACCTCCCAAAAAATCCAAAGAAAGCACCTGGCTTCTAAGTATTCCGTAACAAAGCTAAATGTGCCAGCTTCCAGTCCAGAGCCAACGTCATCCAGAAGTCGTGTATCATCCTGCGACCAAACAGCAAGAGGCACGCTATTAGTCAACGCTTGAAGCGCTGAAGTAACAAATCTTGATAAAGCTTGATCCCTTCGACCGTGCCAGAAACGGGTGTTGACCAATGCCGCGGCCTTTGCAAATGGAAGATCTTCGGAGGCTAGAACTTGCTTCGTGCGTTGAAGACCTTGTGTAGTTCTTCTCAGCCGGTTCTTGGCCACCTCCCTTGTCCTGTTGTGAGAGAACTCAGGCCATTGTGAAGTGCAAAGTGTCACTCTGCGAAAGTGTCTTATCTTGGGTGTTCTTGCCCTTGATTGACTCTGCGGAACGGGGCCAATTTGTGTAATTCTGTCAAGGATCAGTTCCCTAATGGTTTTCGCTTGGTCTGCTGGACCTAAGAAACGAAACGTGAATGCCGCCCTCCCACTTGACTTTATGTTGTTAAGAGCAATTTGAGTGAGCGGATCGGGCTGGCCGTTATATGAATCATGAAAGCGAAGCCATAATCCACACCTCCTGTTGGCACTAGCAGCACATCAGATTTGTCAGTTCTTGACGTATAGGCACTGTCTTAACGTACCATTCTAAGGCTTGACCATGAAAATTTGCGACTCTCTTGCGACGACATGCAGGACACTCTGTGTCGTGACTTCCCAATTTCGGAAAGATCGCACTCATTAATACGAGCTCTCGACACTTGATAACATCTTGAATGGGCCTGATGCCGGGGCTATTGCACAGAATCTCTGAAAAAGACTGACTTCTGTGCAAAAGATAGCGGTGGTTCTGGATAATCTCGTGTCCATGATGGCCCGGAGGAAACATTTGCAGAAGGATTTGATGTAGTGCCTAGAAGGAAGAGCCATTAATAGGCCGATAGAAGACATGATGTAGTACATACCTCCCAGGAGCTGGCAGAAAAGAAGTCAAACCTGTGAAAGACGCCGAATGGGTCCTCAAGATCAAAACTGTTCCTCATAAAGAAATTTTCCATGAAAGGCCTGCTAGCAGAACTAATGAGTAAGGCTCTGGAATACTAATCAAATAATATTTGGAACATAACTAACTTTGGAAATAATTGCTGCTTCATGGTAATATAATTCAATTGAGACAAAAGGTCCTGTCGAATTTGTTCGAGCTTCTTTGAGTGGAAAGGCCACTTGATCTTTTGAAGACAGCCTCGTATATTCGTCTCGCGATGTCGGCCTAGGAAAGGGCGGAGTTTTCTGATCTTCTTATGAAACTCAATCAGTAGTCGGTTGATTTCCCTAGATTCTCGTCGAAACAGCTTCTTATGTTGTGGGTCGTAGGAGGAAGATGCAATAAACCTACTCAGCTTCTCGAGGTCGCGGTGTACTCTTTCAAAACGCCCAAACTCATCAACTGCCTCCCCATGGAGAAGAGTGCTGACTTTCCAAATGCCTTTGCCGGTGACAACAACATCTCCGACGCCGACACCAAATGACATCTTGTGCGTCTAATAATGTTCTTATTGCACGTAAAAGTGTTGAGATTCTTGAACGAAGCCAAGATAGAATCCTGTCAATTTATTTCATCAGAGTCAGGGCCCTGAGTATAAGGAGGGTGATATAAGCACTTATGCTATTCACACTTGTATTGCCTCCCGCCCGGTTGCAGTGCGCTTTTCTGTAATGGTGTGTTGCAATTTGCTATCATTTGGGCTTATATGATTATGCGTAAGCATGTAGCAGACAGAAGTGGCCTCTCCTTATGTGTCACAATATGGTTGGCTGCTAAAATCTGTGTGTATGGCCAATGTGCGTTTCTGGCGCTGTATCGTAAACGAAAAGGGAATATTGCAGTATCAGTCAATCTTTGCGGGGGTAGCCGCTCTTGGCGCAAAATTTCGGCTTGAATGGTTTTTTTTCTTTCTCTGTTTTCTGCGTAAATGGAATCATTATCCCGTCCTACGCGTCCTACACATCAAATTTCAAGGATCACTGCAGAGGGCCGGGTTGCCGCAATTTGTTGTCTGTTTCCCATAGGGGTAGAAATTATGCAGCCAAGCCCCCTTTCATCTATGCCTAATGCGGCTGCACAACCAATAGTCATGTTTCAAAAACAGTCACTGCTGCACATCGGTTCTTTCTTCGAGAACCGCGAGTGGCGTCTCTCCCTCAGTACTACTAAAGGTGTGATTTGGCCAATATTCAATAGACCGTCTTAACAAGGCCGCACGATCTTCCAACTTTAAGCTCCAAGATATTCCAGCCACGGAAGCCCGTAGTTCGGCTTCCAACAGTCGTCTCCACATTGGGTGAAGCTGACTTTTGAGCACACATCTGAGAGTAGCAGATTGAGCTAATTTGCATATAGCTACGCTATATCCGACATTGACAAATATTTTACAGAGGCTTCTAGCAGTCACCTGCATACTGTGTTCTATATCTATTCAGAGCCTTCTTCAAAGGTCTGACTCACTCAAACATATAAACGTACCCCAGAGCTATGATATGACAATTCCTTTAACCAGGCGGTTTTGATCTTCAAAATGCGCTCACAATCATCGCGGTTCACAGACAAACCAAGTGAGCTGACCGAATAATCGATGAGGGCTGAAAGTCAACAAATCTATTTACAATGCAATAGACTATGACGTCATTCCCTTCGCCCAAAGAGGTCGTCCCAGCTTCGTCTCTTAAAAGACGTTGAATTGGCTAAGATGAAATGATCCAAGAGCGATAAGATAAGATAAGAGTGATAAGATGGAACGATAAGCGTGCACGGGCCACAATCACAGGCAACTTTGACTACACTTCACCTTACTCTTATGCGTGCTTTGATGCGATGTCAAGGCCACTACAGGAGCAGCATAGGTTAATGAGTTGGCCATTCAATTCGCTACTGGCTGCTCGGCTTTAAAGAAATTTGAGTGTTTAGGTGAGCACCATTGGAATGAATTGTCCATGCAGCTTAAAAATGTTTGACATGCCGCCTAGAAAGCATTGTGAAGACAATTCAGGTGATGCCTTAGCCGGTTTTAATGCTAAACTCTTTTAGAATGACGTGCAAACTACGTGCTGGTGATATCGAAGGCTATTTAAGTCTTGTCTTTACTTACTGAGCAATTATCTTACAGAGATATTCCCCCCCACGACGTAAAAGATGCTGGTTCCGGGTAGTTGGTTCTCACTCAGGTCATCGACAAGCTCAACATCTTTAATCAGTGAAGGATATTTATGTTCTGTGTCTTCACAGCATGAAGCACCAAAATCGGCGCTGAAGTATTGAGCAACTTGGTCTGGTCTGATTTCCTTGGTGGAGAGTCCGGATTTCCGGAATACAAATTCCGTGCATTGGAACATTTGTCTAAAGTGGCGAATTCCCTACGATTGGGGGGAAGGGCCTTCACGGCAGAAAGCTTTACCGAGCTGTGACTCGCAGATGTCCCGGTCGGATTATGGCCCGTTTTATATGAGTGATGGTCGCTTCTGTGAGTTCCTGTTGAAGGCAGAAGGCCCGCCCCTCGGACGGTTTGACGTCGGGTGATTGACTTTTGGTAGCTCCAAGATTGGTATTAGCCGATTTCTGAAGCTAGGTTGGCAGTAATTCCATTTTCACAAGAACACAACCGTTTGGTTCCACAGCAGCTAAATCGGCTGCCGTCAGGTCGTGATGCCTTTCTCAACGCCACCTTCCTCGCGGAGCCCGCTTGTCTATCGCCATAGCAATAGCAAAGTAACAAATCTTTGATTTCGGTATCTGGAGATATCAATGCCGGAAATGCGCCGCGTTAGACTCCGACCTTAGGGACGACTATGTGGAACCCCACGATCTGGGAATGAGAGCCCGGCAATTCCTGCTGGGTACTCCGCGCTTGGCGGTTCAAAATCGGTATTCCGGACTTCGGCAATGATTGCCTGTATCTCTGGGCTCCGGAGACCATTACTGATATGATTTCTGTAAATTCCGTTCTGGAATCCCGATATCCGGAAGATCCAAAACCTGCTATGGGCTCTGCCGGAAATCAGGGTTCGGTATTATATAGTAGTTAATTAAACATCAATGACCGTCCTATATATGCAAAAAGGTTGGGGTTTTAAGTTCTTCTGGGAGGTAGTGTAAGACACTTATTCTATATAAATTCAATGCCCGGAACACAGAATCTGGGGGATAAAAACAGAGAGATGGTGGAGCAGAGAAAGCAAAAAAAGTACTTCGTATCAGTGAATTACGTCTTGAAGGCTGGTAATAGCCCGCTGACAGACTCAAGTCGATCTATAAGACAGTTGCTTACCTAAAAGTTCAGGCCCACTAAGGTTACAATATAAAGATTGTTCTACCACTACCAAGGAGCTATATGTATCTCAGGAGGCGCAATATGATAATGTTTTGCAGACCCGAAGCAGTTAAAAAGTCGAAATGTTAGTCATTACTATTAGTTCTCGTCTAACTATAGAGTTGACAGGCGCGAGATTGAGACTGTATGAAATAGAGGTAACTTCTGAATCAGACTATCTAAGCTAAAGAAAACACTTCCTCCTTATGCCTAGGAGTTTCAAACCTTATGGCTTCCCCTTCCATAATACCATGGATATAGCACTCACCCACAAGTGAGTATTTGCCCTCAGCTTCTTTTCTTACCACAAAGGGCACTTCAGACCCATAAAAGATACATACCAAGTCTCCCTTCTGAGCCCTCATTGGGACATAGCCTACTAACCCAATATCGGTTGCAGCAAAGCGGCGTGACGCTGTTAGGCTGGTAAAGGCTTCAAGGCCTTTGATTCCCTTCGACCGATCCCTTTGCAAAAGATACTCTGGGACAACATCTACTTCAAGAGTTTGACGGACAAATGATGCAACATCGTCGAGGATGAAATCTCGAAGGGCCTGTTTTCCATCCAGAGTCCGATTACAGACCAGAGTCCGCAAGAAAGGTGCCCAGCTAATCTTCCCAACTGGTGTTCTGGGAAATGTACGCTTGACCACATGGGTTATAAAGGGGTCACGGCAATGGGCCAATCTTTCTGTCGCCGCCAACCAGATGTTCTTCGCCTCTTCGATCATGTGCTTGTTGATACCCAGATGGCTCATTGGTTCGAAGTTATAGACATGGGCATTTTCGCCGGCAAAAGTGTCTGGTGTGGCAGGTGACTCGTTTCCGATTGTGTGGAGCGTGTCGACGATTTTGCCCTTCACGTGGAGAACAGTCTTATCGTCGGATGTCCATACCTGCTTAGACAGACTTGCACTTGCGTTGAATTTTACCTGGTTTTTGGTTCCGGTGAGGCTGCTTTGAGGATCAAGCCGTTCAAAGTCCGGCACCCAAGAAGGCGAAGAGTACTGACTATCAGCTTTATCTGAGCTGCTGCCAAGAGCTCGGAGGCCATCGTTCTCTAAAATATCCCAGAGAACAAAATTACGGAATACATCTCCAGGTGAGAGGGTTGAATCCTTTCTAAGATAGTTGCTTCTTATGTCCTGGGTCGTCACACCAAGCATGCCGAAAATCTTGTCCTCAGATCTTGTGACCAAAAATGAACGGCTGTCGAGGATCAAGTCAAGAAGCTTCAAGCTGTCTTGCGGTTCATGGTAGAACCACGATCGTGGGGAAAAGACCTTCCACTTGTGGTGAAGGACTGATCTTGCTGAAGATATCAGCGATATACCCGAAATAGTGGTGTCCAGCGACTGATAGGCGGGAATATCCTTAAAGACTTTCTTGTGCCCGGCCATCCACTCCACCGACCTCTCAAATACCGGCCACGGAATGGACTGCTTCTCAATGATGACTTGCCCGCGCTTCGCCAGCACGGCCTCTTGGAAGACCCAAGTGCGCTGAAACCAAGGACGGCGGAGTAGGTTGATGATTGGAGTCCAGTTGATTTCATCTTTTGTCAACATGCACCATAAAAAGTAAAAGGGCCGGAGAGGATTCTTCGATGCCAAACTTCTCCATTCCAAATCGGCCCGATGGATGGCTTCTACGGCGCCTTCGACAGAGGGGTCCATTTTGCCAAGGTATATGAGCACTTGTGAGGCTTGAGAGTAGATCTCGCCCATAAGCTTCATCTGAGATGTTGTCTCCTTATCATCAGATTGATTGATACAGAGCCGGTCCGTCCAAAGAACGCGCTCGCGGTCTGGAAGGCGCAAGTCGGATAAGGCATCATGAAGGTTGATATAAATGACCTCAGTATGTCCTGAGCAGTTTATGGGGCAAGTAACAGTTCCATCCCCCCAGTGATACGACAGAGCTTCGTACCTGGTGTTCCAGGAAAGTTCAGCATGAATAAGACGACACTTAAGTTCTTCGCCAGGAGCCCCTGGCTCAAGTATAAGAAGTCGGATCTCCTTCTCCCGGGTCATTGGCTTGTAGATCGTGTCATTGGCATCATCTGGAGGCTTAACTAGCTTCGGTGGTATTATACGGAAAATGGTAGAGTCGACAATGTCCGCGATTATACCTTGATCTCTGAGTGGCTCATACACGTATGGAACTAGTAATGAGAAAGCAATAAAAGCCACAACCAGTCTCATTTTGGTGACCCGCGGGACTCTGGAACGCAGAGCAGTAAATCGTCTATCGTGGGAGAATTGGCGCGCGTGGGTCAATCCATTCATTATCTGTGGAGGTATGTTTTTGAAGCGTGCATTCATCGATGAGGTTTGCGGGAATGGTGGCCTAGAGAATGGTCGTAGCAACGGGTAAGACCCTCTTCGGCCAACGCCATGTAGAGCCTGTGTTTGACTTGCGAGTAATGTCCATTGCCTCGGCATTGTGAAGGAAAAAAGAGTGTTTTGGAAATCAAAGCGGTAGATTCAATTTATCAGAGAAACGAAAGAAAGACTCTAACATAAAATCGAAAATTAGCCGCTTACTAAAATAGCAGAAGAAATGTACTGCACCTGACCCTTGGGGTATGAATGACTTATTGGGCATTGCATTTGAAGGGAGGTTCGCGGTATTTTATGTCTAGTCTTGCATGATCAGCGTCCCCCCACCACTTGTCCGCTGGACGAAAACACCCTCGGGGTGAGGACCAATAAGACGATGGCTTACAATAGAATCGCTGATCATCTCCCGAAGCCCGTCTGCTGTATTTCCTCAAACCATAGAGCCCGGCAGAGCATATGGTACGGACAGCATCCAATGGCATATGTAGGATTGAGGAGTTGATACTGTCTGTGGGGATACTGCCCAGGGTAGGAGGCCTCGCCCATCCCACCAAATAGAGACACTGCTCGGTGAATGGTTCGATTACGAGCCGCGTCTTGGCTGTATTTGCTTTGTGACAGAAAACAATGACAACTCATCAAGGCGTAAATTCGTAACCTTTTCCGTGGATATTAACCGTTCGGTTATATTTCTAGCCCGTTTCTACTTATTTTATGACTGAGAAGTGTGGATCGAGTAAGATATTGTGTATCTTATATCACTATCTTGTGCAATAGGGTTTAGCTTTTCAAGCCTTCTTTAGCACAGCTGTTCTTCAGCAAGACGTAGTCGCGGGGTAATAACCCATCTGCAGTATTAATCCTTTCCGGCTTAGCACATATGTTTTCAGCTGGCAAGTTATTCTATACTGCAGTTAGATGTAAAAAATGCAGGCTGTGTAACCACAAGAAGTAACCTGATTAGTGCGGCTACTTATCTTAACTGTACCACTTCCAATATTGAGGCCTCCTATCTGCAAGTGGCTGTCACCCAAGGAATAACCATGCATTGTGCATCATTTTGGGGCCTTTCCGTGTCTACTTTGAACACTTTGTCGTCGTTCTTCCTTGTAGCTGGCTTCTTTATTGACATGTGTAAAGCTTCGGGTCTTCGTATAATATTCCGACGGCATCTGGAGCATTACGAAGCGCCTTCTCATAGCATGAAGAAAAGTCATAATCGGCGCGCATTATTTAAATGTGGAAGAACTTTCGAAATGTGATACAGAGTAGCGAAGTCAAACATCTGAGTGAGGTTCAACGAGGTTACTGTAGAGCATAGAATGAGACTGGTGGTGAGCAAGCATGATGATTCTTATGCTCGAGAAAAGAATGGAAGACGAGGCGATGCTGATCTTCTGCCCTTCATATATCGTGCTGCTTTGTTCGTTGGCTTTATATATTGGTATCATTGTTGTTGATAAGCAGTACAAACCTTGGCTCTCGGCTCCAGACATCGAGGTCAGGGAAGATGAACCTGTGCCTACTATCAACCGATCTATGGGGATGAATGCAACCTATAAGGTTGACCTTCAGGCTGCAAATACAGGTAATATATAAAAACACGGTATTTTTTGCCTAATATAAGCTTCTACCCAAAAGCTTTCATGCTGACCATTACTATCAACCGATCATTTCACCGCAGTCACATCCACTGCCTGGCACTGGAAATCCCCATCTCGGACCAGTGGGCAGTGGAAACCAGCCCGTAGTCTTGATAAGCTTCACCACTACTCTGGGTTTTCTTAGACCTAACGACTCATGACTGACATGTCGTTGCCGCTGTTGGCGACAAAAACAGGCAACAAAAGCCAATCTATAAGGAAACAATAGCGAGTTAACTAATAATCCTCTGCTTTTCTGGCATGAACTTCATATGCGGGCAGGAGTACCAGCTGCTTCTTAGAATGCCTCTTAATATATGTCTCTATTCTCTTAGAATACTTACCCTATAAGTATCTTACTCTCATCAGTAAGTAGATTGCACGGGATGATATCAACTGCTTCTGCATCTAGCTGCCATCGGTGCTCCTTGGGAGGTAGCCAGATTTGATATTGGCCAGCTTGCCCACCAGCAACCAGAACTTTAGCGCCTGGCAGGGCTAAGTCAAACAACCATGCTGTGAACTCATATATCGTTTCGATCTCTGACAATTCTGAATGAGAACTTGGTACCCCTTGATCTGACGACAGACTGAGGATAGCTACTTCTTGAGGTATATGATCCCTAGCTAGCGCTGGCCTGCTAGGAATGATGAGATAAGTCTTCTCTCCGTCTTCGATGTCAGGCCCAGGCTGGGGTTGGATACCGATAAAGTACTGTTTGCCATTTGCAACTGCAATGGTGAAATAGCTTCCGGTCTTATTTATGGCGAATGGCCGCGTGCTGATGAGTGCTCGGCCCTGATACATCAGTCGGCCATCCGGCTGACAATGGCAGGAACCTTCAGCAACTTTGGCGCCTCTGCGAAGCAGTGTTCGGGGAATCCATCTGCAATTGTCGCGGCGCAGTCTTTCGCTCTGGATAAACAGGATGCTCAAGGGCAGAGTGCCGATGGAGGTGAGGAGTATGCGTATCCGCTCTTCGGGAGAGCTCTCTCTTAAAATGGCGTCGATATCCGTGCCAAGAGTGGTTGCCAGACAGACAGCCTCGTCCTCCAACCGTGTAAGGTTTCGCGTTGTAAGGCTGGTAAACATTATCCGAAATAATTCAGCTGGAGTAAAATTGTTGCTGCAGCGATGGGAAGGAGGCAGACTTCCAAATGAATTCAGTGAAGCATTCGCAGTCATTCGGAAGAAGCGAGATTTGTTGTATTGGTCGACTCTCGAGACGAACGAACTTGGCGGAGCCTCGCCCGCATGAGCGATGGGCGTCTCCGACGCACTCACTGGATTGTCAAGGCTCCGTCCTAGGGTCAACGTCTGCCATAAACCGTGTAGAGCTCGCAGATACTTATTTGGACTACGGTCACCCGCGAGCGGAAGAGACGGTAATTTTCGAATCTTCTCCCAAGTCTCTATACTCTCAGCATCTTCGAGTTTGGCGCCAAGCTCTATCATTCTATAGCACGCTGGATCTCGCAACTTCTCATACCTGTCCATCCACGTAGGGATGTCTGTATGATAGTACAGAGCTTTATGCCAGAACATTTTCATCTCTAGGCCGACGTGCTTCAACTCGTAGAATTCGTCGGCAAAGCAGAAGCAGAGAGACTTTGAGAGGCGACCTCCTGTAGAGTCCATAGTCTAGACGCCCAAGGTGACCTCCAAATTCGTATCAGGACCTCCTCGCGTTGAGTATTGCTCATCGTGTTCATAAGCGACTTGTCGAGAACCACGACCTTCTCGGCGCCCGAGTAGATGCTAGCCATTTTCTTGATTTCCTGCTTCCGTTCCTGCTCGTGGCCAACTGGTATGCAGAGTGTGTCGATCCAAAAGTGAACGTTGTCAATGTCGGGGCACGACTTGCTTGCCGAAAGCTGCAAGTAACTCAGCTGGCATCTGGGGAGTGCATTCTCCCTTGGATTCCCCATCCCCTCAGACCAAACGTGGGATATAGCGACATATGGGGGCGTGGGACCTTCATCCACGCCCGTCTGGAAGATACGAAAAAAAGGCCAGTCGATCCGGATCAAGGGAGTACCGCCTCGCCGGACACAGGAGAGAACCAGGTTAACTGCGAAACCGTGGCTTAGCGAGATCAGTTCGCTGTCGCAATCCCGGTCAAAAAGGTGCCTCGTCTCGTACGTTGACTCGTCCACCTGATACCCGACACACTTCTCCGTAGTACACTGTGAGTGGTCTCCGGGAATACCTCGACGATCGAGAAAGGTGAGGTACCAACGAAGACCCAAGTTACCCTGTGATAGGTATTCCCTATCACAGGTTTCCACTTGATATGGGCAGTAGCCGGCCCTCTCCAGGAGTTGGGAGATAATCGGGTCGCTATCATAGGAGCTTGAGAACTCTACCTTGTTAAGGAGTCTTTCGTGGGTGCTTGCTTTGTCAACGCGAAATAGTGGTTCGCTATCAGCGCCAACAATGGGAACGAAATTGCTATATACCGTCGGTAGTGCTTCGCAAAGAGTCATTCCCAGAATTTTAATAGAAAGAAGTACTGCCGCCATGGTAGGGTATCCAGGTGCCCCAGGGTCGTCCAGATTCGTCTCGGCAGTAATAGGTCAAGGCAAGTGTCTCGTTTTAGACACGACGTCATCGGCTATCACTAGTACGCGCACAATCTGATCCAGGCGCTCAAACTTCTCGGCGGCTGGTTCATCGGCCTCGCGAGCAAGCCAAAGATATATGAGCATTTCAAGCTTCAGGGTAGTTACCACGGCGTAGTCACGGCCCTCCTCGGCTTGGATAAAGTCCCGTCAGTCGAATTCGATGCCACAGATGTGCCCGAATATTTCCTTCATGAGGCCGAAGAAAAGCCACGACTGGAGATATGGTGCGAACCTAGTGGCTTTACAATCAGTGTCAATGAACTTTTTCGCAAAGTCAGATAATCGAGAACCGTCGTATTCGAAATCCTTATCGTATAGTTAGCGAATCTTGAATGAATGGGCATGATCTTGTGTTACAACGTCGTCGCCGATGACTCGTACCAGGTCGGCCCTCGGGCGGTTAAACGTGTTCTATAAATTGATGCCGAGAGAGAGGGCTTTGGCAGTTGTGGACAATGATCAGGTTACAGTTGTAGCCGAGAATAGCGCCTCTGTACCTCACTTCTTATATTTTTCTGAGGGTGAGTAAATGCCATAAGAAGCTTGCTGGTGATGGAGAAAGACGAAAAAGGGATGGGGACCTCGGGCTGACTCTCCGTCTCTTACAGACTCTTTCTGTTAGTGCGTTGGTTCAGCTGGACTGGGTTGGCGCACTATTGAGCTGTGCATGCAGGTTTCTGCAAGCCACATGCAAAATAATACCTCGTCACAGAAGGATCCCGTAATCAACATTGGGGAGACCATGTCGTGAAATGTGACTGGACATCAACAACACGCAAGAGAGAAGAGGAATCTTTCCTGGAGCACCAATGGGCACCTGATGCGTCAGCCCATAGTCTCTCATTTTATGCTATTCCCAAGCGGGAAAGATAGAGTGATTGTCCTCACCAACTTACATATGCTCCCTAGCGCTTTGTATTCAGAAGCCATGATCAAGGTTGCGACCCTTTTTTGTTGTACAAGCAAGACCCTGTGGCTAATTCGTACCTGCATACTGAGGGAAGAGACAATTTAGCTCCAATCAGGCAACTATGGATCGTCTCACCGCCAGGTCTATGCATGCACGGCAGAGAGTTGGGTCGACTCATCTTGTTGTTTGCGGGGATTGAAAATATGCAGCCAAGTTCCTTTTCATCCATGCCTGATACAGTCGCGCAACCAATAGTTGTACTTTAGAAATGGGGTTTACTTGAGCGAACAGTCCTAGATATAGTTCCAGGGGTTGATGTCAAGTGGTGTGATCAGCTTACTGTCAAACTGGCTTTGGCAAAAGATCACCCCTCGAAAAGCCCGTACAAGCAGGCGTTAGATGGTAGGTTCAAGAACACTAATTCTCGGCAAGGCTACAGGCATCAAAGCGGGGTAAGATGATGTTATCTTGTGCGGCCTATATGGCGAACCAGTTGCCTTGTTTTCGGGCCAGATTATTTGGAGTAGATAGTGGCTTGCGTATTACGCGGTTGCGCAAAAACATTATTGCAATACGCGTGGCCGTATTAATTGGCTATATCAGGCATAAAACTGGAGGCAGAGTTGTCTCAATGCCAACTTGTTCTTTTGCCTATCGCACCACAATTCAGGACAGAATGGAACCCCTAATAAGTCTTCTATCATCTGATCCTGAAGATGACAGCAATGGTAGCAGGTCTCTAGCTATCCCCTCTTTCAATTTCATCTTACCGAGCCGACCAAATACTCCCTTACCCCTTGGTGAGACGTCGTATTTGGGGTCAACAGGCTTACTGGATGAGTCTGTCAGTCATGAGCTGGGCCTCAATGACCCAATATGGTCTCTAGACCTGACTATCGACAACACCGAGCAGCCAGAAGCTGCTGATGGTTCTCACTTTCCAATCGAAGCATCAGGACCTTTGTTGATGGTACCAGAAATCGAGTCACTTGAACAACAATTGAGAGGTGCCATATGCCAGCATGCCCACAAAGAGTCCAAAGGATTTCTTCCTCTTGACAAATTGAATGAAATAGTCATCGAAGATTCTGTATCCGTTGCACTCAGAGAATGCATGCCGAATTTATCGCATGATGATGCACAATTTCATGCAAAAATGATCTGCCCAAGATCTCAGCGAAATCACAGGGAACCATCCTTTCGACGCATCTTCGCGATATTAACAATAATTCAGCAACCACAAGAGGTCTTCGCCTTTATGGAGAATAACATCACAGACCTTGACCTGCCTCTTGTCAAGGTTCGCGGGGAACACAAGGGTCGATATGAACTGAGACGGAAGTTCCAGCCAAATAGGCCTTTGGAAGGTCTTGACAAGTGGTCGCCCTTCTTGATAGACTCGTTTGAAGGGTGTCAGTGGATGATGATGTCGCCTTTTTTCTCGTGGGAAAACAAACGGGCTGTCCGCACATGTTTCCTCGCAGACCAAACTATCCTCCCTTTCATAGAGGACTCTTCTCGTGACGTCGACATGGAGGATGATGAGGATTTCCAAGGAGGCCACGGATCCATCTTCAAAGTCAAGATCCACCCAGCGCACCACAACTTTCATCACATCGCCGTACGTAAAAGGCTTCTATTGCATTGACCGACATTTGCTAACTATTGTCCCGCAGGAAGCTCATGACTCTGACTCTGCCTTTGCGGTGAAGCGCCTCCACTCTCGCAGTCGCGAAATGTTCTCAAGAGAGGTAGATGCCCTCAAGCGACTAAGTGGCCAGAAGCATATAGTTCCACTTCTGGCTACATTTGAATACAAGAACAGCTATCATCTTCTCTTTCCGTGGGCGAACGCAAACCTGCGGCGATACTGGGCCATGTTCCCCAGCCCATCCATTGATCGCCGTTATGGGCTTTGGGTAGCCAAACAGTGCAAAGGCATGGCTGAGGGGTTGAGCATCATCCATGAGCCTCCACCCGACCAGAGTGACGACTATGCCTACGAAGCTGCCTTGCAGCCAAGCCACAGGCAATCACAGTCGTCACAATCTTATGGCAGACATGGGGATATTAAGCCAGAGAACATCCTTTGGTTCAGGAACGGGCCCAACACTGACATCGGAGTCTTGGAGATTGCTGATTTTGGACTTACGCGCTTCCATAACAAAAGATCCCGGTCTAATATTTCACCTGTTAGAATGGGGAATTCTCCGACCTATCGCGCTCCAGAATTTGACATGCCTGACGGACTCTTGTCGAGATCATACGATATATGGGCGTTGGGATGTGTGTATCTTGAGTTCCTTACATGGTACTTCATGGGTTGGGAAGGCGTCATGGAATTCTCCGCGTTGAGAGAATACAAGCGAAACAACCTCGAGGCTGACGATGCTTATTTCGAGCTGACCGGGGCTCCAGAAACAGGCAACATATGCAGCAAGGTTAAGCCTGAGGTAGTCCATGTGAGTATTGACTTGAAACTGTTACCGCTTCCCGTTCTATCCTGACATCTGACAGTGGGTGGCATCACTTCATCAACATTGGGCTTGTTCGCCATTTTTCCACGATTTTCTCGATCTAATCAAAGACAGCATGCTAGTTGTTGAGACAGATGGTGAAGTTCCGGTCCGCAGAGCCACAGCAGCCGAGGTTAAGCAAAGCCTGGTTCGGTTCTACAATCGATCCGGGTCAGATGCAACATACCTATATGGAGCAAATCCTCTGAATCACCCTATCAATACCAGGCTCTTCACTGGGTCGGAGGATGGGTACCCAATGAGTCGTGAGAATAAGAAGCAATCAAGCACTGTTGCTGGCCTAGAAACCGGTATAAAGTCCAACTCGCCTCCGCGACCGACTTATAGGATATGGGATCAGACTCCACTTCCATCAAACAGAAAGGCCAAGACTCATCATGTAGGCCGGAGAAGCACCACTGACGGCAGCCGTGATTCATTATCACTTTTTCAGCCAGGATCTAGGTCAACTTCCTTCAGTGAAACTTCTCAGGCTTTAGCATCAACTTCTTCCAGTGATCGAAGCCATCGCCCCGTAACTGCAACACAGAGGACCCAAGACACAGCAGGCGGCGATACAAAGGACAGTAACTACCCGTTAGCTTGCCCCTTCTTCAAACGTGATCCCAGCAAGTATGGACAGACATGTTCCAGAGGCTGGGTCCAGTTTCACCGATTGAAGTTAGTACCCTTCTTTATAGATTGTGCTGGACAGGATGATAACGATTTATAAGGGAGCATATATTTCGAAAACACTGTACGCCAAGATACAGATGCTCACGCTGTCTGTCATATTTTGATGATGGTGCTGGTCTTGAAAAACACGTTTGTTCTGTGGAACCTTGCATATTGCGGGAATCCATAGAAGTTGAGGGCATAAACGCTGAACAGGAACGCCGCCTCCGCTCAAGAAAGCGAACCAGAACGGAGACCGAGTCAAATGAAGTAGACCGCGAGGCACAACGATGGCGCGAGATGTACAAGATCATCTTCCCAGATGCTGATGCGCAGACAATCTCCCCGTGTGAGTAGCAACAAAACAACGGCCTATGAGGCTGGTATCTAACAAGACTATATGAAGATAACGACTGCAGCCATGGATCTTACACGGCCGGCGTCCAAGCCCCAAACCTACTCATGATGATAAGCCACTTAGCTTACGGTTATGTGTCCATTTATATCCTTCTCCATTTCTTCTATCCTCTTCTAATAGTCTCCATCCATTTGTCACTTGACCTTTTCCACCATTCGTATATCTGCCTCCACTTTCTGAGTAGTTATTCCGCTTTGCATAATCCAGTCAAAGGCCTTTCCAATGAGCCAAGTGCTGATGATAATAACTGCAACTGAGAGTATGATATAGTGGACTACTGGGTCGTTCCAGATATTGTACTCATACTTGGCAGGGAAGAGATATTTGGCAAAGGCGAAGTAGTAGTAAGCAACATAGTAGCTTGTCTTGAAGATACAAAACGCAATCATGTCGTCATCTCGATGCCTCTCAGCAAAGGCTGCCAGTTGCTCAATTGCGTTGAGAGGGTGAGACCTTTCCCATACCCAATGAATGCCTCCTCCTAGTACAATAAGGATGACGAGGACTCGACGGCGACAAATCTTGTTTCCTTTGATGATGATCCTCTCGAGCAAGCCTATGAACCACCACATCCCTGCCACTGGGATAGAAACGAGGTACCAAAACAGACCTATCAAGGGGCTGATGATCAAGGTATGAAAGCTATATGTTATTCCTCTGAGGATCCAAGAACCACAGCTTCTCAGCTTTCTAAAGCAAAGCGTCACAAAGCGGCGGGTCTCGGTTGACGCCATCTTCCTCCACTCGATACTGTACCAGCCAGTGAGACCGAGAAAAAGGAGAGAAGAGATTCCAATAAAATATCCACAATACTCATACCCAAAAATAGCGTTAATGTCGTCCAGGGATGGCAGGGTAGGTAGATCGTATTGTGTCAACAAATCATTCGTCTCGTCGAAGTAATAAATGCCGGTAAAGAGTGCAATAACAGCAGTAGCATACATGAAGGAGGCAATGACCCTCCAGTGCCTAAGTATGAACTTGAAGCAACTCCAGATGGCTTTGGAATGACGCAGGTAAATTGTTTCGACCACGTACCCAGTATTCTGGTCATTGGGTAGAGTTTTATCCTCCACAAGGCCAACCTCGATAGATTTCAGCGACGACTGACTAGCAGTCGTAGATGGATGTGCATCTATATCCTCTATCGGAGTCGCGGATCGAGAAGTTTCATATTCCTCGATTGATGGTGTTGAGATTCCAGAGGATAAAGCGACATTAGCAGGGCTCGAGGTTCCAAGAGACGGAGATTGTGAGGGTGGAGGACTGGGCAGACCAGTTACACCTTGTTCCTCGAAGCCGCTTGACCAGGGAGATTGAGGGCCTGAAGAGCCGGGAGTCGTTGGTTTGGAAGACTGAGGTCGCGGGGAATCCTGTGAAGCAGATGGGGATGCGGACGGGGAAGCAGACTGGGATGCAGACCTCGCGTTGCGGCGAGACTTCCTGTGAGACGAATTACGAGTCATTTCGGGTGATGATAAAAATCTTGTAAAGAGAAATTGTCGAGGGCTTTTTGTTGAGCTAAATGTTCAAAGTGAGTATGTACTTAGAGTGATTGATTGTTGTTGTTTTTCGAGGGTATGATCACTGGAATTCATCAGATATTAAATAGTTAACTCGTATCGTTACAATTCTTTGCATTCGTCGCCTTTAGTCTCAGTGCTTACTGAACGTCAATGGCCTTTCAGATGCTGAACAACAGCATTCTTTGACCTGCAATAGCCCACAGCCACGGTAATGTCCAAGCGCAGATGTTTAGAGTACAATTTGGCTAAAATTGGCCAAGGCCGAGTTCCATTGACTGGGTTTATTTTTAGCGACAACAACAACACAATGCACCAAAGAAAGAACAGCGCTTATCTTCAGGCACGCCTTTGTTCAATGGTACTGAACAGCGCGGCCGACTGGGATAGAGAGAATATGTCTGTTACAGAGTAAATGCTGTAATATAGAGTCATTTCGCTGGCTTTTGAGCTTTTTGCAGAACAATTGCCCTTTGTTGTTGTCAGCAAACTCGAGATCTCGGCTTATTTCATTCAATCACCAAAACTTCAGTCCGGATGCAAATAGACGGCGCTACATGATCTCCTCATAACGCCTGCAGATCGACAGCAGCATCAATATCAGACCAGAGAAAAGCCTAATGATGATTTCACTCGCCGATCCTCCCTTTTGTTCCGGGGCCTCGTAGTCGGGGATGAGTGCGTGATGAAAACTAGTGCAGCGAGATTGCATTGACTCGGGGACTAAGAATAATACATATCGGATGCATCCACAGGCTCTACAGGATTTGTTACTGACAAGCACCTCTGAGTGTGCCGCCGATGACAGACTCGAGCATAGAGGGTCGACTAATATAGTGTACCGTTGCTAGTGGATCTCCATCTTGGCTACTTTACTCGCGTCCTTGGTGCAGCTCGCGTAGCAGCCTGCCTTTCCCCAACTCACTTCAGCAAGCTCTCTGAGTCCCCGCTTCGTCATTCACAAGCTGCTCCGCTTTCTTTAAGCCCTCTCGACTGGAGTGCACTCCCCGGCTTGACAGAAGGCGGTTTACAGGCCATTCCTATACTTGTTTTCTCCACGAGCTTCATTCCCATGCAGCGAATTCGTGACCTTTTGAAATCTCCTCTCTGTCTCTATTACCATTACCTCACGCTCGTATCACTTCTGAAATTTCGGCCTCTAGTCCTTTGGATATCGCATGCAAGATAACGACCTCGTCCGCCACAGTGGAAATCCGCGAGGATTCGCAGCTCGTTTTCCTGCTGAGGTTGAGGTCCAGATTCAATGATGGGTTGTAATTATTGGCGATATTCTTCTCAAAAAGTCTTCAAGAATGGTATCTACCAGGCGGATCGCACGTGCCCGGACGGCTACACCTACGACGGAACTGCTGACGCCTGCACATATGTTACAGAGCTTCACTGCAGCTCTAGCGCCAAGGGCTATTGCAAGGAAGGCGCTGACGACTTTAACGCAACGTTTTGATCGTTGGAAGTCACTAAGGCTGCGTTCCCTGATGGTTACGAGCACAAGGAAAGTTACTATCGCCATCCTTCTGAGATCCCTGCTTGCCCTGATCTCTGTGACTCCGTCGATGGCAGATTTGTCAAGTAACCGTGCCGCAGTGGAGTATCGGAAGCTACAACAAAGGGAAGTGCATCTTGTGTGATCCAACCTGTCCAAGGGGAAGTGAATTCAGCGGCAAGGAATGCATACTTATTGAGCGAGCTTCTTGCCCTGATGGATCCAGACTTCTTGGCAATGAATGAGTTTCTCTGAATCAGGCGACCTGCCCTCAAGTTCAACGACAGGAAGGAGGCGCCTCCATCCACGAGGCATCACCAAAGTGTCCTCCCAACACGATGCTCGATAAAGGTGCCTGCAAGCACCCTGACATCCCCATATGCAAGCCTGGTACCAACTATCTCGATGAGCACTGCACCTTGCCCACTACCCGAAGCTGTCCTAAGGGCAGCATGATTAGCAACTGAAAGTGTATTGCGATCCAACCCCCGCAGTGCCCCGAGAGACATAAGTACTGTGATGTAACCCATAGTTGTGTACCAAAAGGGCCCCCTAAGTGTACAGACGGCCTTGTATGAGGCAGGTATCACTGCGTCAGCCAAAGACCGGCGCCGTGTCCCCAGGGCTACACTCGGGTTGATCCAACGTGTACCAGCGAGAACGACCCCCAGTTTAAAGAGGGATTTGTCTTCGATGTTAGGTCTCAAGGCTACATTTCCAAAGCTGAGCCAGAATGCCCTAAAAGGCTTAGCTTTTATGGAACGAAGTGTGCCTCTCCATGATCTCCAGATTGTACTCATGAATGGACCAAGTACGATCCTCAGACACAATCTTGTATCGTCGCGCCACCAGGCTGTTTCGAGGGCACTGACCTCAAGAACGGCGACTATGCTGAGGGCAGCACTGCAAAGCCCTGACAGTGCTGGACTGAAGGATGATTCCTGTGTTACTACCAGGGGTCCTGAGTGTGAGAGTAATATCACCATGGTTATCGATAATATGCAATCCATTGTCGATTAGACCCAACAGTAGATATCACTTAAAGTCGATACATAGCTTGATCACAAACGGCCCGTAACTAATCTCGTTATACCCATTTCGTAGAGGGTTCTGGCAGCCTCGCGCTGGTCCTGAGGGGTGACCTATTTGCGTTACTTCAATCGCTTCATTTCAAACCTGCGATCCAAGTGAAAGCGCGTGGCGCGTGGCTGGTTATGATTGTTAGTTGGTAAGCGGCTTATGATAAGCCGCTTATCAAAGACGTCAAGGACGACGCTCATGTAGCAGCAGGTCTAAATATCAATTCAATCCTTATGCTTCTAGTCCTTGGCTCTCTAATAATATTGAGTGCTATGCATGGAATTTCATAATTTTCTATCCATGGCAACCAGTTAATCTTGTTGGTAAGGAGCCTTGTAGCTACTACTTCTAACACCTTCCGGAGCGCGACGTTTGGCAAATACCTTGGTCTGTCTAGGGTAGGGTATAAACGGACTGAGCCATCTTAAGATGACTGGTAAGATCACACTTATGAATGTTTAAAATGAAAACGGCGAATACTGGGATTCTGCAACCCTGGGTAGAAGAGAGCAACGAATGAGACACGGCCAATTGTCATTCTTACGATCTTCATTAACTGCAAATCATTGCACCCCCTGAATTGTCATGTTTCCGCACTAAATGGGGGACGGCCTGATGAATCAAAAAGCTATCGGCGCAGTCGCACTGTCGTAAGACTATGCCTGGAATTAATTTCAAGAGTTGCCGTATTAGTGAGCATTGAAAATGAGCATCTGAGACCATTTGGAGATGGTGGATTGAGATTCAGGGATTCAAAGACCTTGGATCCCCACGTTTCATTGGCCTGCCATGACCGCCGATCAATTTATTTATAGATCAGCCGTGGGGGCCAAATGGAGAGACCCAAACAACACTACAGCAGATAGCATAGCCGACATGGACCGCGAAATACTCGGATAGAATATCAAGGACATGTACAGTATCCGATGCCACGAGGGAAACATACTGAAATCTCCACTTTCCTACTCCTATTCCCTACACGTGGCTGAAACATACCTTGTTGCCCAGTGTTCATGGATTTAGGAGATAAATTTCAGCAAACAATCACTTTCTCATTCAATTCAGCCCCATTAACTTGAGAAGTAGTTAATATATTCCGTATGCAAGAACGACAACAGCAACAAATGCGAGAGGGCAATACTTTGTCGCAGACCATATGTATCTTTTGTGCAAACTTGACAGACTGCTAATAGCCGCAAAAATATCAGCAGCGCTTGCATGAGCGGAGTCGATTGCAGTTATGGATACTTACTGTTAGCGCTAGGATATAATGGTTGAAAGTCAAAGTAGTGGGAAGATTGGTAGGCAACATTGGCATTGCGTTTTATTGTGTTACGTTGACTTAAGAGCCAGATATGCTGCTAATACCCACGGGCTTGATTTCTCAGTCTCACCGCCTCCAGAAGGACATTACCTGTAATCATTGTCATATCGTGGCGTTGCTGAAAGCGGAGAATGATAAACGCTGCGCAATACTCCAAGCATACTGTATCTTCCTGCGTGTTGTGATGGGGACTAGACACCCCAAGGATAAAACACGGGATCAATATCCATACCGCCGCATGGAGACCGCTACTATACGTTCTCATGGTGTATTATCTCCTGAAGATTTCGACCGGCGACTTTCTCTTACGGCCTCGCGGCATGATGCGTCCAGAAGCTCTCGATTCAGTGCACTACAGGCGCATACTGGTCCTCAATTTAAGAAACAGCATATCGTGGAGCTTTTGGGAAGTCTGATTCACACTGTTTGCTGATACTAGTATTAAATGAAGTAATCATCCCTGCAGCTACGGTTGAGCAAGTCGTGCAGGCTTAGATTATAGCCTGCAAGTCACCGAGACACGGGACCCTGAAATGAGTGCAATTTAAGAAATATACAGTTGCGTATAGACTTTCCGACTCTGCTGATGAAACGGCGCATTCCCTGTCCTGTGTTACCTACTGGTTGAGTAAATGTGACTGAAGTACATGTGCTTTAGCCACGAAGGGCTCAAAAGTCACGTTGTGAGTCATAGCCAAGCCTATCTTATTGTAGGCAGGCTGCATCAAAAGCTAACTCCCGTCTATCCGGAAGTAATACATAATTAGAATGGAATAACTCAACATAGCTCTGTGCTACGTTGAGCAGGCCTGGTAATAGATCTTTTGCTAGTTGTGAATTACTCGGAATGAAGCTGTCGCTGCACGGCGTCTGCCACCTTGTTTTTAGGCAGATCCTGTGGGATACCCTGTAGTTGCGTTGGCGAGGGCTGTTATCTACGAAAGTCCACTTTGAGATTACAGAGACTATCGGCCGTTGGGAGGCGCAGCCCGTACGAATTGATCGGTCTGCACCGCGTCCATCTGTGACCACGATGCCTGTCATTCGATTCATCTGTGGCTTATATTTTCAATTCCATTTGCGCCGATATTGATGAGTGCGATGTACTTGACACGAATGATCCGCAGGCATTCCACTGGAACTTAGTGATGGAACATCTGAGGAGACAGCAAGAAAAACGACAGGAAGAGTAGTATATACAGGCTGAATTCAAGGTCAAGGTACACTCTGTGCTCAAAAGATCAATGTTGACTGGCACTTTTGTTTGTTATTTGTAGAAGGTCAGGAACTGAGGTCAATCTTTGAAACAAAGCTATGTCGTAGCCCTTGAGATATTGCGTAGTGTTTAAATAATCGTCCCGATCCCTCTCTTGAGGCGAAAGGTAAGCCTCCATACATCAGCCTGCCCCAGTGTAGATCTTCTAGTAACCGATTTAAGAGCTACGCTGGTTCAATGGTGCTGTGACAAAATGCCGTGTTGTTTCTGCCAGACAAGTACAATCTGGACAGATTTCGGGATACGGCTTAATCTCCAGCAATGGACAGCGACGAATGAGTCCCGATCTTGAAGTGTGTGGTAGAAGTTTCAATTGTATCGTCGTATTTGAGGTAAAAAGGCAACAGGGCATCTTTCAAGTTTAGTGTGCGGCACAGTCGAATGATATCTCCTGGCGGTTTTGTCGGCTCTTAACAGAGCAAGACAGGCCATAATGTCAGATCATCAAAGTCCAGGATGACAGGAAGAGTGGATACTCGCATGCATCCCACATTGGCTCTCAGTCTCACAGCAGTAAGCACTATCTGCACAGCCAGAAGTGCGGAAAGCAGCCGCCTTGTGCAAGCCACTAAGCTAAACTTTACTTGACCTATCAACCTTCGTGTTTCGGTATGAGACTATGAGGCTATTTTTAACCCCCCGGCAGTCAGCATGCTATTCAGCCACTTTTGACCGTGTTTGTTGTTTTGGAGATGGCTGTGCCACCGCTACCGTTCTACGTATTGGCTAGCTTTCCAATCGTGCAGAAATGACTTATGATAAGACACATAGATAGGCATACCCAAGTAAGAGCGCAAGCAAGGCAGGGAAAATAAAGTACTTATGCATCCCTTGGCAACGGACTTGGACTTTTGCTCAGAAAGCATCAAAATGGATTTTCCTCTCCAATATAAAACTTTTGAATACGAGGCGCTTCCATCGCCGACATCTATACGCCTCCTACGACCAATCAAACAACTTAAAAGCCCGGAAGCTACTTCTATCAATGGAGTTCCCCTGCTGCAGTTTGTGCTTGAAGCCTCGGAGCGTAATGATCGACCTCTCTACGATGCCTTATCTTATACTTGGGGAAACCCGAAATCTGTCCGGCACGGATTGCCCGACGAATACGATACTCAGCATAAACATGTTATAGCTGTCAATGGCCGCCTATTCTATGTCACAAGGAACCTTTACGAGGCCCTTTGTCGACTTCAGGAGCCCCATAGATTATCGGAAGATATTGATAAGCGATATAAGCCCTATAACAAGACGAGGCTTATGCAAGCTGCTGAGGAAGGAAACTTGACCCTGGTTATGAGATATCTTGAGCAGGGCGCCGATCACACATGCCAAGACAGGTTTGGTGAGACAGCTCTGCATTATGCAGCCGAGAATGGGTATCCAGAGGTTGTGAAGGCCCTTCTTTTCGCAGGAGCACAGGCAACAACCCTGGATAACACGAATCGCGACCCTCTAGCCTGTTGTATTTCACGAAAACGACGCCAGTGGGGTGAGACTTGCGAGATCCTACGCAACTGGCTAGCTCAACCTAAGGGAAAATCTCATTTGGAAGCGTCTTCATCTGGGAGAGGAGTACCTCTCTGGATCGATGCCATATGCATCAATCAGGATGACATTGCTGAACGCAATAGCCAAGTTGCAATGATGTCGCAAATCTATGGGTCGGCGCGATGTGTTGTGGCATGGCTTGGAGAAGAAGACGATACGACTAACGCGGCTTTCAATTGCTTGTCAAACATCCCCCAGCCTTCAACTGCCATTGCGAGAAGTTACCATAACTCTTATGCACGGCACTGCGATCATGTGAGAGGGAAAGTCCTTGACGTAAATGAGAGGCCTCACAATCTGCCTATGTCAGTTGCCGAGGTACAAGCTGTGAAGAGCTTATTTACCCGCACCTGGTTCTCACGTACATGGGTCATCCAGGAAGCATCACTTGCCAGAGAGATCGACATCATTTGTGGCTCCTTTCATTTTGAGTGGTCGAGTATATTCACCCTGTTGTTTCTGCTTTTTGGGGAGAGCGGATCGAATGATATACTAAGCGACGGTGGTCCCCCTGCAAAATTCGGAAAGGCTGGACCAAATGCGCAAATCTTGACTCTTTTCGCCATCAGAAGCCGAACTGCCCCCAATTCCAGGGAAGCAAGAGAAGCGAGAAAATATTTTCTTGGAAAAGATATCGTCGACCCTCCGTGCAGTCAATTGAGCATCCTTGCCTTGTTTCTTCTCACTTGGGACTTCGCTGTGTCTGACGGGAGAGACAAGGTATTTGCATTGATGAATGTGTCAGAGCCTTCAGAAGGATTAGCAGCTGACTATTCGAAGTCAATCGCTGAAGTGTTCACCGAGATGGCCATGATCCTTCTCCGCGCCAAGGGATACAATAAAGTTCACGATTTACAGGGGGAAATAGCCGATGACTTAGAACCCCTCGAATTGCTATCTTTTGTTCAAAAACCTGGGACTCCTCAATGGAAGGTAAGTCCAGCGGTTATGAAAAACAAGTATGAACGCCCTGCGGATCTTCCTACTTGGGTTCCGGCTTTCAATGCGCAGCTGGTTTCTATTCGAATCTATCATAAGCGATACAATGCTTCAGGAAGTCGTCAAGCTGTTATCCATAATTCTCTGCCAGGGATACTAAAGGTTGATGTTTCAATCGTTGACACAATTGCTGAGGTAGAACAATATCCGCTATCAGAAGGCTATGGGCGCATAAACAACGACTGTACTATCGGATCATGGCTGACGATAGTATCGAAGCTCTGTACCACTTATCCTAGTGGAGAAAGTCGTACCGAAGCATTGTGGAAAACCTTGGCATCAGAGCATCAAAAAAAGAGCAAAAAGCCAGAAGCAGTCGAAAGCTATTTGCAGAATATCGTGCTTCAATGGATAGTCAAACACAGATGTCAAGACTCCATTGAGAGGCATACAGACCTATACAAGGTTTTCCAAGAATTATTCAACACGGATTCATCTGATTTGCCGCCTCCGATCTCTAAATTTATGAGCAGTAACACGGAGCCTGTAGGCAAAAGCTCAGAAATAGGGGCAGATGAGCGATACTTTAGGTGGGGTTTGATGCGATATATGAGGGGAAGGTGTCTGATGAGAACAGAGCTAGGCTACTTGGCGATATCATCCAAGGAAGCGAGGCCAAAGGACCGTGTAGTAATTATCGCCGGGGGACGTACGCCGTACATTCTTCGTCAGATGAGCGATAACCAATTTACATTTGTAGGCGAGGCTTATGTCCATGGGATAATGTTGGGCGAGTGGCTGAGAAGAGAAGGTTGCAACTTTCAACCCGTCGAGATCAGATAGTTATAGCCCGTCTTACATACTTCTGTTGTTATCTTTAATTGATCGTCTCGATACCTGAATCTTTCTAACCGTAAGTGCCCTCATCACCGGCCTGATGGTAGCGCACCTTACCCGCACCTGGGACGTTGGAAAAGTGTAACCTCCTGTAGGTAGGACGGCCTAAGATCCGCTCGTGATGTTGTACACAATCGCCTGACAGGTAGGTGAATTCTATCTTATCTTCTACTAAAGCCGACGCCAGGTGATGTCAGAGAACTTGCCTAGAAGCCTTTTACCGAAGAACGGTCGAGATTGGAGAAACAACCGAGGAGTAAACAGTGGCTATATGGTTATACAAAGGCGAACCTAGTGGCCAGTTGATTGCACTGAACTAGTTATGGAGATCTACTTCAAGACGCCAGTAGCGATGTTCTTCTCGTCATGTCAGATTTACCTGCCTTGACTCGCTGGCCATCTTGCCTTGATTTCAGGCAAAAGAATCGTTTTTCAGCTCAACTGTAGTCGAGCAGCGATTAGCACTAATTATAGAAGCGACTTATGGTCAACTTCATCAATGTGGCTAGAAATACGGCTGATTGAATGGGCAAAAGTATCCTGTTAAAATTACTTGCCCCAGAATTAAAGTCAAGCGTTGAGATGACGCCCCTTACTACAACTAATTGGACCAATCGGCACAATCTTTGGTGGCGGCCAGCCCTTACGCATTATGGATAGGCCGGTCTAGAACAGCGCCTTCTCATGGTGCTCAGAGTCACGCAGCAATGTGGCTTTAATAGATTGTGCAGCTGGCTTTATGGCGTAGCTAATGCATGCAGGTTTTAATATCACATATTAGACATGCTTCTGAGTGAAGCAATTTCATGCAAGGGAGTCTAAACCTGGTAAGGTTTGCACTTAGGCGTGAGTTTTTTTAGCTTATATTAAAGGTTATAATAGAGACTTTGAAGTATTTGCTAAATTATAGTTTTAACTGTAATTAATACATTAAGTATAAAAATATAATAATCAATAATATAATATCTCCAAAAGTATAAGATATACTACTGCTAGAAATATTAAACTTAGAATAGAATAATACATACCTAGCTGTTGTTTAAATAGTTCAAGCCATGCGCTTAGACCTCCTTGTCTGGCATGCACCAAAGCCATCCTGGACAGCAAGGCTTTCCGGTAGACGCTACGGCAGCCTCCGGGAGACCCGCGGAGGGCTAGGCTACTAGTTTCAATAACAATTGGACTGCACATTCAAGCCTTACTGTGTTTTGTCTCAACTGTCAGAGTAAGTGCCTATGTACATAAAAGGAAGGGTAGCTCCGCCCGGGAACCACAGTCTCTAAGATGCTTGGTCCCAGGTGCCGTACGAGGTCTCAATTGCTACAATCTAATTTATTACCTGTTTATCGTTATTGCACAAGTCATTCAAAATGGCAAATGGAAACTGGTCATCCGCCAAGCTCAATGGTTCCACTGTCACGGAGTTATCGCTCTTCTCCAGTGTTCTTTCCAGCGATGGCATAACCATCTGGCACCTGATTGCGTACCGGCGTGCAACTTGGATACCGGCAGCTAATCGAGGTGTATGGAATTCCTATACGGGCGATATAGACGATGACTCCATTATAGCTGCGCTACGAGCTGACCCGCCGACTGACCTTCCACCGGAATGGTTCTTGGATCGCACTTTAAAGGTTGAGCAGGGCGATACGCTTGCCCAAGAGTCATTGGCTATCTCGCTTAACGAGGGCGTTGATACGTCGAAGCGTGTCATTATCCGTGCCGAGGGCCTGATTATCTATGCTGGGAGTGTCTTTGGTTTCCCCGGAAAGGAGGTCACAATACTGGCCCGTCGCATCATCATAGTACCGTCGCAGCCTGGCTGGCTTGCGTCAAGCGATCCTAAGATTGCTTCAGTCGTGATCAATACGGTCACGCCACCGGGTTCAATCCCAACTAAACCGGAAAAAGCTGGTAACGGTAAAGATGCCTACTGGGTCCATAACCAAGTTGGTGCTGATGCCCAGGACGGGAAACCAGGTGTCAATGGCACTGCGGGACCCATGGGTGTCGATGGTGGTTCAGTACTGCTGTGTGCACAGGTACAGTCGCTGGGTTTTAGCGGCTCTACAGGCCCTACTTTGTCTCTCCTGTGCGATGCCCGACAGGGCTGCAATGGCGGTGGAGGAGGTGATGACGGTAATGGTGGCAATGGCTATTCTAGTGACGACAAGTTTTATGACTATCATGGAGATGTCTCCATGTGCAACGGCGGCAACGGGGGCGTTGCAGGAAACGGCGGCAATGCCGGATTTGGCGGCAGTGGAGGGAGTGTCCGTCTTCGGATACTCAGCACCCAGAGCTCACTCTCCCATCCAGCCTTATCGCATTCGGCTTGGTGGACACATCGCATAGCGTATCAAAGGGCGCCGACGGCAAATGGGGAAGTCCTGGTACCCAGGGAGCAGGCGGAAGCGCCGGGTACGTGTATGTTTCCGAGGTTGAATCCTCAATCCGCAAGGTCGGGGGTACCGCCGGAAAAGATGGCAAAGACAAGACCGACTTCATACGCCCAATTATTCCCATTCCCATCGTCAATAATAATGTGTCCAAACCAGAGTTTCAGACTCAGTACAAAGCGGTTCAGGAAGGCCTTAACGGAGCTGGTACTGCCACCGCAATAGGAGCGGAAAACATCGATTCCTCACAGTTGCTGTTGCAGGCGGTTTTGGTGCAAAAGCAACAGTTCGAAGCCATGGTCAGCACATACTACCCATCTGGGGCCCCTACAGACGTTCAAATTGCCTGGGATAACTTACTGGAAATTGCTGAAAAGTTATAAACTGCGCTGGTGAAATACACACTGGCTCTGATAAAACAAGCCAGAGTCGAGTCATACTATGCACAGTCCAAAGTGGCAATCGCCCAGTTGCAAAACACAGATATAACCAAGACGATGCCTGCAGTCAAGACTCAACTACTTGTGCAGATGTAAAACGAATCTTATGTCATACAGAAGCAGCAAGTTGTTCAGGGTTACCTCAACGCCGTGCGTGCCATAGTCGCCCTGAACTTGTGTCGCACCACCATTACGCGCTCTCTGTTCCGTCAGGGTTGTTGGGATAACGTCACTGGTGCCCTCTTGAATGATGTTATACTTCCGCAGTTATAAGCCGAGAACACAATCCTAACCAAGATGGACGACTACTTCACTCCCATCAAGACCAATTTCAGCGGTAGCATAACTAAAGAAGAATACCCAGATTACTTCGGCTTCTAGAGGACCTAGGGTGCCGACGGGTCATCAATCTTTACCCGAATTAAGGACATGGTTCCGTTTTCCTTCTTTATTATGACCAGTAACTGTTTCAAAATCTTCGGTATTGACCCCAAGATGCAATTCGATGTCCGCATGTACTTATGCCAGGTTATTCTCAAGGGGGCGAAATTATGCGATGAGTCGCCCGAGCAGTTGGTTATTGACGTCACGGTTGGATTTACTGGTGTTTGTACAGTAACCAATGGACAGAGTCAAACAATTACAGACCCAGACAGTAGTGAGATACATACTACTTGGGTCGAGTATGTCTTCGAGACTGGCGCTATCACAACCGGCAACAGTTTGAGCTATAAAAGGGGTGATCCAGAAGACACTATACCAGACTGACAGATAGACACCAATAGGCTGCGCTTGATTGAGCTAGAAGCGAATGATCCTACTGTCAGTCGCCCTCTTTAAACACCGCTAGCTGAGTGGTAAGGGTCCTGGGATGATTAATTCGTTGGTGTATCCGGTGTGACTAGCATCTGGCTTGAAGTAGATGCTGTTTATCGTCCTATCTCACAGATGTTTCTCGCCAAGAGTGACGAGGGAGTACAGGAGACTGCAAATACAAGCTTACCCTCACAAAATATGGTGATCGCCATGGAAGCCGTCACCCCAACGCCCCTTGCAATCTCCAACGTGAGACTTGACCCGCCCAGTTTTACTCCCTTCAGTGCGGTCCCGGTCGACTTGGTCAAAGTTTCCTCTGCATCGAGCATTCTGCATGGTGTACAGTTGGCAATGAAGAATATTGCCAATATGGAACGAAGGGATCACCGAAGCCTCGCCCTATCTGGGCTGCAAAGCTTATTCATTCCCAACGTGTGTAACGCACGGGTACCACTTTTGACAACCCCCGCCAGATTTGTGATGTGCTTGGTCAGGCCGGCCAAGATCGAGTCAAGAATATGGATCCAGACACGCCAGTCTACCAGAGCGTTATGCTCGACTTTCACAAGGCCCTCATCAGCCAATACCACTCTCTAACCAGTGCCAGTCGCTACTCAGACATCATAACTGACTTTTGTGTGAACAACAATCACGAGGCTCGGATCTCATCGATGCTGAACATTAGTTCTTACGCCACGTCTATAGTTTGGGACGAGACTGTGGTCCTGGCGATGATTAAGGCTCTTCCTATGGGTAGTATTGTAATCTATGGACAGCATTAAGATGCAATCATAAAGCTGCCCCCACTTTAACAGCTCTTATATATTTGGAAGAATCTTGACGATATTCGCAACGCCGAGCCTTCTTTCTTGACTAGCGGGGATTCTGCAGCAAGAAAGTTGGTGCTGCTCGGCTTGCACAACCTGACTGGCCTAAGCAAGACGATGAGCTACACCGATAAAGACGTCGAACTAGTGGGATTCAATGCCACGACGACTGGTTTACACGCCCTTGACGGGAAGAATGCGTGGGTTGTAGGCCGTAACCAGACCATGAAGAGCGTTGGGGAGCTTATATTCACAAATACCCTCCAGGGCATTCACAAGGTCATGTTTGGCGACCTTGCCAACTGTCTCCTTGGAGAATCGCTTATGACCGCTGCCCACTTTCGCTGGCAGGTACACCACCGTGCTCTTACAATGGACGTACCTGTCGAGGCAGTCCTGCATATGATGCCCGCACCCTATATCGACGAATACTATCGCCTAGAAGGATATTGGACCATGGCTGACTTTGCCAGAATGCCATTTAACCTTCGATGCATTCAGGTGGGTGCCAATACCGACTTCACTAAGTCGGAGACCACCATGGTCGTGGCTCTGACAGAACAAGATATCGTTGCCCAGTTGACAAAGCCCGACAAGACGCTTATAAGTATTGACCATATAAACTCCGCGGGCGCTCAAGGCACGTTGGCCAGGAACCCTACGGCCGAGGAAGGAGTCATGCTTGACGGTGTGCAGATCGCGGATAGTTTCGCCGCAACTGCTAACCCAGGTGATCCTATTAGCACAGCAAAAAAGGCCGGCTGGTACTCTGGAGCTAGCCTAGACAATATGTATGCCGCTCAACAGGCCATGCAACAGATGCTTGCTCTTCACTATGGCTCAGAAGAGGTGCGAAAACATTCTTGGACGGCATTACCGCAGCCATCAACAGGGCCAAGGTCAGGCTAAGCACAGCTGACCCTGCCACATGGGCCACCATGACCCCGAGCCAGTGGGAGCTCGCCATCCGGAACGACTGGGAATTTCAGCGCGAGGGTCAGGCCATAACTAAGGACGTCTTTGTTGAGGACATTGTAAAACAGTTTTCCGATGAGCTGCCAAGTATGATAGGTTTCATTTCTTTGCTCGCTGGCAACCAATATGTCTTGATGAGCGGCCTCGCCAAGACCCATATACTGGATGTCACCGGTGCAATCGACGGTGGGCTTGTTAGCGGCAATATTCGATACGCGACAGTCGAGGCGGCTGTCCACGACATAACCCTCGCCCAAGTCATGACTCAGATTGACCGTGTGAATAATGCAGTTACAGATGCGCAAGCCATACTACAAGCCAAGCAGGACATGCTCATTGCTCAGAAGGACAAGCTGTCCCAGGACGAGATTGATCTCCAGGAGGCAGAGATTAAGGAGGACCAGAATGACATCTATAAGTTAAATCAACAGAAAGCAGAATTCCAAGACGTACAGCAGATGCAGAGCGATCCTCAGCACTCGACTGATCGTATCAAGGAGGCGCAAGATGGTATCGATGATGCGCAGCAGAGTATTACCAACCCAGGGGAAGTATAAATGCAAAGCAAGATGGTTGGAAATATTTATAGCAATAATAAACACTACTAGTGTCATAGTTTTAACCTCATTAGTTATAATAATATTTGTAGGTCAATTCTCTTCACGACTGCCTCTTCCCAAGGTGTCTAGTTAGTGGCGCATCCCTCTGCCTCAGAGTCAACCAGAGCATCAAACCTCTCCCTAAATGACTCCCTTCTCATATGATTCCATCCACTTCGGTCGCTATACCGAAGTACAATCCTCCTGTCATATAATTTCAGGCTAAGGTGCCAAATATAAGCCATATCCGGACCACCCGAACACAGGATCCTTGAATACTGGCTGGATCTCGGTACGGAAGCCTTTCTTGAGCCTTTTCACTGATCATGGATAGAATCGAGACCACCAAAGCTGCAGTGCCGACGGTAATGTCCTGGAAAAATTCCAAGATCTCAGTTTTTTTGATCTCTCTCGTCATATTGCTTTGGAAAAGCATGACTTCCTCACCAAATAGCTTGGACTGCTTATATAGCGAGGGAAAGGGTATGTGTCTTACTACTCTGCTGTCGGCTGTTCAACCCAAGCGCTTGAGAAACTACAAACAGCTGTCGCTGGTTATGCTTCTATGATACAAAGACTGTTAACTGCCACAACCTTTGCATGTACGTCGTAAGATGCCTTTACTGATATCACGAAGTGGTGTAGTCAGTCTAAGTGGCTACTTAGTCACATACGAAAAGACACCTTGCACCAAAGGATTAGGAAGAGAGTATTAGTCCTTATACTATATAAGATAGAAGAAGAGGAATTAAACCTTTATATCTAGACTATAAAATATATTTTAGCTAACCTATACCCTTATTTAGTAAGCTCTCTATAAATCCTTTTAGCTAACTCTTTTAAAAAAGAGAAAGTATTTTTTATAAAGACTTTTTATTTTAAGTATTTATATAAATATACTACTAAATATATTTATAGTCCTTAATATTAAGCTATATAGCTAATTTTTAGTCTTTTTTGTAAATATTAAGGATATTTTTACTTTATTATTTTTAAGTTCTTTCCTTAAGTATTATACCTTAATAATTAAATACTTTTAAATATTAATAGTTTTTAAGTAAGGCTTTATATTACTTTAAGTATAAATGTATAACCTATATAATTATTTTAGGCCTGCTATAAAGCTTAGGTAATATATTTTAATATTTTAAAATTATCTTTTTAAGTTAAACTTTTTATAATAAGATTATTAGCCTTATCTTTAAGTAATTTAAGTATAGAATTAACTATAGTTAAAGACTTATAAAAAGTACTTTACAGTAAAATTAATTATAAATTTTAAAAATAATTTTACTATAATTTAATCTATTTTTTTATAATATTATAAAATATTTTTTAATACTATATAGTATAGTAATATATATATTTACTTAATATAAATACTTATTAATTATATTATTATTAATATAAAACTATATTAAGCTTAAATTAATTAAGTTATAAATAGATTTATTTATATTTATAGCTATTTTCTCTTTTAATGCTTTTAATATATAAGCCTTATAAGTATATATATAATCCTATAGTAAGTTAGTTTATTATAAACTCTTTAATATAATAGTTAGATAGATACTTTAATTAATAGTTAATAGGTTAAGTTATATTTACTATTAAATAAATATATAAATATTAAGGTCTTCTATTTATGTAAATAATATATTAATATTTAGCTAGTCTTTATAATTATAGATTAATTATATACTATATAGCATAATTTAGTTTTTTTAATTTTTATTAATATTATAACTTTAAGGTATTAACTTTTAGTAGCCTGCTTTAATTTAAATAAAACTTAATATATTTTTTTTATAAACTTTATAATTATCTATTTTTTATTTTAAATATTATTATATACTATCTCCTTTATTTTTATACTTTTAAAATTTAAGATTATAATAAGCCTAGTATTTATAATAGTTTAGTTTTTCTTAATATCCTTTTAGCTTATTACTTAATACCCTTAAGCTACTTATTATATAAACTACCTAAATAAAGAGCTTTAATAAATACTAGCTAATTATAGCTTAAAGTTATCCCTTTAAGTAATTTACCTTTAAGCTTATTATATTTCTTTATGTTAAATTTAAAGAATCTTTTATTAATTAATTAATAATAAGGCTATAAAACCTGAAGTATTTTATAATTAAAGGTTATTAGCTTAATATAGTTAATATTATTTATATACTTTTAAGCTAATATAATTTATATAACTATATTATAAAGATTATTATAATTATTTCTATTAATAAATTAATTAATTAAAGGGATAGTATTAAGGTCTTTAATTAAATAGGCCTTATTAAAATTAACCTATAGGCTTTTTTTAAATATTATAATAAAGTAGCTATAGTATTATTAGTAATTATAATTTAAAGAGAAGTTAGGTTAAATAACTTATTATATATTAAATAATTAAAATATAACATATTATAGAGGCTAATATATTATAATAATTAAGTTAAATTATATTATATTAAGCTATATTTTAGTTTATTATTAATAGATTATATAAAGTATAATATTAAGTAATTATTAAGGTATTAAATCTCTTAATAGTAAATTTAATATATATTAGGCTTAATTAATATAATAATATTTTATTAATAGCTAATAAGCTAAATTTTATTTAATATTAAATAAATATATATATATTTATTAAGTTAATAAATTAAGAGATTCTTATTAATTTTAAAGTAAAGTAATTTTAATATACTATTAATTTAATATTTATTAATTTATTTATAATTAATTTATAATAAAGTATATTACTTTTATATAAGCTTAAATAATTATTTTTTTATTAAATAAATTTTATAAAAGGCCCTTATTTATATATAATATAATTACTAAAGTTATAATATAATCTCTTCTTTCTTATAGTTTTATTTTTAAGGCCTATTATTTTAATTAATATTATTCTTTTTTTAATAAATCTTATAATAGTATTTTTATTATATCTTTTTATAAGTCTTTATAAATTAGTTTTATATTTTTTTTTTAATTTTTATAGTAATAAATTTAATAAAATAAAAAAAGAGTTAAAAAGTAATAAAAATTTAAATAAAAAAATCTTTTTTTTTCTTTTATTATTAACTTTATAAGGCTATTAAGCTTTTAACTTTCTATATAAAGGCTTAAATAATAAGGCACTTATAATAGGCCTATATTTTAAAGGTTAAAATCTTATAAAGTTTATTTACCTTAATAGTATAATTACTGCCTTAATTAAGTAGTATTAATACTACCCCTTAATAGATATATTAACTTTCTTTTTTTACCTTACTTAAAAGAATATTAAGTTAAATCTATTATACTTTTAAAGTATATTCTTTAACTTTACTATTAATTATAGTTATTAATATTATTTATAATTATTAATATTAATTATAGCTATTAATATAATACTATATAAAAGCTTAAAATTTAATTAAGGCTATTATATAATTAATTATAACTTTATTATAATAATTAAATTAATATTAAAGTAAGTTAGTAATAAAAATTACTATAAGCTTTATATAATAGTTATAACTATTATAAAGAACTTTTTATTAAAAAGCCAATTTAGTTTAATTAAAATAGCTATTTTTAATTATATTTTAATTAACCTAATTAATTATATAAGCTAGGCTAGCTTAAATTATTTAAATTATTTAATTTAATTAATTAAAGAGCTATTTAGCTTAAAGAAGCTAAAAAGAGCTATAAAGAAAGGCTTATATTTTAATATAAAAAAGGCAGCTTTTTTAACTATATTAATAGGCCTAAACTTACCTTTATATAAAAAGTGGCTTAATAATATAATTATTAAGGCTAAATATATATATTATATTCTTTTAGTTATATAAAATTAATAGACTGGTTATAGTTTAAAACTGTAAAAATAAAGCTAAAATAAAGGTAAGGTAATAATAGGGTTTTATAAAGGTTATATTAAAAGAATTAAGTTAACTTTTATATAAGTTAGTTAGTTAAAGTTAAATTAATATTTATTAATTAAATATATATATTAAGGCATATAATTAATTAACTTTATATTTAAAAACTGTAAAAAAGTAATATTAATAAAAAAGTAATAATTTAAATTAAAGATTTATTTATATTATAATAAGGTTTATTTTT